GAGCTTTTCTATGGGCTGGTGGGGGCCCCAGGGACTTCCGGCCTGTCTTCCTGCTTCCTGCCGAGGTGCTGACCACTGTCACTGGCTATCAGGTCCGAAAGGGGGGAGACAGTCAAGGTCCAGGTGCTCATCCCTAAGCCAGTGTGGTCAGGTGGGGCCACAGCTGGTAGTTACGCTGAAGTCAGTGGCACCCAATGTGTGGCTGCTGCCACTGCAGCCAAGCCCAGGAGGCTGCGCCACTTGGAGACACAGGGACTGCGCCGTGCCTCTGGCCTCCGCCCGGTGTTCCTCTATCCATGGTGACAAGGGAGCACCTAGAGCCTGGGTCCTGGCTCCTCTTTCCCTCTGAGGGGAAACCATAAAAAAAGGCCGTTTCCAGCCGCACCGCCTGCAGCTGTTCAGCCCAGATCTCTCGATGGGACTCAGCCGCCTCAGCTGTATGTGTGTCTTCCAGGTGGACATCCGCTTCCCACAGAGCGGCGCCCCGGACCCCAACTGTGTCACTGTGACGGGGCTCCCAGAGAACGTGGAGGAGGCCATCGACCACATCCTCAACCTGGAGGAGGAATATGTGAGTCCTGGGGTCACAGGGGCCACACACGGGGGCTTCTGACGCCTGCCAGATGCAGGCGAGCCCCGGTGCCAGGAACAGGGTGAGCGTGGGGGTGGGTGCTCACTGGGCACCCCTGTGCTGGCTGACCTGCCTGTGCCCACAGCTGGCCGACGTGGTGGACAGTGAGGTTCTGCAGGTGTACATGAAGTCCCCGGCCCACGAGGAGTCCAAGGCGCCGTCCAAGGGCTTTGTGGTGCGGGATGCTCCCTGGACGGCCAGCAGCAATGAGAAGGTCAGACCTGCCCCTCCTGGGCGCCCTCCCGGTGCCTGGGCGGGGGGCTGCCTGCCGCGCTCGTGTGGCCATGGTGGGCCCAAGGTCTGAGGCCGGGCCGTTTTGGAGCTGCCTGAGCGCAGCCCGCTTAGTAAAGTTTTGCTCTCTCTGTCCCCACAGGCTCCGGATATGAGCAGCTCTGAGGAATTTCCCAGCTTTGGGGCTCAGGTGGCCCCCAAGACCCTCCCTTGGGGCCCCAAACGATAATGATCAGAAAACAAACCTCTCCAGCCTGCTGACCCGAACCCCACTCCCCAGTGGTTTGTTTCAATCCGACCCAGCAGCTGGACCCTCCGTAAATTGTTGACGCCCCTCCCCGAGGTCTCACAGTGAAGCCGTGTGCCGGCCCTGTGTGCAGCGGTCCTCCGGCCTCGCCAGCGCCCAGCGCGAGCTCAGGATCTGCCCGACACCGGCGGTGGGCCGGCTCTCCACAGTTCGAACACTAACAGAGGCAATTGGACATTTCACAACAAGCTTCCCGGTCCACCGGCATGTCAGTAAGGCCTTGGCCCCACTCAGAGTGTTGCACAGCTGGGGCTGAGCCCACTTCCTGTGTCGTGACCTCAGGAAATAAATTTCCTTGACTTTAGAAAAGCCAAACGTTTGCCCTCTTCCTTTCCCAGCTCTGTCTCCCTCTGCCTGTCGTCCAGCCCTCTGTAGACTGCAGTCCATCTCCTTCCCGCTGCCAGAGCCCGCTCAGCCCCGCCCGCAGGGTGGGAGGAAGGCCCGGTGTGCACACTGCAGCGCCCGGACCCAGAGGGGACCAGGTTCCGAGTGTCTCTGCCCCAGCAACACGGGCGCCGGAGGCCTGGCGTCTGGTGAGCACGGCCTGCAGGTGAGGCTGCGCGTCTGAGTCTGAGTCTGGTGTGAGCTGAGACGGGCCCGTGAGAGCCCACTTCCCTCCCGGCTGACTTGGCGCCTTCCCCTCCCCCCCATGCTGAGTCCAGTCTCCTGTCTACCTCGGCCAGCGCGGTGGCCTTGTGCTGAGGCCATGCCGCCTCCCGCTCCCAGTGGCTCTGGTGGTCACAAGGGCCGGGCCCACTGTGGCTGTCACAGCTCTGGGCCACGCCCTCCTTCACCCACACGTGGTCAGGCCAGTGGGCCCCTCGAGTGGGGAGCACACGCCCCCCCACAGGCCGTCTTCTGGCACGGACGCTGTGTAGGCCCTAGGAGCTGGCTTTCAGAGGTGGCCTCGCGGTCCTGGGTAGAGAGGCTGTCACTTGGCCTGGCCTGGAGGACCAGGTCCTGCTAAGTCTGCTCTTCTCAGGTGTGGTAGGTCATTCGCGCCAGACAAGGTGCCCCGCCCAGGCCATCGTGGGAAGGTGTGCTCTGGAGAGGAGAGGTGGCCGGGCGGTATTGTGAGAGCCACAGTCGGGCCCCTCCTCGCCTCTTTCCCGTGGAGGTGACCGAGCCCCTCTCGGGTGCCTGTCCAGATCCTGGAGCCCTAGAGAAGCCAACTGTGCCCTTGCCCAGCCCTTCCCCGGGATGGCTGCTTCTTCCCTGACCAGCCCCTCACGGACTTGCCCACGCAGTCACCGCGCAGCTTGGCGGTCTTTAGGCTGGGGTCCCGCGCAGGCTGGGGTCACCTGAGGCACGTCTGGTGCAGCTGCCACTGGGGTGCCCGCTGCCGAGCAGCCTGAGCTGCCTGAGCTGCCCTGTGCAGACGCGACGTGTCGGGTAGGAGACTGTCGGCTTAGCTGAGCGGGGCTGGGCGGCCCACAGCGGGGAGTCGCTGAGACAGGGAGAGAGGACACCGCCTCGCCTTCTCCAGGGCTGTCCCCACCCCCTGGCCCCGGGGCCTTCCCACTGCATGACTCTGGGAGCCTTTCCTGCCGCCCAGTGTGCGGCCCTCCCCTTCCCTCCATTTCTGTGGCATCCGCCCCTCCCCCTAAGCTGGGTTTTTAACCATCCCAACAGGTGTTTGCACATCTGCACTTATTCCTAAACGTAGGTGCAGCCCCTGCACTGTGGGGTCTCACTGTGGTGTTTGTCAGTAGCCTCCTGAGGTGATGGCCCGGCTCTCCTGCTGCCCTGGGCGGGGTGGGGTGGGATGTGCGTGTCCCCTCTTCTCCTGTTGACTGTCTTCCATGTCATGTGTGTCCACAGTTACCTTCCATTTTTTGGCCTTAACTTTGGAATTTGGAGATTTTATGCAAACATGTGTAAAGGCTCATGAATATGGATGACACTGGAATTTTATAAATTCTAAAATAAAACCCAAAACCAGATGGGTGTGCTGAGGCTCATTTGATCACGCCGCGTGTGGGTTCAGTCGGTGGGGCCAGGGGTATCTGCAGCACGTGCTTGAGTGGTCGCGGACGAAGCATGGTTCTCACCTCCGTTGGGTTCTCCAGCAGGCACACTGTTGTCAACCCCACCTTGACTAACTGCCCTGCAGGGGCCCCAGTGGGAGGCCAGGGGTGGTCTCGGCGGGGTGGCTCGTCCTTGGGCTCCTGACTTGGCCTCACCTGCGTGAAGCAGTGTCACTTTGCTTAGCTCAGAGTTCTTCCTGAATTACCTGTCAGCCAATGTGCTGCCCCAGTACCAGCTCCCAGCCCAGGCGAATGCTGAGCTGTGATTGGGGGTGAGTGGGGCGGGCCTCATCGGAGGAACCACCCCTGGGAACCAGGAAGACAGGAGGCAGCGTGGGTCAGAGGTAGCATCTTTATTCGGGGAGTGCGCCTGGCAGCCGGGGTGGGCTGGTGACGCATCACCGCTGGAGCTCACTCAGGCTCGGTCGCACAGTTCTGTTGGCATCAGAGGCCGCGGAGGTGGCACTCTGGGTGGGAACAGGTGGAACAGGGTGACTCAGGAGGGGTCCAGCCAGGCACCCGAGCCTGGCGATCAGCTGTCTTGATTGACTGCAGGGGCGTGTCCACCTCGGGAGAGCCCGAGGAATGGCTTGAGCACTTTCTGTTCCGATACGTTGACTCTGAAGCTGCAGTCAGACAGCAGCAGCGGCAGAGCCGCCAGTCGGAGGAGGTGCTCGTGGGGGCAGACGGGACACCAGGCAGCCTCACTGCCTGTGGCTCTGCTGCTCGAAGGGCCCTCCCTGTCCGGGGAGGGGTGACGAGGGCACTGCCCAGGGCCGTCCAGGAAGGTGTGCACCGGCCCCGGAGGAAGGCTGCAGGGAGAGCCTGCAGAGAGCCCTGAGCAAGGTGGTGGGTGCACGGTATTTGCGGAGAAACCCCATGCCCACCCAGTGGCGCACGGCCAGGGCAGGAGTCATGGGGCAGGGTCACAGCTCAACCAGCAAAATGAGGGCAAGCGAGGGGTTTACGGAGCCAGTCAGTGTTCCCAACTTTGGGGGCGACTGTGTGTGAACACAGAAAACCCGTGCTCTGCGGGTCAGGGAATAACACTGTCTCCTCCCAAGGCTTGCTTTCAACCTGAGGCTGCCGATAGTGCTGGGAGGGAAAGGGGGCCCCAGAGCCCTCGGTGGGAATGGGGAGTAGAGGGAAGGGGTGAGCTGACTCATAGCTGTGACCTGGACACGGTACTGGGGGGCAGGCAGGACCCTGCGTGGACAGGTGGGCCTGGAGAGGGGTGATTCCCACCATTCCAAGAACAGCAGATGCAAAACACCAGAGAGGACAGGACCCCAGAGTACTGACTTGATTAGCAGATGAATCCTGTAAGGCTGAGGGGCAAACGGGAAGTGAGCAGGGCGAGGTGTGGGTAGGGGTGGGGTGCGTGCAGGGCCCAGGGTGCCCAGAGCTCTGAGTAAAGATGAGGGGAGTAGGCAGTGTGCCCAGAGACAGGCAGAGGTGACCGGCTCAGAGTGGGAGCCACTCTGCCCCAAGGGGGTATGAGGATACTGGCTCATGGGGCAGGAGGGAGATGGTGGGGCAGCTCCCCGGGCATGGCATGCCCAGCCCTCCGGGTTGCAGCCATAGTCTCCTGGCTTTGGGTGTTCCAAAGGGGCGGCCCGTGGGGGCTGCAGCCTGGACCTGGGAGGCAGGGTGCAGGAGCAGGGGCCCAAGGCAGCAGAGGGGCAGGAGATGGAGGGGCCTCGGGTGGAACCTCTGACAGCCTCTCATCTCCGGAGGGGGAGGCCTCTGCCTCCAGGTGGGTCTGGCTCCAGGCCCCTCAGCTGCCAACAGGATCCCTGTGATCTCAGACGGAAGGGACCGGGGAGGCCCGGCTGGCTTCTGGCCACCTAGGCTGTCGGCCCAGGCTCTCCTCTGAGGCTGAGGGCTGGTCGTCCTTGGCTCCATTTGTCCCAAAGAGAGCCTGTGTTCAGGAGGGGTGGCCAAGGAGAGGGATTGAACTGGCTTCGCCCTGGCCTGTGGGATCGCAGAGTGCCTGGGTGTGCTAGGGCTGTTGGAGGGGCTCACCTCGTTCTCGGCCAGCGCCTGCTTGGCTAGGTAGTACTCCCGTTTCACCTTTATCTGCACGGACTCGGGGACGTCAGGTACCAGGAGGTCGAGGACGCGGCCGATGGAGAACACCACGTGCTGGGAGCAGGGGACAGGACCAGGGATGGGAGAGGGCACCCTACCCATTGGCAACACAAATGCCCAGAGTGGCTTTCATGGGTCCAGGCGTGGGCGCCTGCTCCCCAGGTGTGGGTGCACTGGAAAGCAGCAGTGTCACGGCCACAGAGACCACCCCAGCTTCCGTGGCCCTGTGGGGCCCCCCGGGACACGGCACAGTGCCCAGAGTGTTCTGATGTCCGCACAGCCCAACGACAGGCCAGGCAAGGATGAGCCCCTTTCCCAGATGCAGAGAACTGTGACTTGACCACGGTGACAGCAGTAAGATCAGGGCTCTGTTCCTTGGGACACACCGGCGCCCCCAAGCCACACGGTGAGATCAGGCAAAGCCCGGGAGTGGGACATGGCGCTAAGGCCCAGAGAGCCATGGGGAAGCCAACAGAGGGGCTGGGGGGTGCCCGGCTACCTCAAACACAATGACGAAAGCCAGGCGGATGGCCAGAAGGTTCCAGTAGGTCTGGGAATAATGCCCGTCGTCTTCCCTGAATGCGCGGTATCTGCAGGAAGGGGGGACCGGAGTGGGGAGCCGGGCAGGTGTCGTCTCAGCATCTCCGCCGCGCACACCCTGCTCCTGTGGCTCCGGGTCTGGCTCAGTGCCAGAGGGAAAGACGGACCGAACCAGTTAAGGCCCCCACTGGTTTCTCAGAGAAAGAAAATACACACACTACGCCTGGAACGAAAACGCGGCCATAACTACAACAATAGAAGCGCTTAAGAAAATCCAAGAGAAGGTTATGAATACGTTTGTCGTCAGATTTCCAAGCTTAGCTGAAAGAGTTTTCTGTAAATATGTGTATCTCGAAATTGAAGATGCGCTAGAACAAAGGGAGCTACAGCGGCCTCTCGAACAACTGGCGCTTTGACTGCGCGGGTCATAGGCTCGGATGTTCCACAACGCAGCCGGCTGTTGGGGCGCCCACGGTAACCTCGGCTCGGCAGGAGGCCCCCTCCGCCCCAGCGCGCCCTCCGTCCCGGGCGGCCGCTCACCTGGGCCTCACCTGGGCCTCACCTGGGCCTCACCTGGGCCTCACCTGCACGTGCGGTTGTGCGCAGCAGCGAAGGCGGGCGGCGCGCGCGCGAGCGTGAAGTTGACGAAGCCGCGCAGGTCGCCCGCGCGGGCCCAGCGGTAGTAGGTGCGCGGCAGGAAGTCGGACGAGAAGGCCAGCAGCAAGGCCTGGGCGGCGGGCGGGCGGGCGGGCGGTCAGCGCGGCCGAAGCCCCTGCCCGCGGGACCCTTCACAACCGCCCTGCCCGCCCCCCAGCGCTCACGTTGCTGATGACCGCCAGGTGCGTGATGCCCGCCAGGATGGGGAACCAGATGCCCACGTCCTGCGCGCGCTCGGCCACGGGGCGCCGGCGCTCGCACACGAACTTGCGCGCGTCCAGGCGGATCTCCACCCAGTTGTTGAGCAGCGCGAAGAGCGGCGCCAGTGGGCAGGCGGCCACGAAGATGGTGACGAAGCCGAACTGCAGCACTGTGGGCGCGGGGTCACCGCTGAGCCTGCCGCGCCCCTCGGACCCTGCACTGCGGCCCCGGGAGGCCTGGGACACCCCCTGCCTGGCCCGCCTGCTTCTGCTCAGACTCCTCCTGGAGACTCAGCCCCAGGCCCCTCCCCCAGGAAGCCTCCCCGGCTGCCCCCACTGCTCCTCCAGCTGCCCCCACTGCTCCTCCAGCGGGCCGCAGGACCCCCGGACCCCCAGCCTGCCTGTGGGCGTCTGGCAGGATCGGGAGCAGAAGCCAGCTTCCGACTTGAGGCTGCCTTCTCTCGGGGAGCAGCTCCTTGAAAGGGGCCCCTGGGTCCTCTGCAGAATCACTTAGGAGAGCATCGGCCCACTGCTTCCTGTCCAGTGGTGTAGGGACACAGGAGGTCAACCCTGCTGACCCTTATCGTGAAAAGGCCGGTGGACTGTGGGCTGCCTTTTATCCAGGGGCCGATGCCACTACAGTCACCCCTTCTGCTTGGGCTGCCGGGGAGCTCAGAGTGGTGTTTGGCTCAGATGCCACACTTTCCACGACAAGTGCGCCATGGTGTCGGGGTAAGACCCTGGACTGCAGGATCCCGTGTCTGCACTGGGCAAAGACCCTGCCCCCGAAAAGTGCACCACCCCGTTCAGGGAACGAGCACAGGCATGGGCACAGTGAGGGTCCAGCAAAGGGTGTGGGCATCGAGAAAATTTCCGGAATGAACTCCCAGATGGGACTCCAGTGGTCAGGGGACCTGAGGCCCATCACCTCCCAGGGGCAGCCTATTCTCAGGGGCAGCTGCCCCCCCCCCCCCAGCACCTGGTCTCCTGAGCACCTGGCTTCTTTCCCAGCCCTACGGGAGGCCGTAGGTGATGCTTTCCAGGGCAGGGAGGCGACGGCCCATCACGTGCCCAGGTCCTCTTCCCAGCCCCTGTGCCCAGGACGCTGTCCTTCGCACCCTCGCCCTACCTTTCTTGGGTGCTCCCCACTGTGACCCCTGCAAGTCCTTTCCAGATCCTTGCAGGCCTGGCTCCACCAGGGACCCTCTGTCCCCACCCACCTCATGTTTCGAGGGAGACCAAGGAATGCTGAGGCTGGAGGCGAACCTACCCATTTCGAGGTACTCGTCAAACAGGCCCTCGTAGGGCAGGAGCGCGTAGTCCGCCTCCCAGGGCGCCTGGCTGGCAGCTGCGGAAGCCCCCACCTTCTTCTTGGACCGAAGCCGTAACTTCTGCCACCAGCACTTCAGCTTCCTGGAGGTGGGGACACCCGGGAAAATGTCTGTTCCTCCTCAAGCTGAGTTTGAGAGCAGCAGGGGGGTGGGGGCCGGGGACCTGGGGTGGACACAGTGGGGCGAGGCCTTACAGAGCCCATGAGAGCATCTGGGGGGTAGCCCCTCTGCCAGCTCTCTGCAGTGCCCCCAGAAAGCCACCATTGCTCAGGCAGCTGTGGGGGAATGGACTCCTGGGGAAATGCAGTGCAGTCAAAGTGTAAGGGAGCAGATGACAGTCGCTGTGTCCGTGGGGACACGTATGCGTGTCACCGCATGATGTGGGGACATGTGCGCGTCACTGTGTCACGCGTGGGGGTGTATGTGTACGTGGCTTTGCCATCACTCATTCAGTCCCTACAGACACCAACTATACCCCAAAATCATGACCCCCTCGAATTCAGCTGCACAACACTGACTGCACCCAGAGAGGTGTGGGTTGGCCAAGGTCCTTCAGCTACGGGTCATGGTGCTTAGGGATTCGTGCCGTCGGGGGAGCTCAGGTGTGCGGGGGGAGGTGGGAAGGTGCATAGGTTGGGTCCAGCTCCGGGCAGCGGGCTCTGGCCTGGAGGGGCCGTTGGCTGGATGGGAGCCACAGTGGTGCCAGTGGGCGTGGCACTGGGGCACCTGAGGCTGGGGGCCTCCCTCGGCTCCCCTTTTTGGCTGCCTTGGCTGGGGTGCTGCCAGACACCCTGGGAAATGTGGGCCCTCCCCCTCAGCAAAGCTGGCCGGGACGAGAGACCTCAATATGCCGAACGGGCAGGGGCGTCACAGAGCCCACAGGGCAGACGGCGGCGGGCAGACCCTCCCTGCCGCTGCAGGTGCAGATGAGGCAGCCGGGGGCGGGAGGGGCCACCCAGCCCTAGACACCCCGGCCCGGGTCCTGGAGGCTGACCAGGGCCAGCGGGGGACTCACGGGACGAGAATCTCCTGCACGTTGTTGATGATCTGCTTGCCCACCATGATGACCAGGAGCTCCTGAGCCAGCTCGATGAGGCACCCTCCAGCCGCACACTGCACAGTCGGCTCCGGTCAGCACGGGGCGGGCTCTCGCGCCCACCACCCTCCCCGACCCTGACCATGTCCCACAGCCCTTTCAGACAGGCCACGGGTATTGCACAGACCCTCCTGAGACTTCACCCAAGCCCCTGCCATCTCCCCGAGGTCCACCTGGTGGACAGTGCATGGGACTGACCAGGGCCACGACTGCATGGCACCTGCCTGTCCCTTTGAGGCCCGCACTGGCCTGGGGCTCCAGGGAGGACCTGCCAGTGAGAGATGTGCCAGGGGCTCTTAGGGGGGCTCCTGGGACAGCACATTTGACACAGGGACAGCAAGCCGGGGGGTGTCGGGTAGGGAGAACCTGCCAGAGCACGGCCAGGCTGGGCCAGCCAGACCGCATTGTCCAGAAGCCTGCGCTCGGCCAACGTGCTTACTCGCGCCAGTGTGAGTGGGAATTGTTCCCACTGATGACTGAAAGCGCCCTGAGTTGGGGTCCCAGCTGCTGGTGTCTAAAAACCCCTCCCCCGTTACGTGAGAATAGTCTTCCTGGGGGTGGCTGATTTGTAGGGTCACAGCCAAGACCCATGGGAAGGAGGGAGCCCTCTGTCAGCAGGAAGGGTCGTCCAGGTGAGGCCCGGGGGTGGGGGGGCACGGAGCCCCACGCCCCCACCCCCGCCTAGCGGCCTCCTGTAGACTGTTCCAGCCCCACCCAGCCTGAACCCTCAGCCAGTGAGGGGCCAGACGCATGGGGACAATTTCGAGGGGCTTTCTACAATGTGTCTGAGGGCTGGGGCAAGGTCAAACCCAGGTGCCCACAGGGGGCACCGAGCCCTGTGAGTGTCCCGCCTCGGAGCCCCGGCGGAGCCCTGGGCAGCAACAGTGGCTGGAGCTCAGCTCAGGTGCTCTCTGGGGGTGGGGCCGGGGCAGAAGGAATCCCTGCAAATTGGGGTTCTGATAGAGGTCAGGGTGCAGGACCTGTGGGTGTCCCCGCACACTCACCTCCTCGTTTCGGACCCCAAACAAGGTGTGGTAGCTGCCTGGGTACCCCACAAACCTAGAGGACATGGAGGTCCCGAGGCCATGAGTGAGGAGGTGCCGCCCAGCTGTCCCACCGCCCGCGTGTGCGTCCCTCCTGCCCACACAGGACCTGCAAGAGCCTCCAGGTGGACCCAGAGCCCGGCTCTGCTGGTGCAGTGCGGGGGCCGGGGAGGGGCCCGGGGACAGGGGCTGACCTGCCCTTGAAGAAGGCGATGTAGATGGGTGAGGAATAGAAGTTGACGAACTGGAAGACGAACACTTTGAGGGTGAAGGCGTCCTCGAACCTGGTCTGCGTCCGGTGCATCTCTGGGCAGAGAGGCTGGCTCAGCCCCCGCAGCCCGCCGGGGGGGGGGGCCTCCAACCCCCCAGGGCCTGGGGAAGCTGCGTTGCCAGGTATTGGACAGAAGTCCATTCGGGAAGCGGCCAAGCGCAGCTTTTCCTGAAACTCTAATTTCAAAATCATCTGAAGGTGCGTTGGCGGAGGAAGGGCTGGGCGGGTGGCGACGAACCACAGCGGTGCCCTGCGTGGACGGCAGGGCTCAGAGGCTGGTGACGGTGCCTGGGAAGCTGATGCTGGGATGGGGGGCAGGGAAGGTAACTCGGAGGGGACACCTGGGCTGGAGAGGACACCCGCAGCCTGATGCTGCAGGAGCACTGTGGTGCCCCTGGGACACCTGCCCACCTCCCCAGGTGGACACTGTTCTGTTCCCCTCCTGAACCACGGCTACTGACAGACCACTTGAGGAATGAATGGGTTGGTTCATTGGCGTTTTCCTTAGAAAATGGGGGGTAGAGAAAGTGGGGGAGAGGCGGGGGACGGAGTGGAGGAGGAGAGAGAAGAAGCTGACTCTGCAGCTATCCTCCCACTGAGACACTGAGAAAGCAGGGGGCCTGGGCCGGGCAGCCCCTCCCAGGGGAGCTCAGCGGTGAGGGGTCCTGTGCACGGGGGTGAGGACACCCCAGGAGCAGGGCAAGGCCTGTCCCCACCCAGGCCCTGCTCACAGCCGGGGCAGGTCCTCCATCCCGTCTGCCTCATTCAGACGCGAGGACCCTGCGATGTGTGAAGCCATGTGCTGACTCAGGCAGAGGGCTGGGCCACTCACCCCATCTGGTCAGGACGTGGGCCAGGGCCACGTAGATCTTGGAGAGGATGAGGATGAAGACCAGGTTCACCACGGAGCCTGTGAGGCTGGCGATGCGCGATGCCTGGTGGCACACGGCGGGTCAGAGCCGGCGCTGGGGCAGTGCCGAGCCAGCCCACCCAGCCGGGCAGGCGCTGGACACTCACCCAGGCTGCCAGGAGGGTGTTGTTCGACCTGGACACCAGGATGGCCATGATGGCGCGGTACAGGATGATGGACACGAGGCACATGACCACCACAGCCACCTGCAGATGCCCAGGATGTGAGCCCAGCGGAGGCCCGGGACCCAGTGCCCTCAGGCCACGCCCCACCTTAGACCTGGCCCTGAGTGTGTCCAGCCTCTCCCAGTGGGTTGTTGGGGGACAGGGAGGGGGAGGGAGCGGGTGGGGCGGAAGGCCATTTAGAATTACGGGGGGAGGAACGATATCTGGGTGTCAGGGGAGACACTGCATTGTTCTTGGCCCCAAGTGCTGAGAACCAACCCTCCAGCCCCACACTGCCCTCCCATGGGCCAAACTTGGGAATTCCTGCCCTCTTGGCAGGGGAAGTGAGGGTCGCGAGAGGAAGGACCCCCTGCGGGGCTCCCCAGGCCCACATGTGTGGGAAAACCTCCCCGAGTCCCCTGCCCGCACACACCCCGTCTTACAACCCAGACCCCTCGTTTGGCCCTGAGCTTGGCCTCCACCCTGGCGTCCAGGCCCCTGAGGGCCTTTCTGGGCCAGCAGGTGTCCCGTGGCCCCAGGGGTAGAGGGACCACAGCTGCCCACCAGGCTCAGGAGGAAGGAGTGAGGTGGGAGGGCCGGGGGACCCTCACCATCATCAGCACCAGCACGGAGCCGGCCAGCACCCGGCGTGTGCGGCTCCTCTTGGGGAAGTGGGGCTCCTCCTCGCCGGTGATGGGGTTCAGGGCTGTCGTGGGGGCCAGGGCAGCAAACTGGGGGCGTGGCCTCTCCTGGAAGAGAAGGGGGGCCAGGGCTCAGTGGTGGCCTGGCAGGCGGACGGCCGGGGCCTGGGGCCCGACCCACCTCGATGTCCTCGTAGTCGGAGCAGCCCCAGCGGTAGGCCAGCGTGGCGCTCTTGCGCTTCCAGTACTCCAGGAGCAGCACGGCCCACAGCGCCATGAACACGCTGAAGAAGACGGTGCCGCCGTGGTCGAAGAGCCGGCCGGCCTGCGGGCGGGACGCGCCCTATGTGAGCCCCTGTGCCCCAAGGGCAGCCCTGCCGCTGGCTCTCGGGAGCACGGGACTGGCAAGGGGCACGGGCAGCGGGGTGCTGCCCCAGGACGGCCAAGCCGGTCTCCCCGTAACGATTCGGGGATCCAGATGAGACCCAGGACTTCTGGAGTTGTGCTCCCTTCGGGCGAATGCTGCGATGTGTAGAATTGGGGGATATGGGGTGGCTGTAGTTTGCTCAGGGGATGGACATGATGTTTTGGGGGCCAGATGGTGGATTACAGTGGATTGGACAGTGGCCCCCCTGAACCTCAGAGTGTAAGCTCATCTGGGACCAGGGCCTTTGCATGTGCAAATGAGGGGGTCTCTTCATGGAAGTGCCCTTGGGGTCCTCGAGCCCAGTGACAAATCCTAGGACAGCAGAGAAGGGGATTGACACAGGCGTGTGGAGGGAGAGGCCGCGTGGATGTGGAGGCAGAGACTGGGGTGAGGCAGCTGCAGGAGCCGGAGCGGGAGCAGGAGCGGGAGCGGGAGCCGGAGCAGGAGCCGGAGCGGGAGCCGAAGCCGGAGCGGGAGCCGGAGCGGGAGCCGGAGCGGGAGCCGGAGCGGGAGCCGGAGCAGGAGCAGGAGCAGGAGCAGGAGCCGGAGCAGGAGCCGGAGCAGGAAGCAGGAGCAGGAAGCAGGAGCCGGAGCAGGAGCCGGAGCAGGAGCAGGAGCCGGAGCAGGAGCCGGAGCAGGAGCAGGAGCCGGAGCCGGAGCAGGAGCAGGAGCAGGAGCAGGAGCAGGAGCCGGAGCAGCCAGAGCAGCCGCAGGAGCCGGAGCAGGAGCAGAAGCAGGAGCAGGAGCAGGAGCCGGAGCAGGAGCCAGAGCAGGAGCAGGAGCAGGAGCCGGAGCAGGAGCCAGAGCAGGAGCAGGAGCAGGAGCCGGAGCAGGAGCCAGAGCAGGAGCAGGAGCAGGAGCAGGAAGCAGGAGCAGGAGCAGGAGCCGGAGCAGGAGCAGGAGCCGGAGCAGCCGCAGGAGCCGGAGCAGGAGCAGGAGCCGGAGCAGGAGCCAGAGCAGGAGCAGGAGCCGGAGCAGGAGCCGGAGCAGGAGCCAGAGCAGGAGCAGGAGCAGGAACCAGAGCAGGAGCAGGAGCAGGAGCCGGAGCAGGAGCCGGAGCCGGAGCAGGAAGCAGGAGCAGGAGCAGGAGCCGGAGCCGGAGCAGGAGCCGGAGCAGGAGCCGGAGCCGGAGCAGGAAGCAGGAGCAGGAGCAGGAGCAGGAGCCGGAGCAGGAGCAGGAGCAGGAGCAGGAGCCGGAGCCGGAGCCGGAGCAGGAGCAGGAGCCGGAGCAGGAGCAGGAGCCGGAGCAGGAGCCAGAGCAGGAGCAGGAGCAGGAACCAGAGCAGGAGCAGGAGCCGGAGCAGGAGCCGGAGCCGGAGCAGGAAGCAGGAGCAGGAGCAGGCCCGCGCGTCTCCAGGAGAGACGGTCCTGCCACACCGCGTGCTGGGCCCCAGAACTGTGAGACAATATCCCCGGTGTTTCGAGCCCCGGCGGTAACTGGGCACAGCAGCCCTAGGGGGCGGTACAGATGGGTCCAGGAGCGTGTCAGAGGCGTGTCTGGTGTGGGGACCCGACTGGGCACCAAGGGTCCCAGGCCAGTGGGTGTGAGGCCACACGGCTGCCGTGTGCCGGGCTCGGCTGGTGCCCTGGCAGCTTCCACCTGTCTGCCCCGGGGCCCTCGAGTGACCTCCTGGATCAGTTACGACGACTGTAGAGTGGGGCCCATGTATGGGCACCGAGGTGGGGGCGTCGCCACAGAGGCCACAGAGCTGGGGTCACAGGCAGGACGAAACCAGGCCTGGGAGCTGCCTCCCTCCCCTCGCGAACGGGCCCCACCTATACCTGGACCAGGGCGCAGGCGCTGGAGAGCGGCCAGAAGGGGCAGTGGGGGCACAGCGGGCACATCTCGAAGCTGTTGGCGCTGTCACACAGCTCCCGCCTGCACAGTGGCCGAAGGGTGGGTGGCCTCGTCCTCTCCCCACCACCCCTGCCCTCCCCTACCACCTTGTCCTCTCCCTCCTACCCTGCCCTCCCCCACCCCTACCTCCACCACCCCTGCCCTCCCCCTCCTACCCTGCCCCTGCCAGGCCCCCCATTTCCTTAAAACATATGCAATGGGCCCTGGCTGGTGTGGCTCAGCAGTTAGAGCGTCAGCCTGTGAACCAAAGAGTCGTGGGTTCAATCCCAGTCAAGGGCATGTACCTCAGTTGCAGTTCAATCCCCGGCCCTGGTCAGGGTCATGCAGGAGGCAACCAGTCGATGTGTCTCCCTCCCGTCAATGTTTCTCTCTCTTCCCCTCCTCTCCTCCCCCAACTCTATCTTGAAATCAGTGGGAAAATATCCTCAGGTGAGGATTAAAAAAATATATATATGCAATGATAACTTACGAGATAATTGTTTGAATTTCAACTCTATAATAAAGTAAAACTTAAGCCCTTTCATCTGTTTGTTATAAGAAACACACTATTGCAAGAAACAAGGGCGTGCCAGTAAAATTAGCCTGGGGGCACCCCTGTGCACCTGCATCATTCTGGGGGAACACCTGTGCACCTGCGTCATTCCGGGGGCACCCCTGTGCACCTGCATCATTCTGGGGGCACACCTGTGCACCTGCGTCATTCCGGGGGCACCCCTGTGCACCTGTGTCATTCCTGGGGCACCCCTGTGCACCTGCGTCATTCTGGGGGCACCCCTGTGCACCTGCGTCATTCTGGGGGCACACCTGTGCACCTGCATCAGCCTGAGAGCACCCCTGTGCACCTGCGTCATTCTGTGGGCACCCCTGTGCACCTGCGTCATTCTGGGGGCACACCTGTGCACCTGCATCAGCCTGAGAGCACAACTGTGCACCTTTGTCATTCTGGGGGCACCCCTGTGCACCTGCGTCAGCCTGGGGGCACACTTGTCTAGTGGTCAGTCTTGGGAGCACTCCTATCTACCTGTCATTCTTCCAGCAGGCCCGTAGGGCCCTCAGTGACATCCATGAGGGTAGGGACATGTTCAGTGCTCACCCCCACCCCAGCTCTGCACAGGACCTGGTACGTGGGGGTCCCCCAACCTCACCCCATCCCCAGAGACACAGGGTGAGGCCCAGGAGCTGAGGGGAGCAGGCACTTACGTGGGTGTGTCTGAGAACACCATGAGGCAGCCCACCAGGAACACGAGTGTGCCCACCACGGCTGCTGGCAGGAGCCAGCCCGTGTAGAACCCTGCAGGGGCCAGGGGAGGGCCAGGAGTCAGCAACCCGCATGGGCCTGTGTGCCCAGCGCTGAGCCTAGTGCTGGGGGGTTCTGCACAGCCACAGTTGTCCCCCAGGGACCCATGTCCCACCTGTGGGGTCTGGGACCATCTGGGAGGCAGGAGTGAGGGGATGGTCCTCGGGGGTCTCTCCTGGGGCCCCAGCTCCTAGCCTCTGCCCTGGGCTCTGCAGTCCCCACCAGTGGTCAGGGCCCCGTGGGCCGTGTCAGGGGGCCAGGGACACTGGAGGTTGGAGTGGGGAGGACCCGCATGCAGGAGGTTCCCAGTCCCTCACTGGGTGTGAAGAGGGCCCTGGGCCGGGGCTGCCTTGGCCTAGGAGGGGTCAGCACACTGGTGGCCCCCCTTGAAGACAACAATTAGCAGACTGTTACCCTAAAGACCACACCAGGGGCCCAGGAGGCCCCCCAGGAGCAGCGGGCAGGACTCACCGAGCCAGGCGAAGTAGAGGGCCACCTTCTCCCCGAAGTACCTGCGCACATGGTCCAGAGGCTGGTACCTGCACCACTTACGCCAGGCGGCCCAGTACTGGAACAGGACCTGCCGCTGGTTGAGGCCAGGGGCCTGCGGGCCCTCGGGGGGCGTCATGAAGGGGCCCTGGGGACGAGAGGCTGATGGGCAGGACCCGCCCCTCCTGGGCCCTGTTCCAGGTGTAGGGCTTCAGACAGACAAGGCCCACCTGCCCCAGTGCCCCTGACTCAGGGTGGCTGCCCAGGACCCACAGTAATGTTGGGGTGTGGGGGTCTAGGAAGGCCTCTCAGGGGGCCATCTGAGTGGGGCACCTCAGCTGCCCGGGGCTCCCGGGGTCCCAGTCCAGGAGATGCTGCGGCTGTGCCCGGGGTGAAGTGGCGTCTCTGGGTGGGTCTGTGCAGCGGATGCGGTGCTGCCCCCGCAGCTGCCCCCACCTCCCTGAGGGAGCCCCTCGTCCAGAAACAGCCCAGGCCCGGGACCTGGTCTCACCTCGTGCAGGGGGAAGGCCGCCCTGAGGACGCCCTGTGACAGCAGCTGGTCGACCCCCAGCAGACCTTTCTTCTCGTGGCCATACGGGGTCTTGGCCAGGATCTCGAACAGCTGGGGGTAGTGGCGGAGGGCACCAGTCACCTGCCATGTCAGGGCAGGGTGGGGACATCCTGCCTCTGCCTTGAGGCAAATGGAGAGGATACTCCTCGTGTCCCCGGCTCACACACACCATGACCCCTGCGGTGGGGGTCACTCTCCGCTGGACAGTCAGGAGACCTTGGCCAGACATGGACGCAGAGGAGCCAAGCCTGGATCGGACTCCAGGCCCTGGCAGTGCACAGCCATCTCTGGACCCTGCTCTGGGCAGGGTCAGCCTCCAGCTGGACGGCTGTGTCAGGGGTGGGCTGTGCTCCTTTGGTGGCCAGCAAGGGGCTGCCTGGGGCACCCTGTCCTAGGTCCTTCCTGTCAGGGACCCTGGAGCGGCCTGGTGCTGCCCACCCTTCTCAGGGACGATGCTCTGACCCTCAGCTCCCACACCCAGCTGGACCAGTGGCCATGGCTGTCTGTCCCACAAGTCCATACCAGACACCCCTTCCAGGCCCTGGGGGGTGTCCTGCAGGGGCACCGAGAAGGCCCCGACCGAGTGCGATGGGGCCTCCAGCCCGCACAGCAGAGCCTCCTGTGTCCAGACCTCGGCTAGGAGGTCTGGGGCCAGCAGGCTCCTTAGGGCCAGGTGAGGGTGTGGGGCTGCAGGGGGACCCCACTCACAATCTGGTGCCTGTTGGTGCAGGGGAAGAAGGTGTCCTGGCTGTCACTCCCGAGGAACCTGTGGGCAGGTGCAAAGTGCCAGGGGCCACAGAGGCCGGACACGCACCCCGACCACGCTCACACCTTCCTCGCACGTGGGCACAGCCGCTGCCCCACCCCCACGCACGGTCACACCCCGTTTTTCCTTTTCCTTTCTCGAGATAAGAGGTGGCAGAACACTGCCCAGACGCCACGGACAGCCCCACCCTGGGCACGGTTGGCAGAGGGAGGGCGGTGTGGGAGCACCCAGCTCACCAAGGAGCCCTGTGGCCCCCACTTGCCCCTGGCGCCCCCAGAATGGGACAAAAACCTCCTGGGCAGAGTGTCCGGCGGCGGCCTGTGTGGGCAGACGATTGGCCAGAGGCCCTCCCTGGCCAGAGCCATGGGCAAGAGTCAGCACGGCTGGATTTCCCAGCCAAGGGGAGGTGCTCTCTGTGCGGCAGCGAGACCACGTGAGGGGCTTCACTGCTGGTCACCCACACCGGTCCCCACCCCCGACACGGCCCATCGGCGCCAGGTGTGCATGTGACCCCCGCACATGGAGGAGGGGCCATGGGCAGCCCGTACACACTGACCGTCCACCTCCCGCCTCGGCTGTGACCGGAGGGCTCCAGCCTGGGCCCAGGAGACCCTGCTGGCCACACGGACGAGCAGTGGAGCAGGCAGTGGGCCAGGCTTGGGGGACGCCTGACCTGCGGCTGCCCCTGCCACGCACGCTCCGGGTGCGGAGCTCCAGAGAGGAGGTGCGGGAGAGGTGGGCCGGGGCCTGTGACTGCTGACCCCTCACGCACGCATCCTGAGTCCGCCGCCCGGGCGCCCCGGGAGCTGACTGGACAGGCGGCCGTCTCCTACCTCGACAGCTTGCTCACTTTGAACTGGCAGGAGTAGTACTCGGGGGGCACGTCAGGCACGTCCTCCAGCAGGACGTTGGGGATGCCCAGCCACTGCAGCAGGCCGGCCGACCAGTTGCAGGCCTGGTTGGGCAGCTCCTGAAAGGAACCATCACTTGTCCCTCCCGCCCGAGCCACGCGGTGCTGGGGTGTGGGTCTGCGAACCGAGCAGCAGAAGGCTCGGCAGGGAACAGGCAGCCCCTCCTGTCGCAGGCCTGGGAGTAGGGCTGCTCAGCCAAGGCCCAGAGGCCCTCGGGGCAGATGGTCACGTGTCCCTCCGCTCACCGAAGGGCCATGGTCAAAGGGAGTCAGCAGGTGGCAGAGCGGGGTCACCTGCTGTCCCCTCACCCTGTGTCCCCCAGGCTGGGGCTGACCCCCCTGCAGTGGCTCAGATGGCTGCTGCGCTCGCTGTCCACGCCTCCCTCCCTCCCCTTCATGGTGGGGGCACAACCCCGCCCGCCCTGTGTGCCCAGGAAGGCTTCCCGGAGCACAGTGTGGTGGTGGCAAGAGGGGTGGGCCCTCGAGGACAATGGGGAGCCCTCGGGTTGTCAGCATTGGGCACTGCACCCAGCACATGGGGGACCCCCAGGCCTTCTCTGAACCCCAGGCACCCCGGGTACCTGCAGGGGCAGCTTCAGGCGCAGGTCTTCCGCGTAGTAGCAGAGCACCGCCCAGGGGGCGCTGAGGAGGGCGTAGTGCACAGCACTGTCCTCGTCCTGGACGTGGCGCTGTGGGGATGGGGCTCCATCAGCCTGAGGGTCACGTGTGTGCACGTGTGTGTGCGTGTGCGTGTTTGCAGGTGTTTGTATCTGCACGTGTGAGCAAACACGGTGCACATGTGCCCATTTGTGTGTGTGGGGGTTTGTGTGTGCACATGGGTGTGTGCCCATGTGTGTCCTGTCACACTTTTAGGAAACATTAGATGTTTCTGTAGCCATGGTAACAACTGACCAGCCATGGTTTTAATCCTATTTGGTCAGTGACAGTTTCTGTGACCGAGCCTCTGAGAGCCACGCACGGGTGCCTGCTCCTGTTGGGGGCCAGGCTGGTGCCAGCCACGCCCCTGTGACCAGCACCCCCAAGGCCTGGGCTCTGCTGTGCTCAGAGCGGCTGCCGAGCTGCCCCGCGCCCGGACCTGAGTGGGCAGTACATGCAGCTGTTGGCTGTCAGATACTGAATGACTGTCCGGCCCGACAGACCTCTGGGCATGTGTATGTTACGTGTGTGAATACAGACGTGTGCATGTGTGGGAGTGAACATAGGGGTGCATCCTTGTGCTCACATTCATGTGCAGCTGTGTGGACGTGGGGCAGGCACTCCTGGAGCCTGAGGTGGGGACTCAGCCCCGTGGTCAAGTGTCTCCCTAGTGTACACCCATCTCTAAAGACCAGTGGTTCTCAGCCCTCCCTGTAGCCGTCCGGGGTCCCCCCCGGGCTGGAACGGGTGCCGAAGGGAGCACGTGCGTGTCCGCGCGGTGGGTCCCCGGTGCTGGCGGTGTGTGCTGAGAGCCAAGAGCTGCCGTTCAGAATGAAGGCCGAGGGCGCCTTGGACAGAGCTGCGCTCTGGCGCGCTGCGGTGCCCTCTGTGCCCCACTGAAAGTGAGCCCGCCCAGTTCTGGGTGCCAGCTTTGCCAGCTCACGGGGCCACACCCGTCAGCCACACTGTCCCACACGCTCTTCCCACGAGGGGAGCGTCTTTCCATCCCTTCCCACCAGACTGGCGAGTGGACCCAAACTCAGGAGGGGACGGGGTGTTAGCCGTGACCCTCCCACTGTACGTGTTCGCCGACACTTGGGGCAGCTCCGGAGGGGCGCAGCCAGTGTGGGCCAGGGGGGGGGAGGCGGTAAGCAGCGGCTGGAGGCCCCGTCCCTTCAGGCAACAAGCAGGAGGGAGCATGAGAACAAGAAGGTGGATGGCAAGTGAGATGTGACAGGCTCAGGGGCCTCCACACCGGCTGAAGCCAGCCTGGACCCCACCGTGATGGCGACGGGCCAGCTGGATGGGGCTGACGCCTGCCACACATAACCAGCAGAGCGGTGCCCAGCATCCTGGAGCGCCCGCGCACTGGTGGGGAAAAGGTGAACATCCCACCAAAAGGAGCAAGAGAAGGGAAGGCAACTCACAGTGTTGGAAACACGAACAACCCTGAACACACGAGAGTGCTCATCCTCTAGGAATCGGGCACACGCACACGGAAACCCCAGGGCACACCGCCTCCCACCACCCAGGGGGCGGAGATTTCTCAGACAAAACTAAGTGCTGGGCGCCACTCACAGCTGACCAGGGTACCTATCAGGCTGCCGTCTGGGGACATGGTGGCCACACACACCCAGGCCATCCACTCTACCCTCAGGAGAAATTCCTGCACCTGGGCACAGGGCACATGTACACATGTGAGAATTCATGGCGGCTCTTTTTGTAATAGCCCCAACTGGGAGCAAGTTGAATGCTTGTCCACGTGACGGGTAAGTGCACAGCAGCGGAATCACGCAGTGGGCGCCCTGTGCGAGGACAGCGGCCCAGCCAGCGATGCAGGTGGGTCTCACAAGCGTGACATCGGGAAGAGTCACACAGAGCAGAACCCCATCTTATCAAATTCAAAACAAACCAAGTTGCATTGTTCAGCAATGTAAAATGGATACTCAAGTGATCAAGAAACAAGAATGTGACTAACATAAAAGTCAGGATTGATCACTCTGGGACTGGGAAAGACAGACACCTGGTGGCACAGCCTGTTCATGGGGACAGAGAAAGGTGGTCAGACAATGCAGGAGACGTGGAGGGACCTGGGACAAGGGCAGGGATGGATGGGACCAGCGTACTGCGCCCTAATCTTCAACTGCTCCATGCCCGCTCACTGCCAGCCTGCCCCCTGCACACGGGTGCCACACAGCTCCGCCCTCCTTTCTCATGCTCCTGCAATGCAAGTGGTGCCCACTGTGATAGCTGCATCACCCCTGTGGAAGGACATTCAGCTGTTAAATCCTATATGCACACAAGAGTTATAATTACAAATGTCACACATAGATAGAAGCTCTAATGTTGGAGTGAGACAGGTGAATGGAGAAGATGGCGTCTGAATTTTTAGGTGAATCTGAAGGGCTCTGGCCTCTCTGAGCAAGCTCGGTGTGCTGCCATGGGTTGGGGGGAGGGGCGTCCAGCAGGGCCCTGGGCTTGATTGTCCCTGGTCCCTGGGTGTCATGATCCCAAGCCTATGGATGTGGAGCCAGGGCCCTGCCCACAACCGGCCCCACATACCTGGTCCACGTCCAGCCCAGCCACACGAAGGTTATTCAGAAAGGTCTCCCGCCAGGCCCTGTGTGTGTCTGTCTTGTCCCGGGTGGTGCTGTCCTGCTGCTGACCCGGCCTCAGGTCTTCCTCCCAAACAAGGACAAAGTCTGCTGGGAACCAACAGAAACAGAGCAGGAAGACGAGCTGATGCGGGGACACCAGCGTCCCAGCGCGACGCCAGGTACCAAGTGGGGAGCAGGAGCCTTAGCATGTGGACACTGGGCTGCCTCACCATATGAGATGTGGTCATGGCCAAAGGGCCCAACACACTGTCATCTGAGAACCAGAAGGAGAGTGTGGGAAGAAGCACTTTTTAAAGAAAAATGGTCAAGAATTTTTGATGAAAAATATCAGTCCAAAGAATAAAAAATCTCAGTGATCCCCAGACAGGATAAGGAAACTCCAGCTAGGAAAACCATGGACAGCATGTCTTTGCTGTGCCCTAAAGAGAAAGAGAGAAAATCAAAACATTGTTTTTCGGGGAACAGTGAGAATACGTACACCTGATTTCTCACCGGAACCTATGGAAGCCGGAAGACGATGGAGCTGGGGAAACTGCTCCAGTGTCCACACTGGGATTCGTACTCTGCAGAAATGTTCTCCAGAGATGAGAATAAGTGAAGACCTCCTCAAACAATCAGACTCTGGGAGACAAAGTCCCAGCACACCTGCTCTACAGGAAACACGGGAGGGAGTCCTTTAGGCCAACAGAGATACTCTTAGATGGAGATGTGGAGGAACAAGAAGAATGAACATATCGCAAAGGAGAAACAGTTAAACGTGAAAGTAAAATGACCTATTTATAGATGACACGATCTTATCTATAGATATCCCAAAGGAATTCACTACAAAAACTAATAGAAATAATGACAGGTTTGGCAACAGTGCTAGATACAAGATCAACATACACATGTCAGTCTAGCCCCAGCTGGTGTGGCTCACTTGGTTGGAGCATTGTTCTGTGCACTGCAGGGTCATGAGTTCGATGCCCAGTCAGGGCACATACCTGGGTTGTGTGTTTGATCCCCAGTAGGGGCATATGCGGGAGGCAACTGATCAATGTTTCTCTCTCACACTGATGTTTCTCTCTCTTTCTCCCTTCCTCTCTGTCTAAAATCAATTTTAAAAAATCGACTGTATTTCCACACATCGGTAATAAACAAGACGAAAATGAAATGAAGAAAAACAATTCCATATACAACAGCACAAAAAAAAAGAAAAAAATTTAACAAAAAAATGTGCAAGAATGATACATTGGAAATGACCAAACGTTGAAATAAATGGAAGAAGAGTTAAATACTGCAAAGACACCCCTCGGCATGAGGTGCATGCGTGGTCAAGGACAGCAACTGTCTTTCGGATTTCGTTCCTATCAATCCCCAGCTGTTTGTTTTTAGAAACTGAGAAATTTGCCCTGGCTGGTTTGGCTCAGCAGTTAGAGCGTTGACCCGCGGACCAGAGAGACCCGGGTTCAGTTCCCACTAAGGGCACGTACTTCGGTTGCAGTTTGTCCTCGGCCCTGGTTGGGGTTGTGGGTGGCAACCACTTCCTCCCTCTCTCACTCCTGCTCTATCTGAAGACAAATGCAAAAATGTCCCTGGTGCCCTGGCAGGTTTGGCTCAGCGGTTGGAGCGTCGGCCTGTGGACCAGAAAGTCCTAGGTTCGGTTCCCGCTAGGGGCATGTACCAAAAAAAAAAAAAAAAAATCCTTGGGTGAGGATAAAGTAAAAAGGAAGAAAGAACTTGAGAAATTTAAAATTCATGTGGAAACACCTTGAGATCCAGAATATTGCACATTGTTGGGGGAAAACAGAGTTGTACGACTCATGTTTTTTTAATTTCAGAACTCACTACAAAGCTAGAATAATTAGGGCCCCGTGTTAGCGGCATAAGGAGGGACATGTAGATCCATACGACGTATTCGAGATTCTGAAGAGAAACCCGTACACGTCTGGGCCACGTTTTACGTTCAGTGGGAGCAGAACAGTGACGCCAACAGCTGGCGCTGGAACCAGTGTGCAGACACAAGAACCAACTCAAAGTGCAGTTGAGTTCTCGAGACAAAGCTCGTAGAACGAAGGGTAAGAACTGAACGGGGAGACTCGGGTTTCTGAGACACAACACCCGAGGCGTAGCCATGAGAGAGACCGACGAGGTGCCGGCAGGAGAGTGAGACAGCAACACCCAGAGGGGAAGAAAAATGTGCGAGCAAAGACTGCATCTGATAAGGGCCTCGCGCCCAGAATACACGAAGAACGTTACAACCTCATAAAAAGACAAATAACCCCATTTAAAAGTGGGCAAAGATTTTGCACGGACACTTCTCTAAGGAAGATAGACGCGCGGCCACAAAGCCTGTGGGGGACGCCCGGTGTCGGTCGTCATCAGAAAGTCGCTCTCGGAGCCCAGCGAGAGGCCGCTCCACACCCACCGGCACGGCCGCGGAGGTGATGGCTGTCGGACGGGATGCACGTCGGCGCGTGCACTGCTGGGGGTTTGCGAACAGGGCGGTCACTCTGGAGAACAGTTGGCCCCCCAGATGGAAACAACCTGAATGCTCGTCACCAGCTCTTTCGGGGGTGTCTCCAGAAGCGAGGTGGCTGGGCCACATGGTAGCCCCACATTTAACTTTCTGAGGCACCTCCAGTTTCCTGCCGTGGCTGCACCCACACCTCCCCCAGCAGCGCACAGGTCTCGACTGCTCTGTCCGCACAGCACTTGGTCTGTTTTGTCGCTGTCGGGGTGGGGGTGAGGGCGTCCACTCTGAACAGGGGTCTTCCTGGTGCCGCGGGGAGGGCAGGGCCCGGTAGGTGGGCACCGTGAGCCCGGGGGTGCAGTCCTCTGGGAGCTGGTGGTGGTCAGGGGCAGACAGCCGCAGTGGGGTGGGTGAGGAGAAGGTAGAGAAGCTGAGTCCAGGAGATAAGATGCTGAGGTGACACCAGCTGTGCCCAGGCCAGAGCAGGAGGGCGTGTGTGTCCCTCCGCCCTCCAGAGCTCTCCTCAGTCCAGCCTCTCAGTAGGGACCCCCTTTCCTGTGTCCCCAGGCTGTGTTCTGCTCCCCAAGAGGCCCCAGGGCTCAGGAGACAGTGCTGGGTGAGGGAGGGGTGTCCTCCTGCCACCAATGTGGGTGCCCTATCTGTGTCCCCACCCCCAGGACCAACATGGGCACAGCTGGCAAGTACTGGGAGGGGCTCACCAATCCGGGGCTTGGCAGGGTTCCCCGCCCTGCAAGTGGCCGCCTGGTGTTCGTCCGGCTGGAAGGAAAGCACCCCGGTGAGAACACGCCCCACCGGCCTGACCACCCGGGAGCACGGGAGGCCGAGGGGGGGAGACACTACGGGGCAGGGGGCGCACGGGCACATCCAGGGGTGAGGCCGCCCCACACCCTTCCTGCCCCCAGCCTCTGAGCAGCCAGTATGGGCTGTGGACATGGGTCGGTTTGCAGGCCGCACCGCCAGGACCCCGGTGCCACCCCTGCCGGCCTCCAGGGCCAGAGGGAAGCGGGCTGCTGTCAGGGGCCCGGGGACAGGCCAGAGGTGGTCATGCGCCCAGAGCGGGTCCTATTCCGGGTGGGTGAGGCCTGTCTCCCCACCCCCAGAGGCTGTGCTGAGGGGCAGCAGGAAGGGACCCTTGTGCCTCTCACTGCGGGGGTGGGGCAGGCAGCGCCCGGGGGGCAGACACGGAGCACAGAACTGACGACCAGGAACCCTCCCGACAGCCTCAGGGTGTCTGTGGCCCCCAGGCCAAGGGAGGGAGCCCTGTGCCCCCTCTGTCCCTCCATGCTGGCGGGTCTAGCCCTGCCCGCCTCCACCTCACTGGCCTGGTTCAGCCGTCCCAGGGGCTTCTGCACATCCTCAGGGCCAGCAAGGCTGCAGGGACCCCGCACCCGGGACGCAGGTGTCCGCGAAGCGGTGAGGGCTTGGGGTGTCCCGGTCACATGCACCCCGGAGGCTGGGCCAGTGCAGGCCATGGCCCCAGCGCCCCTGTGTCCATCTTCGGCCACCCTCTGTGCTCACTGTAGACCGAGGCCCGCAGCCCGGGGCAGGGTGGCCAGGGGCTGTGCGGGGCCTCCTGCCCCAGCCCCTGAGGACGGACGTACCTGCGAGGTGCTGGCAGTGCTCCCGTAGGAGTCCCCCTTCTCCGTCCCCGGGCCCAGGTCGATCAGGACAGCACTGTCCTCCTCCGGGGCCCGCCTCCGCAGCATCCCGTTCCCGCACCTGCCAGGACCACGGTGGGCACGTGAGACGTGGTCCCGCCACCGCCCAGCCTGCAGACCCCCGGCAGGTGAGGACAGGGCCAGCGGCCGCAGGCAGGGCCGGGCCAGGCCGTCTGACTTGGGACCACGTGAAGGCCCCAGACCTGGGCAAGGGAGCTGCCCGTCTGTCTGTCTGTCCAATGAGTGCCCACTTCCCTTCAGCCCTGCATGTGGGCTCGGAGCATGGGTGCCCCCTCCTCTGCTCACCTGCCGGGGACAGACAATACCCTTTAACAGAGGGAGACCGGGCCCTGGCAGAGATGCTGGCCTGGCCATGCTGACCCTGTGTCCCCCTGCCACACCTCTGGGTCACTCTGTGGGGGGACGGTCACCATGGTTCCAGTTGGCAGGCTGACCCAGTGAGGCAGAGAATGAGAGAAGCCTGTGGCTTGGAAGGGGGTTGGATTTGAGCCAGGGCTGGTTGTTCCCCCTGCAGAACCGACGTGACCTGAGGGACCTCCCCAGGGAACTGTGGCTGGGAGGCCACGTGGACGGAGGAGCCACAGAGGGGCAGTGTGGTAGGGGCAGTCCTGCTGTTGTGGGAGGTGCCCCTCAGCGCTCTGCTCAGAAGCACAGAACAGAGGGTGCCCCCGGCAAGAGGCCCAGGAGTAACCTGCTCTGTGGGGGGTTCGCTGGACAGGTGGGGAAACCGTTCTCAGGGTTGAGGTTCTCTGCCCAAGGCCACCCTGAGCACTGGCCCTTCCCAGGACCCCCAGGTCTGGAGCAGACCGTGCCAGATCTCAGGGGGACAGCCTCCCTGGAGAAACCACCCCTCGGAGCCCTGATGGGCTGGGGTGCTCACCAGCCTCCCTGGGGCCCACCTGCCCCCCTTCCTCCCTGTGCCCGTTCAACGTGGAAAGATCCCCACCTGGCACAGTGGCTTCCAGCAGGGGCCTCGGAGGTCATAAGCCTCTTCCAGCAGGGGCCTGGTCTGCGCGGCAGGTCTGGGCTGGCCCCTTGGGAGGGCCGGGTGGGACCCTGTCCTGGTAGCCCTGCCCAGGGGATGACGGCCACTCTTGTGTCCTCACCGTGCCAGCAAACGGCAGGCAGGAGAGGCGCCTGGCACGGGGTGGGCAAGGCCTCCTGCTCTGGAACAGGACCTGCCTGTTTGCAAAAGGGGTGTGCGCTCGGGTCTGCAAACAGGCAGCGCATTTCCCTAGAACCTGCGCGCCGGCATGCAAACACCGCCGTCCGTGTGCTTAGGGAGCTCAGAGTCCACGCTGCAGCTGTGCTGGCGAGGGGCCGGCGGAGCCCAGCTGCATGGCCACAGGTGAGGCATCCTCACCTGGAGCTGTGCCCGCAGGGACTCGGGCGCCAGCCTGCAGAGCCAGCTCTGCCGCTTCCCGGGTGTGGCCTCGTGACATTCCCACCGCTCAGGGCCCTCGGCGAGAGGGGTCCCAGCCCTCCTCCCTGCGCGCTGTGCTTGTCTCCTGGGAGCCCTCTCTTGCCCTCACAGCCCCCCAGCACCTGTGGCTGCAGCCCTGCCCGCTCTCCTCTGCCTGCTGAAACCCCTGAATCAGACCCTCGTGCAGGCTGGAGCCAGATTCCTTCCAGGGAGCCCTTGAGCGGAGGGTCAGGTCCCTGTGCCGGGCGCTCTCCCTCGCACCCAGCAGAGCCCAGGCAGCAGCTGGGGCACCCTGAGGTGTCTGTCCGGGGTCAAGCTCTCCCAACAGGCCCTGGGGTGGAGTCCTGTGCAGGGACGAGACTGGAAAGAGACTCGGGGCCCAGGAGCGGGAGGCAGGCAGCCAAGGGTGGCCTCGGGCGGAGCCCACAGGTCTCTGCAGAGCAGTGTGGGCCATCCCAGGAAGAGGGCGTATCGGGGACTCTGCTCTGGTGGCCCCTCAGCTATTGGTCAAGAAGAGCAGCAGGGGCAGGTAGCTGGAGCCCGGGAGGGCCATATGCGTGGGGGACACCCAGCTGAGGGCTCATTCCGACTGCAATTTGCAATGTTCACTCCCCATGCTATAGTTTGAAGTTTTTCAAGTTGTGTTGTTTTTGCAGCTTAAAGATATTGAGAATGAGCCAGTGCCCTGGCCTGTGTTGCTCAGCGGTTAGTGTTGGCCCTTGGACAAGAGCCTCGGGTTTGATTCCCGGTCAAGGGCATGTACTTGGGTTGCAGATTTGATCCCCAGCCCTGGTCAGAGTCTTGCAGGAGGCAGCCAACCGATGTGTCTCTCATATCAATGTTTCTCTTTCTCTCTCCCTCACTTCCACTCTATCAGAAAATCGATGAAAACTATCCTTGGGTGAGGATTAAAGAAAGAAAGAGAAGAAAGAGAAAGCGGTACGACCAGCACGGCATCTCCTTGGGTCCCGAGTCCTAGGAAGAGCCCGTGGCCAGGATTTGCTGTGCCAGCCTCGTTCAACTGTAACTTAATATCCATCTGCGTAACATTCAGAAATGCATTCGGTGGAGGTTAAAGTAAAAGCTTCTGATGACTGTGACTTCACAAGAAGTGGGAGGAGGTGGCTCCGGGGTGGGCTCAGCGGCTGCAGGCCTCATGCCTGGGAGGCGGCTGCAGCAGGTCCGGCCCTCAGATCGCATCCCAGGCACCGTGCAGCTGCACCTGCCCTGCCCTCAGAAACAGCGTGCATCCGAGCACGAGTCTCAGGCTCCCCGGCCATGAGCGATCTGGAAGGGGCAGAGCTGTCGGACTTGTTCAGAACCTGCCTCATCCCTGGCAATGGGCTCATTGCTGGTTGGGACAATTGCTGGGGCGCATGGCCCAGTGGGATGATCTTTCCCAGTTACAGCTCACTGGTGTCAGGTGTACAGCGTCATGGCTGCTCCTCTGTCTTTTCCACAATCACGGCCACGGGGGCTCAGCTCCCCTGCACTAGTTGTGGTACCCCTCCCCGGCCTGCAGGCTACTGCCCTGGCTCCATGGCCTCCAAACTTCCTCTGTGCATGGAGCAGCAGCCCCTCGGGTGGCCACCCGGCCTGCTCACTGTCCAGCTGCTGCCCTCCCCCCCGCATGCCTCTTGTCCCACAGGGCCCTTCCCCCAGGTCCATGTATCTGCATGGCTGTCCTCCCTGCCCCTCCCCTGCTGCACATCGGCAGCTCTCCCCAGCCAGGCCACCGCAGTCGGGTGTCAAGGCCTCCTTCACCCCTCCCCGGCCCCTTCCTTCCCTCCTCCCTGCACCCCTCAGCCCCTCCAGTGCCACTCTGACCAGCTGCTCTCGTCAGGGTCACCTGCCCCAGTAGACCCAGGGACTCCTCAGTGAGCCCGTCCAGCGGGGTCGAACGTTCCCCCCACGGGGCCTGAGGTTAGCGGGTTCCCGACTGCGGGCGGGCTTCCCCGTACCATCAGCAGCGCCGCCCGCCGGCCTCTCCCTCCTGAGATCAGCCTCCTGGGCTGCTGGGTTGTTTCAGAACAGAGGGGCTGGGCTGGCCACCCTGTGCTATGGCGCTCTCGGCCCGATCCCCATGCCCACCCCGTCCCTCTGTAAGTGTCCCTTCCTGTCCCTCTAATGGACATGCCTTCACGCACTGCGGTCTCACTGGCCCCCAGTGTGGGCACCCAGACTGTGTCCAGCTGAGCTCAGGTGTGAGGCTGGGCGGTCTACTCGGGACCAGGGCTCCCTGCTGCAGCGAACACCTCTGTCAGTGGCCTGGCTTCTCTGGTGGCCGGCTCACCCTCGCCCATTTCTACCTGATTCCGTCTTCTTTTCCCTGATTTGGGGGATTCGTTACATCTATTAGGCCTCCATCTTTAACTCTGCCACACCTCCTATCTGCCATCTGTGGCCCATCGAGGTGCTCTCCGTTCTACAGAATTTTCACTTTTAGGTTAAAAACCCATTGAAACCTTGTCCCGTGGTTGCACTTTGGGGTTTTAAGTTCTCCACTCTGAGCTCACACACAGGTTTCCCACATTTTTCCTACCAATTTTCTCCTTTCACGTGAAGTTCAGGCCCCAGGCCAGCCTGCAGGGCCGTGACGTCGTCCAGGTGCACCGTCCGGCACACTCCTCGGACCAGCCCTGGCTGGCCCTGAACTCGGTCCGCTCGGCTGACTGCGGTCAGTGTGGGTCTGCAGTCGCCAGAACCTGGCAGGAAATCCCTGCTCCTGATGGTTCCTCAAAGCCGACTCAACCTTTTCAGTTTCAAGGCTCAATGCGGACCTTTTTCTTCCATAGAAATGTTAAAGTTTAATGAGTTTCTCAAAAGATCAGATGGGTTTGGGTTAGGACTGTGCTGGATCCCCCTCCCTTCAGCCTTTCTGAGTAACTTCAGAAGTCAGGTAACAGATGCTGGACTCCAACTTGTGACCCACCGAGTCTCCCCTCCACCCCGCGAGGATGGAGGGACTGCCCGCCCCCGCTGCCACCCCCTTTGCTGGAGGATTTGGGCTCTTCCTGGCTGAGCCGGAGGTCCCGTAACTGACTTCTGTTCTATCAGAGGTTTTCCCACAAACTGCTGCTCCCTTTCCTGCTCCAAGCTGGGCTTGTGCAGCCCACTGCTGCTTCTAAGGCACTTATCCTTTTCAAGTTCTTTACTTGGATTTTCTTTTTGGGGTGGAAATTATTCCGCTGAGTAATTTTTCAACACAGGCACCCAAATCCCGAACTCATCTCAGACACAGCCGGGTTTGGCCAAGGGCAGGGCGCTGGGTCCCCACCACCAGGGCCACGCCCCACCCAGCCCTCTTTCCCTTCCGAGTTTTCTCTCCAACAGGCACTCAGTCGGGTCACACAGTTTATTTTGGCGAGGATTAAAGTCAGGACTTGGACATGCCCCTCAACCTTAGGGCAACCACTGCCCTGCCCGCGGCTTCCCGGGCCACGATCGCTGCTAACCCGAAGGCTCCCCGTGCTGCAGGCTCCCAGGGCTGCCTGGGACCCACCGCTGGGCCGCGGGTCTCGCGCGGTGCTGCCAGGCGAGCGCTCCGGGATGGTCAGCGGGCCGTCCTCTCAAGGTGTGGCCACTGAGCAAGTGGGAAGTGCCGAGTGCAACTGAGAAACTGAATTTAAAATTCCTCTTTATTTTGACGGAGTAAATGTGAGCTGAACGGCCGCGTGCGCAGAAGGCAGCCCCTGCACGGGGCGGGGCGGCTCTGCAGCACGGGCAGCGGGAGCTGTGGGACCCTCTGCGAGTCCTCTGCCGAGGAGCATGAGGCCCTGAGGAGGACAAGGTCCATGGAGACTGCACTCGGACCCTGGGGCTGCTGAGGTAAATGTTATAAAACACGAGCCAACATGACGAGGGGGGAGGGGGAGGCAACGTCACAGGCGCTCAGAGGTCAGCTCTGCAGAGTCTCTGAGGAGCTCACGTGGGTTCACCTTCTGTCAGTGGCAACACGACCTCAGAGGCCTGGGGTGCCTGTGGGTGGGGCGACTGGACAGCGGTCAGCTCAGGCCCGCACACCCGTGGCCCTTTAAGAGCTGAGGGCCACAGCACAGAGGGCGGAGCCACCTCTGTTGTTTTCAATATAACAATTTTCTAAACGGGCATCGCCTGGTCACGAGACGAGAGAGCTCTGGGCCAGCGGCTCCAGGCTGCTGGGACGGCCCCTGGATGCCCACCTGGCAGCACGCGGATGCTGGGTGACCTCCCTCCGGCGGACATGCGGCCCGGGCAGCAACGCCCTCGCGGCGTGAGCGGCGGCACACACGGCAGCGATCACTCAGTGCCTCTTTATTGCCATTGGGTTGTGACCGTTGATATAGTGACGATTTCAGGAGCAACGAACAGGTGGATTAAAAAACCATGGCTGGGAAGTTCTTTTGGAGAGAGGGAGCAAGGGGCGAGGAGGGTCAGAACCTGACGAAGGTGGCGTCGATCTGCCGCACGCTGGGCAGCGCCAGCATCACCTTGCGCCGGTACTGCGGGTCCTTCTGCAGGGGGTTGCGCTCCAGGTACACCGTCTCCAGGCTCTTGGCTCCCTTCAGCTCGTCCAGGTCGCTCCAGGACTCGAGCAGGTTGTCGTTCATCTGGGAGGACACACAGGTGCACAGGCCTCAGTGTCAGGATGCATCGTCATCCACAACGATCGCTGCCTCTGCTCTGACCTGCCTGTGCGCTCGCCCGTGCCCGTGGCGGCCCTGCACGGCTGTCTCCAACGTGAGGACACCCACCAACCAGACCGCTTCCTAGAAGCACGTCCTCACTGTCACCCACGTCGACCTCCACCCGACTAGAATCGACCCATCAGCTGTGAAGGGGGTAACGCCGCCGGCCGCACGGGCTGCTGCGGTCAGTCATCTGTCGGACAGGAAAGCCATCTGGCACCACAGGGGCGGGTTCTGCCGGCTCGCTGCCTGTGTCTGAGACACTGCGTTCCTGCTACAGCGCCGGGGGCTGCCCTGCTTCCCGGGTGCTGGGGTGCCCAGGTGGCCCCCACCCGTTTCGGAAGCCACGCCTGTGTGCTGTCCTTCAGCAGGATAGGGCAGAGGGGTCCACACTTCAGTGCCAGCTATACCCCGACATTCTGCCAGGCCCCGGTCCCCCCGCTGGCGCAGGCCCTGTCTCTGGTTGCGATGCCTCTGAGTGGTGGCCTGGTCCCTCCAGAGCCAAGTCTCTTCAGTGCCATGTACCCAGCCCCCCAGCAGTCACATCGTCACAGGGACCTTGGGGCTCAAGCTCACGCATGCCCTCAGCCCTGCACACCTTTACGCCTCAGTCTGGCCCTGGCCTCCCTGATGTGTTCTGGTGCCGCACTGGACACCGCCTGAGGCCCAGTCCACTAATGTGGGGCGAGGGACATTTCATCATGGGCCACCTGTGTTGTAGGGACACCTGGGTGACCTTTTAAGGAGAAAAATAAGAGCAGACAGGACATCGGCAGGGACCGCAGCACGGCCAGAAGAGGAATCACGCCTCGAGCTCAGCACGCATCTGAGTGAATGTGTTGAGGACAACACTCACTCTGGTATCACGAGCGGGACGCAGGCAGTGACCCCACAGGGGCCGCGAGCTTGGGGACGAGGACAGACACACCCAGAGCACTGTGGGATACGGCGCCGAGAACAACTTCGCTGTCACCTGCAGCCTGCTTGGTGGAGGGTCCAGACTCAACATCGTTTCCCCAACTGCAGTCGGTCCCCAGGCGACCCGCAGCCATGAGCAACTTGGGGCCAGTCCAGGTGACGGGAGCAAGCCCACCCCTTCTGTCTGCAGGCCTCTGACCACACGGAGCACAAGCCCACCTCCTCTGTCTGCAGGCCTCTGACCACACGGAGCACAAGCCCACCCCTCCTGTCTGCAGGCCTCTGACCACACGGAGCACAAGCCCACCTCCTCTGTCTGCAGGCCTCTGACCACACGGAGCACAAGCCCACCTCCTCTGTCTGCAGGCCTCTGACCACACGGAGCACAAGCCCACCTCCTCTGTCTGCAGGCCTCTGACCACACGGAGCACAAGCCCACCTCCTGTCTGCAGGCCTCTGACCACACTGACCAGGGCTCTCATGTCCACGTGCCCGCAGCTACCCAGGAATTTCATCAAATTCCAGTTTGGGTCAATCTGCCCGTACAGGGGGGGCCAGAGACACACGTTTAACAAGTTCCTGGTGATGCCAACACCACGGGCCCAAACCACCTCTGCACATGCCCATCTCAGCTCCCACCTCAGCTCCCACCTCATCCCCCCATGCACCGTCACCCTGCATGCCTCATCGCCCTGCACAGGCCCAGGGCTGTGCCCCCGACTCATTGACCACTTCACTTACCCAACCCAGGAGGGCTCAACTTACCCAGAATTCCTGCAGCTCTGTTAGATGGCTGATATTTTCAATCTTTTTTATTCTGTTTGCTGCAATGTCCAACATGGTGAGTTTGTTCTAAATAAGGAAATAAAAGGTGTCCCGGGTCACCTTCGTTCAATGGTGACTACGTGGCCAGCACGTAGCTTGGAGCTGAGGCTGCCCTCACAGGTCAGGGCAGTGACTGGACACCTGCCCGAGCTTGCAGCCCCACCCCCGCGACCACGCAGCCACCTCACAGCCTTGGTATCATTGGAATTTCAAGCTGGTGCCGTCAGACCTGAGCCCGGGCTCCCAGATGCCGATGCACAGGGGCCCAGGGAAACGACAGCCATGGGTAGGGCAGGGAACCCCTGCCGAAAGCGCCGGGGATGATGCAGTGGTGCTTATTTAGCGCTTGTCTCAAGGACGGGTCCCCCACTATACTCAGAGCAGCATTTCTTCCTTCAGGGACGAGGAGCCTGGGCTGGCCCAGGGTAATAAATCCGCAGGCACAGGTGGGGGTGGCAGAGGGGGCAGTCAGGCCCCACGCCCATGCTCATGGCAGGAGGCTGTGCTGCCCAGGGAGAGGCCAGCAGGAGGAGGGGCAGGGTAGGCCTGGGCGCTGAGAGCTGACAAGGTGCCGAGAGGGCGAGAGCAGCTGGGCCTGCGGTGCTGCAGTCCAGCCACACCGGCCAGTGGGTCTTCCTGCGGCCAAGGGCCATCCAGGAGTCGGCCCACAGCCCCAAATGCATGGCTCCTCTGCCTTGTCCACCCATTTCCAACCGAATCACTTCTCCCATTCTCCACTGTGCCCTGGGACTCTGAGTCCAAACCCTCCCAAGTTTAAGGGAAAGTTAAGAATGTCCCAATAAAATAAAGGCCCTCCCACCCCCAAAGCATGCAGCCAGCAGTTCCGCTGACTCAGAAGCGCTCTGGCCCGGTCCCTGACTCCTCATGGGCCTGGCTCCACTACCCCACAACCCCCTCCCACCCCCACGAGCCCTGGCCAAGTCTCCAAGAAGCACAAGGTGGCAGAGCTGTGTCGGCAGAGCCAGGCCCAGTCGGGCTCGTCCTGAGTCCTGGGCAGCCCGTGGGTGCATGGCAGCGCAGGCAGGGACAGGCGAGGTCCATGTCCCCAGGCAGGTGTCCCCGCCCACTGCGGGTGCTCTGCAGCCCTCGGTGCAGGTGAGGAAGCGGCAGAGCTCACATGGCCTGAGACACGCCTGCGTCTGATCTTGGCAGTCAGAGTGCAGGCTCCGCAGCAGGGCGGGGTCCTAGCTGCCGGACACCCTGAAGCTCTGAGGACAGGGATGCGGACAGGCACCAGAGACCTCAGGTTTTTCTGGGAGCTGGACAGTGTTTTGAGAGCAAACCAGCAGGAATCTCCTCCCACCCCGCAGAACAAAAGAAAGGGGGAGAGCGGGCACCAGAGGCTCTGACAGCCGCCAGGGCGGGTACGAGAGCCCAGGCTGGACCCACAGGCCGCCCAGTGCACGGAGCGCGGAGCAGAGCAGAGGAGCACCGAGGGGCTAGGCAGGGTCGTCTGTGGTGTTGGGATAGGGGAAAGACACATGTACTGCCTTAACCCCCCACAAAAACAAGTGCCAGGTAAGCGAGGAAACAGGACTTACAGGAAAGGACAGCGGGCACCTGACCTCCAGCTGCCAGAGGCCCGAGGACAGAGGCCTTGGTCAGGACCAGTACGGTCATGTCACTCCCTCAGGGCCACAACTGCTTCGCTTCCGTCCTGACCCCTCGACTGGCCCGCAGCGGGGGCTCCTCAGCCTGGGCCTCCCAGGCCCAGCCTGCCAGCCCGGTCCCACGGCCTCCACCAGTCCCCCCCTCGGAACGACGCCTCAGCACACAGAGAAAGGGGACTGAATGCTGTGACATGCAATTCAGAACGTGGCTTCGCCCCAACACTTCTGTGACCAGGCCTGAGGCAGAAGGAAGGAGCCTTTCTGGACTGAAATGCTGTCTGCGCAGAGGTGACCAGTCGGGTGACACTGCTGACGCCCGAGGACGAACAGCCAGTGAGACCGTGAGCAGAGCCCTGCACGTGCCCGAGGCTGCCCTGAGAAGGCCCTGACGTGCAGGCCACCCGGGAGGGCCAGGGCCTCTGCGGGACCCTGGGTAGTCTGCCCTGCACTCACGTGCCTGAGGCCGCCCCGGGGCCGAGCAGGGTCGGCTGGGGGTGGGGTGGAGTGTGCACGACCTGTCCTCAGCGGGACGGTGAGGAGGAGCAAGGCATGCGCAAGAGGGGCGGGAGAGCCACCTGTCCTGAGACAGCCGCTGCTGAGGCCCCTGCAGCCGGGGACGTGAAGTGGTCAGGGGAGGGCAGGAGGGAAGCGGACCCCATGGGCTCTGCAGTGCAGAGGGCACAGGTGCACATAAGAAGTGTGCACTCTAACCCTCCGGAAGGGCTGCAGTGCTGCAGGGGCCAAGCAGTGACCGCAGCCCAGGGGGCCCTCGTTCCCTGCTGAGCTGAGCACTGGACGTGGGGGAGCGCGTCAGCTCAGCGCTCACCCGGGGCTCTCCTGCGCGTCCCGGTGAGGAGGGGCCGTCTGGGGTTGGAAGGGCTCTACCAGAAACCTCCCGAGGCAGCATCCACTGCAGACCAGCCTGGAGGCCGCTGTGTGCTGCTGGCCAGCTGCCTGCCGCTCGAGCCCACGCCCACCCGCCCAGGCAAATGGGATGTCTTACGTTGTTCTCCAGGCCCTCGATGACCTCGATGCCATTGTGGCTGAGGTACAGCTCCCGCAGGTTCGCCAGGCTCTGCAGGCCCTCGATCTTGGTCAGCCGGTTGCTCTGGAGGGAGAGCCGACGCCGTCAGAATTGCACGAGGCACAAGATGAGACAGCCTTTGGGGAGGGAGGTTTCTCGGGCTGGAGAATTGGGACGGCAGGTCACTCCACTTAAAAAGGGCCGCGTGGGGTTATGAGAACAAAAGGCCAACGTCTCCGGTCTGCTGTTCTGGGCTCCAATCCACGCGTGAATGCTAGAGGTTTTTACGCAAAGAACTCAAGTGTTTTCAGAGGCGCTTGGGGAGAACACACTTCAATCAGCTCAGCGAGTCAAGTGTCAAAATTCACCAAATGTTTTAAAATAAATTCTCATTTCAGGACATACTGTAACCCAAAGTACGAGGCTCTGCCACACCCAGGCCATCACCAGAATGCCCACATCCTGCCGCCCGGGCTGATCCCACTCATTGGCTTCTGACAGGAAGGTCACAGGAGCCTGGCAGCTGTCAGGGGCCAACCAATTCCCAGACGAGGGGTAGTGCTCTGCACGGACAGATGCGGAAGGGGTGGTGCCTGTCACTAAGCCACTGCGGTAGGAACACCTGGAACAAGGCCGCCCTTCTAGACACCCCTCTGCCGAAAGAGCGCTGGGACTTCCGGCAGGAACAGGAAGGTGGCCCATGGAGGACATGCTGGCCGGACACGGTGCACACAGGAAAGCTAACGCTCACTCGCGCTCAAGTGCTGGTCACGGGCACAGTGGGGAGAGCTGCAGCTGAGTGTGGGTTCTGGCCCGGCCGGGAGGCCATGCAGCCCGACTGGTGGGGTGGGCAGAGCTGGAGTGGTACCTGCATACTGAGGACTCTTAGGTTGGAGAGCGCGTCCAGGTTCTGAAGTTTAGTGATCTTGTTCTTCCCCAAAAACAAACTCTCCAAACTGGTCAGCGTGTCGATGTTTTCAATGGCCTGTGAAAGCGACAGGGCACCGGCTGGCACCGGACACACCGTTCCTGGGGGGTGGGGGCGGCAGCACTCTCTGGACTTGGCCCTGGCTGTCAGGCAAGTTCCTGTCCTGCTCTAGAAACTGTCCAGTGAAATCTTACTTGAAAGTGCAGAATGAAAAAGCTGAGGACAGGTGGAGAGTCAGGCCTCGTCTCTTGGGCTCACTGCCAAGCTCCCCAGATGAGGCTTGTCAAGTACCCTAAGTCCTGAGTTCCGAGCTGACACTGTTAGTGCTTGTAGTTTGTTACAATGTACCCCGATAGCCTCGGCCTCCCCAGGAGTGAGCCCCACACGGACCCGGCTGTGCCCCTTCCTCGTTCCTCACCCTTCCCGTCTCCCCTGCTCTGGTGCTGAGCTCTGCGGCATCTGGGCTCAGCTGGACCACACTGCCTCCCTCTTCTGCACCCACTGCTTTGGATCAGTGCGCAGGGAGCCCGGCCAGTGCATGGGGCGCAGCTTGTCTGCCATCACAGCAGGACTCGGCTGGGGGCTGCGAGGATGCAGATTTGGGGCAGGGCACCCTTAACTGCTATCACCTGCATTTTGTGATGAGCCACCCTCTCCTGGAACTTGATGAAATACTGACATCTGGCTGCTCTCTCATTTTAAATGTGCGGCTTTGCCGTCTGCGGCCACATGGCCGCTAGTGGTGTCTGTCGTAAGAGGCCCTCACCACAACCACCTCCTCGATTTGTGCCCAGCTCTCAAGGGCCAAGCCAACTGACTGCTGTCTGCTGTCAACTTCCAAAGGCCACACGGAGGGCTACTTCCCAGGGGACGGAAGGGAAGAAGTGCTGGAGGACACCTGAGCGCAGCTGCTGAGCAAGGTCGGAGGTTGGCACAGGCGTGGCCCGTGGCCCTGCTGGGATGGCAGTGGGGATGATGGCCTTCTGGCCGGCACACAGCCTCATCTCTGTCCTGCAGAGCCTCCGCCTTTGCTGGCCACTCCCTGCTGATGTCTGTCGTTCTGGGAGCCCCCGGGGACCCCCTCCCTGAGCTCTTCCCAGTGGCTGAGTCAGCTGGTAAGAACTCCACCTGCTGCTGTGGGAACAGCCCTGTCCCACGGCCTCTCGTTTCCACCGCACAGGGCTCTGGGCAGACAGCAGGGCCTAATGCTTCCTGGGGCTTCCTGCGGCCCTGAAGGAAGTCAGGTCACTGTCAGCCTCTCTGCTCGGGACGTGCTTAGGCCAGGCGGGCTTGCCAGGAACACAACCATCAGCACACTCAAAAGCAAAGTGTTTGGGGCTGATCAGCTCACCTTGGGCAGATGTAACTCGGGTGTTTTGCTAGTGTTCAGCCTGTGACTGGACGGGGAGCAGGGGAAACCTACGTGCAGCTGCACCACTGTGTCTGGGCGCAGTCAGTCTCCCCAACACTGACCCCAGCAAAAAATAACCTCCGTTTTTGGAAAAAAATAAAATCACACCTCATGGAAATACACACCTGCCGCCACGGGCTGTGCCCACACCTACCCGGATGCGGTTGGACCCCAGCTCCAGCATCTCCAGTTGATGTAAGCTGCTCAAGTTCTCGATCTTGCTGATTTTATTGTTGACCAAGAAGAGTTTTTTCAGCTGTGTCAGCTTGTCAACCCCTTCAATGTTTCTCAGAAGATTGAAGGAAATATCTAGAATCCTGGAACAAACAAAGCATTTATTTTTAATGAGCACAGGCCACATAGCACTCAGCACGTAACTGCCGCAGGGGACGCATCCCCTCCGGGGAACAGCCTCCAGGGCCCCGATGCGGCTCACAGGACTGCCCTGAGGGCAGCAGCCTCCACGCAAGGCTGGCTTGCAGGCTGGGATGGGCCAGCCGGTGCCACCTGTGGAGCCAGGACCCAAGGCGGAAGCGGCCTCTCCAGGGCTGAGCCGGGACAGTCTGGGCCGGGGACACCTGTCAGCGCCCTCGCTGTCCCCAGGGCCCGGGACTCACTCCAGCTCTGTCAGTGTGTCCAGATTCTCAATCTTCTTGATCTGGTTGTCATAAAGGTCCAGCTCTCGGAGACTGCGCAACTCCTCCAGGTTCTCAATGCACTTAATTAGGTTTTGACGGAGGCAGAGAGTCTGGGGTGGAAAAGAGCACTTGATGTAGGCAACGGGTGGAGGTCACAGGAAAGCCTGGGAGGGAGGGTGTGGTTTCCACCCTCCTGGTGTTTGCCAGAGCAGGGCTGGCCTGGGGAGGGTGGCAGGCCCCGCACTGAGCAGACCTACTCGGGAGGGAGGCCTGGTCAGTCTGGGCATGTGCTGATTCCTGGCAGACTGAACCTGTGCTGAGTTAAGGACTGTCCAGTGTGGTGCGGGCGCAGCTGCAGGCAGGCCCTGAACTGAGGCTCTGGGAGCAGCAGAGGGTCTGCGCGGCTGCCTGAAGTCGGCCGAGTCAGCCGCCTGCACTGCTCTGCAAACCTGCCTCGTTCAAGATGCTCCACGCGGTTCCTCATGTAGGCGGCATCCTCTGTGGGCCCAGGCCTGACTCAGAGTGCAGTCTCAGCTAGGATGTACCTACGCCCTGGGGGTGGGGGGTGAGCTTTGGACTGTCACAAAGCCCCCTCACGGGGAAGGACAGACCTCCTCTCACCTTCACCTTCTTCAGGACCTCAAACCCTTCCATTTTCCCGATGCGGTAGTGATTCAGGTCAACATCCTGAAATAAAACAGAAGAAACTGAACTTAGCTGCAGGGAAGCGCCAGGGGCCCTGCTTCCTAGGACAGGAGCAAACAAGAGGACTGCTAGATGGGTGGAGGTGGGGCGGGGGGAGGGGGGCACTGTAAGTCAGGGTCACACAGGAGTCTACAGCAGACGGGGACGGGGACGTGAACTGCAAGATGCTCATGGGTTTAGCTACAATACCACCTTTTACATAAAACTAGCCCTCCAAACAGTATATAAAATCTCCCTCCCACTCCCTAGCTCCAATGAGTACAAACTGGAGAGGTGAGGCGGTGTGCCTGGCCACAGCCCGCAGGAGGCCCACAGCTGGTCAGTGGGCCACAGGTGGGCTGCCCTTCCCTCAGTCTTCTGCAGGCCCTGAATTGTGACTGCTGCTCACATGGGGATGTTAGGACCCCATATTTACAATGTCATCACTGGGCCCATTGATTTACAAGTCAAAAGCATTTCATTTGCCACAACAGATAAACAGAAATGGGATTTCAATCACTGCTATTAAAACAATAAGAACCCAAGGAATCTGACCCAACCAAGGGAGGCTCAGACGACCTCTTCTAGGGGATCACTTACTAATCTGGCACCTTCATAAAAGATAACCTGACGGTCAGAGTGGTCCGTCACCATGCCCCCTGAGGCTGGGTTGAGCAGGCGGCATTACCTCTGCATCTCTGTCCAGGTTAATGGTTTCCATATCCACAGGCAGCTCTTGTCCTGAACGGGAGAGAGAGGGGAAAGAGCTCATCAGAGCCCCGCTGCAGGAGGGGCAGCCCGCCTCGGAAAGAGCTGCACACAGGCTGCCCGGCTCAGAGTGGACTCCAGCGCAGAGCGGATACCAACAGGTGACACCTGGAGGACGTGGTGGCGAGAAGGGTGGAGTGACACCCTGCTCCGGCCATGACCACCTTCCAGCATCCTGAGTTTCCTGAATTTAGGTCTTCAGACTTCCACCTGCACTGCAGTGTCCGAGAAAGGAAGTGGGGTCAGAGGCCACTGGTCTCCTACTTCTGGTGACAACCAGAGCTGCACAACTGGGAGCCCCCCCGCAATAAATGAGAATATTTGACTACAGGCCATGCTGGGCATTTCAGAGGTCCTGGGATGTGCCTTTCATTGCTTGGGGAGTGGCCCAGCATCTGCCAACACTCTTCTCTACAGAGAGCAGAAGGAAGCGTGGCTCGGCGGACAGGTCAGCCCTGCTCAGAACTTAGACACACTTCGTGACAGGGAGGCAGGAGCGGACCCCAGCAGAGGACCGCTGCCTCGGGACATACGATGCCCAAGGAGGGCTGCAAGAACCACTCTATCTGTGGAGTTCACAGCCTCGAATCAGCAGCCCCCGTCTTCATCTCGTCTGAACCCATTTATGTTTAAAAGGTTAAACTCTTAAAGAGTGACAGTAACTCCTTGACCTCTCCAGCTGTCTTATGTTTTCTTCTCCCACTGAGCGAGTTCTGCTTGAATTAGGATTCGAAGGTCATACGTTGAGGCTGGATGGCATTTTTTGGAAGTCCTTTCGGCTCTTGTCACTTTTTGTGGGAGAAGCCAGGCTGCCTGTCTCACAATCTCTCCAGGCTGGGGTGTGTTTGTCTCCTTGTGAAGTGGGTGTTGCTGTCTTGACTGGTCCCCTGGCCCCTCCCCATGACAAGACTGTGCTCACTTCTGCAGGGCAGCATGCTTGCAGCCCCAACCTCTGAGGTTGGCCGGGGCCTGGACTGGAGGCCTCAGGGGGCGCAGGTGACACAGGACTGGCTTAACCAGGATGTGCTGCTGGCCCACACTAGCTGAGCTCACTTCCTAGTCTTTTCACTATACCGTTTCCATAACCACCAGTAATGGCTGGAAAGAAAATGTCATTTACAGTTTATCCATAACTTTATGAGATATCACCAACCTAAGAATCAAATAAAAGGAGCTGGGCAAAACCAAGAAATATACCCAAGTTACCTGCCCCTCCTCCAAGTCAGCCTAAACTCAACATGAGGCTGCAGGATACAGGGCTGAAAGAGGCTGTGCAATGAAGGCCGGCGCCTGGTCCTTCAGTGTCCAGACAGGGGGCTTGAGAGCAATAGGGGCACCGCAGACCATAGCGCTGGGCCAGCAGATGGATGGGCCGTCCTGGCTCCTAAGACATGGGGCCACACAGCTAAGGGGGTTCTGTCTGTAATCCATCGAGCACAGGACAGGCCCCCAAAAGGTCACCTTAACCTTTGAAACAAAGTTACTAGACTAGAACAGCTTTCTGAATATATTATACATTAACCATTTTAAAAAATATCTTAGGGAAAATAAAAGGGAGCAGTTTACATGTTTGAATTTTTCTTATTTGAACTTAAGATTTAAATACAGGTAGAAGCAAGTGCTACTCTCTCTAAAGCCTTAGGAAACATGTATCCCAGAGAACTTCTATCAGCTAGTAGCTTGGAGGGAAGACTGCTGGGTTCAGATAGCCGGGTTCACCCCAGCAATGCCGGGTGCAGCCGTGCGCCCTGGGGCGTGCTCGGCGGGCCTGTGCTCGCGAGCGGGGGGGGGGGGGGGGGGGGGGGGGGGGGCAGGGCTGAGCTCTGCCAGCTCCAGTCCCGCGAGCAGCAGGTGCTCCCACGAGGGAAGGCGACGCTCCCACGGCCCAGCTTTCCGAAAGCACCCACCGTCACTCCCACGTCCTTATCCCGCCCACACCACCTCCAGAGCATCAACTGCAGGTCTGAAATGTGACTGGTGCTTTTGTGGTAATCTCCTCTGCCTTAAAATTAGGTTGCCATAGTTACCAATCATCTTCACTGACAGAGAGAGCACAATGTTGTTTTAAAAATTTGTTACGGTTTTTGTAAACTTATTGTTTTCATTATTAGAGAGGAAATATATGATTACTACCTTATTCATCCACACATAGATGAACCTAGAAAGGCACACGGTGCAAGACCTCATCAGCTGGTGCTCAGAGACACCTCCTACAACAGTTTGGTGTGCTTTCTCTCTCAAGTCGGTAAAATCGCAGATTATTAACATCTTTAAATAAAAACAAGATCTTAAAGTGCGCACTGGAAATTTCCTTTTTCCCCTAATGATATATCTTGGGCCGCTCTCTGTCTGTTCATGTGGTTTCTACTCTAATCAGTTTCAATATAAACTGATTTTCTAAGCAACAAACAAACGGGCAAAGGTCATGGCTGGGGACTGTGAAAGGCTGCCATCGGGGGCCAAGGACTGACTTCTTTCATCTCCAAATTCATTTTCTGTTTGTTATTCACTAGAACAATAGAAGACCACTGGTACATTCTCTACATGAAAGAATTTCCCTAACACCTAAAAATGAAGCCCACCCTCAGGCCTACCAAAGTGGTGAGGAAGGTCAGCAATGACCCCTCCAGGACATCACAGGCTACTCTGAAGGAAGTCTGATGACCATGGCAGGACATCAGAGCATAGAGTCAGCCACCATGTCTGCTGCAATCCTTGCTCTCTGAACACACGGTAATACAGAGACTGTCTATCCAGGCTGACACAGTAGCACCAATATTATTTGCCTTCAGTGGAATCAGAAAAACCCCACCCTGCCGGCAGAGTCAGCGGGCTTGGGGAGCACCTCCGAAGGGCCCTGCCCCCATCCCCCAAGGCCTCTGTGGCTGCTCCAGCAGACCACCACCAGCACAACAGTCTTCCCCAGGACGACAACAACGCTGCCACCTTGGGAATGGGGACAGATCATGTGCAACACTGCCTGTACCCACCCCTTTAGTGATCAAGGTTCTTAACTGGGCCTGATACCTTCTGGGTCTTCTTCCCCCCGTTCTTCTCCGTCCTTCAGGCTGTGCTCGCTGAGGTCCGCCACTATATTGCTGCTCTGCTTTTTCCCTTCTTCATCGCCCGATTCTTCAGACTCGACCCGCCTGTCAACTGAACCCACACAGATCAGTGAGAATTCCATCCACCTCATGTTCTCTTCGAAGCACGTATAACAGACTGACATCCAGTTGTAAGTCAAAGAGACTTCATCTACAGACATTTGTTGAATTCAGTTCAACGATCATTTGAGTGTCTTCCGTGTCCCAGGCACCATATGTACAGTGGCGGGGAGAACTGGGGTAGGGTGGGGAGGGGGCAGGGAGGCCACAGGGGCGTAAAGGTGAGTATCACAGGATTCCTGCCCTCAAGGAGCTTATTAAGAGTCGCCAGGTGTTCTGAAAGCCCTGGAATGCTGTAATTAAGTGTACCAATGCTGAAATGTAGTGAAGCTTGGATATCTACGTAGAGGGGACCACTGTGACCCTCCCGCCACATACCTTCATCCATGCTCCACTATCCATTTGGCCAAGAAAACCATCCCAGTTCACAGGCCCACGTTCTGAAAGAAATCAAGACTAACTCAAATCAGACTGTGGGCGGGAGCTCTGATGAAGAAGGTAAGACAGCCAACAGTGCAAACGGCCCTGGGGAGGTCATGGACGCTAACCATCAGGACACAGCTGCGCCAGCCAGCTCAGTGCTCTGAAGGTCTGGTAAATAAGTATTTTTTGAAGTAATAAATAAGGCAATGATTAAATGTGGCAGACTGGTAAAAATCCATTGGCAAAATTGCGAAATAATGTTCCTTTCTCCTAACTCTTTTCATGACTTCTTTTGGAAGTCTGTCTGTAAGACCTGATGCACTTAGAACTTACTTGAAATTATAAACCACACTGAAACATTTCTTGGTCCTGATTCCAGCTTATCTACAGAGGGGAAGGAAGTGCTGTATCATTTTTGTATCGCCAGTTGGGCCTAGTAAGGAGGCAGCCAGGGAAGGATTGCTGGATCAAACACATCCTTATGAAACCACCTCCAAAACCCCACATCGCTCCTCCTCCCTGCCCCTGGCATGGCCTTGGCTCAGCTGCTCATTACCTGTGTTCTGGTTCCTGCTGGGCTCCTAACTGGTCTCTCTGGGGTCTGACTGCCTCTATCTAATCTGTTTTCCATTGCTGGAGACTCTGACCTGATTCTAAAGTCCAAATCTGATCTTTGACTCCAAAAACTTCTGGAATGCCAATGGCTCTTCCTGACTCTGCATCTTGTCCCTAGAGGCCCAGCTTGGCAAGTTACTTCCTTTTCCTAGCCTCAGCCTCCAAATTTGCAGAAGGGAGCTAGTATAGTAACTGTATCTCAGAGTTGCTCAGAATTAAGTTAGAAAAGGCACAAAAGAAGTTAGCTTTTAATAAGTAAAAGCAGTAGACATTTAATAATTATAGGTATCCCCTGCTTCCTGACAGTTCACTTTATGCCACATCGTCTTTAAGAAAACACTATATTAGTTCTTTTACTAACGAAAGAACTGTAAAGAGAGTTTTTCATGAAAAAATACGTGAAAAGCAAAAATAGCAGCATTTTGCTTTACAATGAGTTCTAATAGAGGCAGCTCGAACTGCATCCAACCTGCCAGAGTGGCACCACCCAGCTCCTTCCCCAGGGACTACACCCAGCATTTCAGCATCAAGCAGCCAAGGATTTGAACTGTGTCTATGAACATCTGGGCTTCGTCTCAATTCTTTGAGTCCATTAGCAAGATGTGCCCCAGGATAAGTGCTTCTCCGCTCTATGCTGTTTTGACTTTGAAAGGTTTCAGCGGAGCATTTCACTATCAGATAGCAAGGAAACCTGCAGCACCAGGCACAGGCACTCTGTGGTCAAGGCTAAGGGGGAGCAAGTCCTGCTGGGCCATGGTCTGGTGCAGCTCAGCCTGGGTGGTAGGGGCTTAGCTAATGAAGGGCAGCCAACGTGAAACTTGGGACTCCATCCAGAGGATTACAGAGGGTCTGGGGCATGGGACAGAGGATCAGCATGTAAGGTGACTTTGGGGCACTGGGGACAATGGGCTGGCTCAAGGTATTGGCAGTGGGAATGGAAAAGGTTTGGAAATTTGGAGATTTGAGGGAAGTGGAAGCGTCAGAGATTGTTCATGAATTGCACGAGTGGGAGTGGGAGAGAAACGCCTGGGTTTTGTATTTGTCACTTACCAAGACATGGAAAAGGGGCGGGGAGTAGGGGAAGAGGGACAGGAGGATAGGAAGAGTCACTTCCTTGCTTAAAAAGATCCAAGGGTCCCAAAGTCCAAGACCCTTCAAGAACTGGCCCCTCTGTGACCTCTTGCCAGTCCACCAGCACTCTCCACCCTCAGCCAAACGACTGTCACCCTTGGTCCAACCTCCTCCAAACAGGCCGTGCTCTTTCACACCCTCTGCCGTGGACCGTGTGGTTTCCTTTGCCAGAAATGACATGTGAACCCCCCTGTCCCCATCTCCAACCTGGCGGAACCTTTCATGTTCAACCTGGAGCAGCCACCCTCCCAAACAGCCAGCTCCCCCCTCACCGCCCGCCTCCTGCCCTCTCCCCGGCGTCCACCCGGGGCAGCGCGGCTCCGCCACAGCGTCGGAGCCTCCCTGGAAGCAGCGCACAGCGTGCACGAGGGATGCCGCTCCACTCGGGGGCCGGCGTGCGTGGGGACACACCGCACGCAGCCATTAGCGCAGCTCCTCCCACACAGGGGAGCTGGATCCCGCGTCTGCTCAGCCGCCGGAACTTTGTACGCAGGCATCGGGCCCTGCGGCCGTCTCTCCGCTGCCTGTCAGCCTCCCCCGCCGCCGGACTGAGCCAGCGCGGGCGGTGCCGCGGCGCCGTGGCCCCGTTTCCCGTCCGCCGCAGGGGCCAGCCCCGCGGGTCGGGCCAGAGGTTCGGTGCGCGGCTCCAAGCAGCCGCTGGACGCCCGGGCTACGAAACCACCGCGCCGCCAGCCCCCACCCACCGGCCCGGCTCGCGCCGCCGCTGCCGCCTTCGGCCGGAGTCCGGCGCCTCCGGGGCTGCCGCGCCTTCCCGGCCACCCCCGCCCCTCCGAGCCGGCCGGCCGGCAGCTGTCAGGGGCCGTGCAGCCGGGCCCGGGCCGCGGCCGGAGCGGGACGCTCCGTTTCTCTCGGGCCAGGCCGGTGCGGACCGCCGCCCCACACCCGCTGGGCCCTTCGACTGCCGCCCCGTAGAGCTCCTCACCCTCCATCATCTCCTGCGACAGTTGCTGGCCCGCGCCGCGCTCCGCCGCCATGTTGGCTGCTCTTCCCCTTTCCGGAATTTGTCGCCTCAGGCCCCTCAGCCAATCAGGACTTCCAGCTCGGAGTGGGCCCAGCCAATGGAATCCCAGCGCAGGGCGCTGCACCGCGACGCGCCTGCGCGGCCCCAGCGCCTCGTGGGAGTTGTAGTCTGCGCCCGAGGCCGCCCGCCTGACCTCCCCGGGACAGGTAATTTCAGAACGCCCGGAGAGTCAGGCGGCCAGAGCGGGAAAGAGGGCAGGGACTGGAGAAGTGCGCGCGCGGAGCCGCGGCGGCAGGCGAGCGGAGAGAGACATCTGGAGATGTCCTGCCGCGTAGCGGGGCTGTGCGCGGGGCTGCAAAGTGCGGGCCTGCAAGCTTCATCAGCCGCGTCTGCACAAGGGGCCGAATTTGTCCCGGCGTCCCCGCGCGGACTTAGCCCGTGTGAAGAGGCCGCCTCCAGTTAACGCTCAGCGCAGGCGGGCTCGGCGCTTGTGCCGGGGACCGGCTCCGCCGCAGGTGCTGGGAGAGCCCGTCGAGACCCGGGACGCCGACCTAGCCCAGGCGGGCGCCGCAGCCTCCATCGGCCTCGGCCCCGCAGGAGCGCTTGGCCGGTGAAGGAGTCGCCCTCGCAGTCCCCGCCTCCAGGAGGAGGCCGCAGAGAGGCGAGCTCTGCGCAGCTCATCCTTCTCAACCGCGGGACGGGAGGAACCGGCGTCTGTTGGAGAGGCGCCGTGTCTTTTGGCTCCTCAGGGGCGCCGTAGGAGCTCGGTGCGTCCTTAGCAACCGTTAGCGCGGGCTTCCCCACTCTGGCTCACTGAGTCCCGCCCACAGGAGCCAGTGGTTGGTCTGTGGGGCCTGTCAATCAGCGTGGGTTGCTCTGCGATTGGCCGGCAGGGCCGGAGGCGAGGAACGGTTTCCTCGTGGCGCGGTGCAGCGAGCTTGGCCGGGTAGCGGTCGTCGGCTCCAGGTGAGGTGCTTGCGCTCCGGAGAGGCGGCCTGGGCTCCGCGGGGCCCTTGCGCGGCTCTGGACGAGCCAGCCCGCTTGCTGTGTCCCCACCGCTGCCGGCTTCCCTCCGTGCGGCCCGGCTCGGGTGGCGGCCCGCCACCCTGCGGCCGTTTGTCCCGCGCCGCGCCCCGGGGTCCGGGACCAGGCCTCCTGGTCGTGTCTCCGCCCCAGCTCAGCCCTCTCGGCGCTCGGCCCTCCCCTGGAGTTAATCGTGCGCTTTATCCGTTATTACTGCCTGTCCTCCGAGAAGGTGAGCCCCAGACCCGGGCCGCGACTTGCTCTGCTGCTCAGGAGATGCGGGGTGAACGCACGGTGTGGGTGCGGCCCCCGGCTTCCCGACGCCTCCCCTGGATGCCCATGCACACCGGCTTCCTCCTTCATTTTACCGTCACCGGTGTTTCTTTTCCAGGGAATGGCAGTAGCCTGAGCTGAAACGGAGCGGTTTTCCATTGATGCTTTCTATTGGCTCACCGCCTCACCCAGTACATCGGCGGCAGTTCTCGATCGAGTTTTCTCGTGTGGGTTCCGCGCCATCTTTCTGCCACGGCTTTAATTTAAGACCTAATGTCTTGTCTGGATTACTGTAACCCCCTCTCCCCCCGCACCTGGAGGGATCTTCCCAAAATGTACTCCTGAACACGGAGCTCATTAAAGTCAAGCTTCAGAATAAAATCCAGAATCCAGACTGCTTGGGCAGGTATGGGGGCCCTGGGAGTTTGTCCGGCTGCTCCTCCCCAGGGCTGAGGGCATCTTTGCCCTTGGTGGCTCTGCCCGGAAGGCTTCTTCACTCCACAGTGCCAGGTGCAGCTCTTTGCGTACACCCTCTTACAGCAGCCATAGTCCTGGGTATTGCTAGTCTCCAAAAGGCTCTGATGGCCCCCAAACCTGAAGTCCAGAGGAAGGCAGGTTTTAGGGTTGGTTCATCTGGTGGCTCAAAGTGACAGTCTTCTCTTTTTCTACTCTGCCGTCCACGTGTGGGCGTCATCCTGAGGCCGGTTCTCCTCTTGGTTGTACTGCAGTGTTGGGGTGATTGGAGCTAATTGCTTCCTAACTTGTGTTCGAGGGGCACAGAGATGGTTGCTGCCAGAAGTTCACCCCTAAGACGAAGGAGTACTTTTTCAGAAGCTCCCTGCAAAGCTCTCCTTTCTTATGTTTGGTCTGAGCAGGGTCACTCACACCTTCTGAATCAAAATTGGCAGCGGGACTAGGATTATTCTAAGGCAGCATGAGGTCCTCTGTGGGCTGAACTTCCCATAATAATCCCCCTTCACTCTGATCCCCACATTCCCCCCAGCCCCCACCCCCAACTGCATTGCTCAAAAAACAAACAGCCTTGCTGGTGTGGCTCAGTGGTTGAGTGTTGACCCATGTACCAAGAGGTTGCAGGTTCAATTCCCTGTCAAGACACAAGCCCACGTTGTGTCCTGATCCTTAGTGGGGGGCATGCAGGAGGCAGCCAGTCAATGTTCTCTCATTGATGTTTTTCTCTCTCCACCTCTCCCTTCCTCTCTCTCTAAAATCAATAAAGAAAAAAAAAATTAAACTATTCTAAAAACCTAGGCCTGGACTTGCACACATTTCTGGTTGCTGTTTGACTAAAAATTAAACCTGAGAAAAGGAAGTGATTTAAGGTGGTATGAAGTCAGGCTCTGCTCAGAGGCCACAGGCCCTGGGAGGCTCTGGTCCCCAGGGTTTGGCTAAGCCCTGCAGTGTCAAGCTGGCCCGTGAAGGACCGCAGGCAGTGAAGTCAGCAGGAAGGAAAGGGTTTGTCTTTCCTGCATCTACTTCTTGGTTTATGGATTTAAGACTATTTACTTCTGCCCTGGCCGGTTTGGCTCAGCAGTTAGTGTATCGGCCTGCGGTCCAGAGAGACCCGGGTTCGGTTCCCGCTAAGGGCATGTACCTCCGTTGCAGTTTGTCCCCGGCCCTGGTTGGTCGTGCGGGTGGCAGCCACTCAATGTGTCCCTTTCACATCGATGTTTCTCTCTCTCTCTCTTCCTCTCTCTCCCTATCACTCTATCTGAACAAAAAAATGGAAAAATGTCCTCGGGTGAGGATAAAAAAAAAAAAAAAAAAAAAGACTATTTACTTCTTTCCATGAAAGACAAAATGTCTTGCCCTTACCCTCTCTTCAGATTTCCTTCCTACCTCTTCTTGTTCTTGTTACTTTTACAAAGTAGAGTTTTACAATTACATGTAACCTGAAGAGCTTTAGTACTTTATTTTACAAAGTATTGATAATAAACACAATGTATCCTGAAGTGTTTTGTTACTTTATTATTGCTTTTTACAAAGTAAAGTTTCATAACATTTACAATGTAGTCTGGAACTGTAATCAAGGCTTCTTGGCTCTTTTTTTGTTGTTAATCCTCACCCAAGGATATTTTTTCCATTGATTTTTAGAGAGAGTGGAAGGAAAGGAGAGAGAGAGAGAGAGAGAGAGAGAAACACATTGATGTGAGAGAGATATACTGATTGGTTGTCTCCTATACCAAGTATGTGCCCTTGACTGGGAATTGAACCCGAGACCCTTCTCATTCGAGGGCTGATGTTCTAACCACAGAGCCATACTGGCCAGGGAACATCTGTGCTTTGTATATAGATTTTTTTTTAATCCTCACTGGAGGACATTTTTGCATTTATCTTCAGATAGAGTGGGAGGGAGAGAGGGAGGATGAGAGAGAGAGAAACATCGATGCTAGAGATACATCGAGTGGTCACCACCCACAACGACCCCAACCAGGCAGGGCTGGTGACAAACTGCAACTGAGGCACATGCCCTTAGCGGGAACCGAACCTGGGACTCTCTGGTCTGTGGGCTGATGCTCTAACTACTGAGCCAAACCGGCCAGGGTTTTGTGTATAGATTGATTGTAGAATTGGAAAACTAGAATCATATTCTAATTATTGTAAAAATAATTAGTGCATGGAGATGCTTAGAGAAGGAAATATAAACCTGTGACAAATGTTGCTACTTGAAGGAAAGCATCAGTCTGAGGGTTTCTTATTTAATTTTTTTCTAACATCCTACTCATTCAGCTGCTGCTTTTCAGGATCCTATGCTGGACATGTGTGTACAATCCATCTCTGAATTTTTAGTGTGTACTAGTTAATTCATACAAACGGCAAAATGCGGTATTAGTTGTGAATCATAATATTAAAGTGAACCATTCACACCCACCACCCAAATTCAGAACCAGGGGACCCTATGCCATGTGTTCTCACTGTGCCAACTAGTCACTGGACCCCCAGAGGAAACCTCTGCCTGAAGTTGGGTTTGTCACAGAGGTGTGTATCCCCAAATGACATATATTTAGACTGGCAGGAGGAGTCCTACTGTTGAGAGCCTTTTGTAATTTGATTTTCCCCGCTTATTATATGGCTAAGATGTACCCTTGTTGTGTACCTACTAATTGTCTTCACTCTAATATGTAACATGATTATACCAGAATTTTAAATCTATTTCCTTGCTGATGAATGTTTAGGTTTTTGCTTTTCTTTTGCCATTGTGAACTGTGCTGCCTCGAGCATTCTGGGTGACTTCTACCCACGTGTAAGAATTTCCATAGGCCATAAATCTACAAGTGGAATATTCTGTCAGAATAGGAAAATATTTGACTTAAATTGTTCAGTTGAGTCACATCTTTATCAAATTTGGTGTTATTAGAAATTTTTTTTTTTTTTTTTGGTAGACTTTTTTTTTTTTATCCTCACCCGACAATTTTTCATTTTTTGTTCAGGTAGAGTGGGAGGGAGAGAGAGGAACAGAGAGAGAGAGAGAAACATCGATGTGAAAGGGACACATCAAGTGGCTGCCACCCACACAACCGACCAGGGCCGGGGACAAACCGCAACCGAGGTACATGCCCTTAGCGGGAACCGAACCCGGGTCTCTCAGGACTGCAGGCCGACGCTCTAACCGCTGAGCCAAACCGGCCAGGGCTGGTGTTATTAGAATTTTTAATTTTTTCTGATTTAGTAGGTATAAAATTGTCATGATTATGCTAACAAAGTTAAGCCTTTTGTCATGGGTTTATTCTTCACTAGGGTTTTTTTCTGTGAAATTCTTGTTTCTATCTCTTGTCCATTTTTCTGTTGGGTTCTGTGTCTTTTAACATTTTTAAAAATTTAAATTATTGACCTTTTAAAGTATCCTGGATATTAATTCTCTTGGTTATATATGTGACAGAGATCTTCTCCCAAGTTGTGGCTTACTTCCTTTCCTTTATATTTCCTGTGAACAGATATTCTAAACATTAGTATGAAATATTTATTAATATTATTTTATAGCTAGAGCTTTTTGTGTCTCTATTAAGAAAAGTTTCCCAACCCAAATTTCTTGTAGAAAGTCTAATTTTCTTCTCAAAGCTTAGTGTTCTGACTTTCACAGATGAAGTCTTCAACCCTGGGTGTTGGTTTCTGCCTGTGATGTGCTGATGGCTGTGTCATTGTTCCCACCTGGACGGTGACTTTCCCAGCACCTCCACATGGATGTGAGCAGTCCACGTGTCTTCGGTGGCAGCTAGGGCCCCTGGGTCGTGTGTCCTCACACATGCAAGGCCCGTGGTTGGGCTCCACGCCATCCTGCAGTCTCAGTGACACAGTGACTGTGGCTTTGCATTTTGTTTTTACATCTTATGAGCTGGTGCCCCCCTGGGGTCCTGGATCTGTGGGTTTATTTCTGTTATTGAAGGTGTTCACTCTCATCTCTCAAAGGTTTCTTCTCCTCCATTCTTCCTCCAACAGAGCTTAGATTAGCTCAGTCTGTATCTCTTAACTTCTCTCGTTTTTTTGTTTGTTTTTTACCATTCAAAAAAATTAATTTGCCCAGCCAGTGTGGCTCATGCACCAAGAAGTTGCCGGTTCGATTCACGGTCAGGACACATGCCCAGGTGGTGGGCCCGATCCCCAGTGGGGGGCAATCGATGTTCTCTCTCATCGATGTTTCTGTCTCTCTCTTCCTCTCCCTTCCTCTCTCTCTAAAAATCAATAAAAGAAAAAATTTTTTTTGAATTTTATAAAAAAATTAATGCTATGAGAAGGTGATGTTCACTTTAATCCTGTTTGCCTTCATGTCCCTGTTGTGAGCCTTCATTCCAGGCCACTTAGACAGAGAGGGCTGTACCCCATGGACAGCAACCATGGCAACAATAGCAGCATAAAAGCTCTCCCCATTGGGCACCCCAAAGGCGCCGTCAAAAACGTAAGAGTGAGTGCTGAACTATAACCCAGTAGGTACAGTGATCACTATAGTTTTGTTTTCTGGCAACGTCTTTGTTTGGTTTTGGTATCAGGATAATGATCTGGCCTCAAAAACTGAATTGGACATGTTCCTTCCTTCTTTAATTTCTGGGAGAGTTTGTGTAGTATCGATGTGATTTCCTTCTTGAATGTGTGATAGAATTAACCAATGAAGCCATCTGAGTCTAGAGTTTTCCTTGTGGGAAAATGTTAATTACAAATACTTTCTAAATACTAAAATTTTAAAATTTTAACACCTAAAAAACTTGTTTCTTACAAAATCTGGCTAGTTATTTGAGAAACTTCTTGCTCTCCTTGGTGACGACATCTTCTATGTCTCAGACATGCACAAGTGCTTCGGCTGTGAGTGTGCTGAGGTCTAATGTGTGTTCAGTCTCCGCACACAATCACTCCGTGTCTGCTTCTTGGAAGAGAGCATGTTTGGTTGGTCCTAATCTTTGGAAAGCTGCAGGCCTGTGTAGGATGCTTCGCTTCAGAGAGGGTCGCTTTTACCAGCGTCCAGGGAGTGCTACTGAATTAGGGCCACCCTGGCCCAATTTCAGGGTCACTGGCTTCCTTTGGGAGTCTTAGGGTCACTCTCCTTTCTCTTCTGGACAACTCACCTCCAGTCTGGTCTCAGCATGTGTGCACTGTGTTTACGTCGTGGAAGGTTCTCCTACTTTCGGGCTCAGAGATGCCATAGAAACAATACTCGGTGAGATCTAGTCATTCTGAGACGCAAAGGCCGGGCTGCTAAGTTATCCAGTTCCCTCTTATCTGAGCTCAGTTTTTCTGAAACTCTTATCTTTTGTTCTTAAATTTGTCTGGAACGGCCCTGGCCGGTTTGGCTCAGCGGTTGGAGCGTCCGCCTGTGGTCCGGAGAGACCCGGGTTCGGTTCCCGCTAAGGGCGCGTACCTCGGTTGCAGTTTGTCCCTGGCTCTGTTTGGTCGTATGGGTGGCAGCCACTCGATGTGTCCCTTTCACATCGATGTTTCCCTCTCCCTCTCTTCCTCCCACTCTATCTGTACAAAAAATAAATTAAAAAATTTGTCAGGAACGAATTTTTGTATTGCTAAGTCACAGGGACGCAGTTTTGCCCTATTCTGTCACCAGATGCAAAATGATAAATCGGGTTCACAGGCTTTACTGTGGAAGACACTGCCCTCCTGTCCTGCCGAGTCCTGAAGAGGACCTCCACAGAACTGCTGGGAGGGCCCCTTTCCTTTCCAGCCCAGGTCCATCCTGTGGGAGGGGCCTTGTGTGCTATGTGTGGGCTCCCCGCCTGCTTGTTGAAGCTTGAGCTTTCTGCAAAGGCCACTCCTTGGTCCGTCCTTGGGTCTTTGCGTGCCGATACGGGGGGGCCGATGAAGGGAGAGGCTTGGGCAGTTCTGGGAAGTGGGTTCCAGACCCTGTGGCCTGGAACTCCGGGGGTCAGCATCCCTAGAAGAGGGGATGATGCAGGCTCTAGTTGGGCACGTGCTCAGGTCTCCAGGCGGCTTCTCTGTACTGTAGTTAGGGAGGCGTCACCATTGGAGGAACCCAGGGAAGGCCATGTGGGACTTTTCTTTTCCCTCATATGTGTGTGGAAATACAAGTATCTAAGAAGAAAATGTTAAAAACATAAACCTCTGCTCTGGGCCCATCTCTAGACTCCCAGCTTTGGCCTGAATGTTGCCAGATTTCTGGAAGCTCTGTGGGTGATTCTGGCACAACTGGTCAGACCCACCTGATTTGTGGCATCAGTAATGTTCCTCTTAACCTGAGAGCATTTATAATTCTTTTTATCCTCACCCGAGGACATTTTTGCATTTATCTTCAGATAGAGTGGGGGGGAAAGAGGGAGGAAGAAAGAGAGAAACATTGATGTGGGAGAGACACATAGATTGGTTGCCACCCACACGACCCCAACTGGGGCCAGGGACAAACTGCAACTGAGCTACGTGCCCTCAGCGGGAACTGAACCCGGGACTCTCTGGTCTGCAGGCCGACGCTCTAACCGCTGAGCCAAACCGGCCAGGGCTCCTTTTTTTTTAATGCATTTATAATTCTTCAGACCTGCAGCCCGGTCCTCCCCATGGCTCTCTCCCACGCTGGTCCGTGTTCCCCTCGTTCCCCCCTCCCAGCAATCCCTGTGCCTGCCTCTGAGAGCTCCTGCTGCAGGGCTTTGCTTCCACCATCCTCGCCCTGTAGGCTCTGACCCAGAGGGCAGGTGGCTGTGGGAGTCTATTGGAACTGAGCTTAATGCAGCCTTGGGAAGAATTAGGGGTGAAACCGTCTTCACGTTCTCACATTGCAGATGCTGATCAGGGTCCCCTTGTTTTCTAGGTGACCGTTGTTCCCTGGCCTGCCATCTCCCGATGGAGGACAGAGGCTCACTGGCCCTGGAAGAGGATCAGAGGGGCCTGTGTGGGGACCCGTCCTCACTGGCACCCACCGAGCGCCCCGCTTCACAGACCTCCCCCCAGCCCAGCAAATCTGTGTCCTCGGCCCACAGACACCTCAGCAGAAGGAATGGGCTCTCGAAACTCTGCCAGAGCAGGATGGCGCTCTCCGGTGACGACCTTGTGGGCATTGGGACATCTCTGTGTTCTTTCAGAGACAGGTGCAGGTTTGGGTGCTCCGTGTGCTGGCCTGCAAAGCCGCGGGCCCTTCCGGCGTGTCTGTCCTGTGAGATTCTTAGGCAGGAAACTCCTTTCCAGGCAGCGGTTGGAATTCTCTTCCATGTTTCAGGGTCAATTAGAGCATAACGTTCTCTCTTACATCAGAGTGTGGGGAATGCTGTCCTGGGCTGGGCAGCTTTGCAGGTGAGACACAGGTTTGCTGGTTTAATCCAGCTGCTTCCTACTGACCGTATGGCGGGCTCAGGGTCTCCTGGACCCGGGCAGAGCAGGCTGGCTGGGGACAGCCAGCTTCACAGCTATAGCGGGGGTAGGGGGGGTGGGGGGGTGGGGGGGTAGGGGGTGGGGGGGAGCTCTCCCCTGCTGGGATGGCCAGGGAGCTCTCCCCTGCTGCCATTCATTCCATCCACTCACTGACTTCTCCAAGTCAGCCAGAGCCCAGACACATCGAGGAAGAAAGCGTTGCTCTGCCTTTGAGGGGCTCATTGTCCTGAGTAGACTGCAGGGCAAACCCTTGAACCGGTGGGGGTCCTGGAATGCAAAGACATTCTGAAGGTGAAGAGATGGCAGGGAGCCAAGAGGAGGGGCTGCAGGGGAGGAAGGGGTCTGGTCTTGAGGAAGGAGCAGCTGACTCAGCTGGGAGCTTCAGCCAGGTCCGCTGGCCCAGGGCGGCCCCTGGGGAGCAGAGGCAGAGCTGGCACCAAGGAGCCTGTCCAAGGTGCGGGGCAGTGGAGCAGCCTCAGGTTTCTGGGCTGGTGAGGCCACTAACTGAGAAGATGGGGGCTCCTCCATGAAGGACCCAGAGGGAACCAGAGGGTGACTCATAGTTTGGTTGTTGAGCTGTTAGAGGGAAGGGCTGACAACACCGAGATGGGAGATGGGGCGGTGGCCGGCTGGACCCTGGGAGGGGAGCAGAGGTTCTGAGGCTGAGCAGGGGTAGGAGGCTGGGAAGGGGAGGGCAAGGGCCAGACTGAGGGCAGGCGCTATGGGAGGCCGGAGATGCAGGGGTGGAGCCTGGGAGCCATGGGTGCTGCTGAGAGCAGACTTTCTGAGGATGAGTGACCTGCTCAGCAGAATGGAGGGAGGGGAGTGGAGACAGCAGGTAACACTTGAATTTGTGGCAGGACAGTAGCTGGGCTGTGGTTCTGGATGATGGACACAGGAGAGTGGCCCTGGGCGGGTGGTAGGCAGGAATCTCACAGGGTTTTCTGCACAGAAGTGTAGAGCTCTGAGGGACACCGTGTGCCGACTCTGCAGCCCTGGGGGTGGCTTAGGTGGAGTCAGGACTGTTAGCACGTGATCGCTCTGCAGGTGAATCTAATGTAGTCCTTCTGGGGGCGGGGCAGGGCCTGTGCATTGCTGTTTCAGAAGAGAGCCCCTGGCAGCCTGGGGTCTGAAGCTTCCTTTTCTTTGCAGAAGACAGATGGAGCTCCTACTGTCTGTCCTCATTGGCTGCTCAAAATATCTGCACTGGCAAGGTGCCATGCCCCGCCACAGCCGAGCAGGCGGACCCGGCCGGGTCCCTGGGCAGCACGTCCTGCTGCTCACTGCTGTGTGGCCTGGCCTCAGGGTGCTCCACGCCCCTGCTCCCGGCCCCCGCGGGCAACCCCAACAAGGCCATCTTCACCGTGGATGCCAAGACTTCCGAGGTATCTGCTGTGCCTGTGACAAAGCTGTGGGTCTGGGTCTGCCCTGTGACCGGTGAACACAGGGACCGGGAGGGTGAAGCTCGTGCTCGCTGAAGTGCTGACTGAACTGAAGGAACAGCGCTCAGTCTGAGCCGGCGCGAGTGCCCTGTGCTCAGAACCGAGGCTGGGGGGTGCGTGTCCCTTCTTGGCCTCGTGCTCTCGATGACACCCCCCTCTTGGTCAGACTAGAGTCCCCATGGGCGTCATGGTGCGAGCCTGCCCACAGCAGGCGGTGGGAGAGGATGGGTCTCCCTCTCCCGAGGCTGTCCGCGCCACCTTCTCACTTCCTGGAGTCGGATGCTGCTTGTGATGCTGGTGTCTCCTCTCTGCCGCTCTCAGATCCTGGTGGCCAATGACAATGCTTGCCGGCTCCTGGGGTACAGCAGCCACGACCTCATTGGCCAGAAGCTCACACAGTTCTTCCTGAAGCCAGACTGCAATGTGGTGGAAGCGCTCAGCGAGGAGCACATGGGGGCCGACGGTCGCGCCGCCGTGGTGTTTGGCACGGTGGTGAGTGTGGGCCTGTGGACGCTGCTGGCTGGAGCGTGCCGTGGGGGTGGGCGAGGACACCCACAGAAGCTGCTGCCGCTGGCCTGGCGCTGCTCGTGCGGGAGGCCTGACCAGCACCCCCAGCCTGCAGGCACCCCTCCGGTTCCCGAGAGAGACATGCCGCACTGTTCGCTGGTTGGGGCTGGCTTGGGTGGCGGTTGGACTGCATGTTAGATGCGGAGCCCTGAGCCCCAGTCACTGGAAGGAGTCATACAGGGTCCACCACACTCAGCATGACCGTCCAAGGGACTGGCTGCTGAGAAGAGGAAAATGAAGATGTTCAGCACTTGTGTCTGTTTCTTTAAGAAATTTTGCAGATGCTGCTGATAATAAAATCTAGTCTTCCAGTAGAACATTCACTCAGAGACTGTAGGCTCAGTGTCAGAGACCTGGTCTGTACTTTGGTTAATTTCCAAAATGTCAGGCCGGTGAGCAGAGCTGAAAACACCATGTGCCTGGAGTGGGGAGGGCCCCATGGCTGGGGGCGGCAGGTGCAGCCTGTCCCTGCCCACAGGTGGACGTCGTGAGCCGAAGCAAGGAGAAGGTCCCGGTGTCCGTGTGGATGAGGAGGATGCGGCAGGAGCCCCGGCTGTGCTGCGTGGTCGTGCTGGAGCCCGTGGAGAGGGTGTCGGCCTGGGTCTCTTTCCAAAGTGATGTGAGTTTGCAGGAGCCTGACCACACGCTCCCCAGCGTGTCGCTCTTTGTTCCCACGTGGGCCTCTGCACAGCAGCACCCTCAGGGTTCTGGGGGGTCGTCCCCATCTGCCGAGCCCCTTGGTGATCGCGCCCTTGGCCAGGCACCCGTCTCCCTGTGCCTCTGTTTCCTCGTCGGGAAAGTCCCGTGTAACTGTCACCCTTCAGCCACAGTGCACAAGCCCTCGGGATGGCAGCCGTGCGGACAGCACGCTGCTCCGCCTGCCTCCGGGTAGAGCGGCGTGGGTCCTCATGCCGGGGAGCCAGCGAGGCTTCTGTTAGAAGTCTGTGCACCTCCTACAGGAGGAGCAGCTTGCAAGTTCACGGGTCAGTGCAGCCTGAGGCTGCAGCACGAGAAACTGTTATCACATGTTGGCTTTCCCTCCAAGGGGGCCATCACGTCCTGCGACAGCATCTTCGCCCATCTGCACGGCTACGAGAGTGGGGACGAGTTGGCTGGGCAGCACATCACAGAGCTGATCCCCTCCTTGCAGCTCCCTGTGCCTGGCCAGTGCATCCCGCAGGTGGGCCCTGACCCCCCCCTTCCCTGAGGAGTGGGAGGGAGGGGAGGTGCAGGAAGCTGGGTGTTGGGGTGTCCCACGCTGGGCATACGATAGATGACCTGAAGCAGCAGAGCCTGAGCTCGGCTGCATGGGTGCTTGTGCTCAGTGGCGTGTCTTTCTTTCAGAATCTCAAAATTCAGAGGTCTGTCGGAAGAGCCAAGGATGGTACCACCTTCCCTCTGAGCTTAAAGCTGAAACATAAGCCCAGTCGAGAGGAGGCGGAAGCCAGCCAGGCGGCCCCCGAGCAGGGTTACTCGGCATCCGTCTGGGTGTTCTTCACCATCAGTGGCCTCATCACCCTCCTGCCCGATGGGACCATCTATGGCATCAACCACAGCTTTGCACTGATGCTGTTTGGTTACGGGAGGACCGAGCTCCTAGGCAAGGTGGGCCCTCCCTGCAGGGCTGCTCCATGTCCCATAGGGAAGGAGTGCGCTGGTCCTGGCCCTGTGTCCCGTAGGGAGGGAGTGTACTGGTCCTGGCCCTGTGTCCCGTAGGGAGGGAGTGTGCTGGTCCTGGCCCCGTGTCCTGTAGGGAGGGAGTGTACTGGTCCTGGCCCTGTGTCCCGTAGGGAGGGAGTGTACTGGTCCTGGCCCCGGGCCCCCTAGGGAGGGAGTGTGCTGGTCCTGACCCCGTGTCCCGTAGGGAGGGAGTGTACTGGTCCTGGCCCTGTGTCCCCTAGGGAGGGAGTGTACTGGTCCTGGCCCCGGGCCCCCTAGGGAGGGAGTGTACTGGTCCTGGCCCTGTGTCCCGTAGGGAGGGAGTGTGCTGGTCCTGGCCCCGTGTCCCGTAGGGAGGGAGTGTACTGGTCCTGGCCCTGTGTCCCGTAGGGAGGGAGTGTACTGGTCCTGGCCCTGTGTCCCGTAGGGAGGGAGTGTACTGGTCCTGGCCCTGTGTCCCGTAGGGAGGGAGTGTACTGGTCCTGGCCCCGGGCCCCCTAGGGAGGGAGTGTGCTGGTCCTGACCCCGTGTCCCGTAGGGAGGGAGTGTACTGGTCCTGGCCCTGTGTCCCGTAGGGAGGGAGTGCGCTGGTCCTGACCCCGTGTCCCGTAGGGAGGGAGTGTGCTGGTCCTGGCCCTGTGTCCCGTAGGGAGGGAGTGTGCTGGTCCTGACCCCGTGTCCCGTAGGGAGGGAGTGCGCTGGTCCTGGCCCTGTGTCCCGTAGGGAGGGAGTGTACTGGTCCTGGCCCCGGGCCCCCTAGGGAGGGAGTGTACTGGTCCTGACCCCGTGTCCTGTAGGGAGGGAGTGTGCTGGTCCTGGCCCCGGGCCCCCTAGGGAGGGTGTGCGCTGGTCCTGGCCCCGTGTCCTGTAGGGAGGGAGTGTGCTGGTCCTGACCCCGTGTCCTGTAGGGAGGGAGTGTGCTGGTCCTGACCCCGTGTCCCGTAGGGAGGGAGTGTGCTGGTCCTGGCCCTGTGCTTCAGCAACTTCCAGTCCGGCTGCTGGCTTCACGGGGGGTGGGGGTGGGGTGGGGGGGGCGGCACACTGGCCGAGAGGGATTCCCTGCTCGTTTTTCTAGACCCCACATTGAGCACCCTGCCTCCTGGACCATCTGCAGAGCCACCTCCGCAGAGGGGTCTGGTCTGAGATGCTGGACGAGTGTGTGTGTCACAGCTGTGTTTGCTCTGCACCCCGAGGCAGAGGCTTGGCCGCTCGTCCACTGACCTGGGGGTTGTGGGGAGGCCTGTCACTCAGAGGAAGGTGTCTCTGGGACCTTGGTGGAGCTTCCGCTCGGTTCCTCGAACTTGGGTGGTGGAGGTCTCCTCGCAGGGCCAGGCACCAGGAGTGGCGACCGCGGAGTGGCCCTGTGTCAGTTGGCACAAACAGCCCTCCACAAACAGTCCCCAAGTGGCAGCCGTGTGTTTGGTCACATATCGGTCCTTGAGCTGAGCTTTAAGTGGGACAGCCCACTCATTCCACGAGGCGCCAGCTGGGCGGTGCCCTCCCGGGCTCACGGTTCGCCTGACTAGGACGAGGGGCCCCTGCAGGGGCATCGAGGGCAGCAGGCTGCTCAGGGAGTGTGCAGGGTTAGAGCCAGTTCTGGGTTCACATGGCCAAGGCGTCCTGGGAGGGGGGCCACACGCCGGTGCAGACAGCGTCCGTCCTTGCAGTCCTGGGCCTGGGACCCTCACAGTGGGGCCACAGCCAATGCAGCCAGGCCCCTGCTGGACCTCAGGGGCCAGCGTCCTGCTGCCCGAGCCCTTTGTCCTTTTGCGCCAGGACACGTGGGTCAGGGAGCTTGCAGACGGGCCCCAGGCTTGAGGGGAACGTGTGTGAAGGCTGGATGTCTGCTCAGAAGACACTTCGATGTTGGAGCAGCTAGCTTCAGAGTGTGTTCGTTTTACCTTTTGAACAAGAAAAAGGGGCAAGTCATGAATTCCATGTTGAGCATCAGGAATCTGACCCGTTTCCCTCACCTGGAGGAATGACCCCAGAGGCCTGGCCGGCCACCTTGTTTTCCTCCCCTGGGCAGACGGTGGGTGCTGCGGCGGGTCGGGGTGCTCGCTGGCTCTGAGCCCCGCTGTTTGTTCTCTAGAACATCACCTTCCTGATCCCTGGTTTCTACCGCTGCATGGACCCCACGTACGACAGCTCCTTACCACTGCCAGACCTGGTCCACCACCTGGACTTGGGCAGCCCGAGTGGGCCTGCGGAGACAGCCGTGGACCCCCTGCAGGCCCGGAACACGGCTCAGGGTGAGCCCAGGGCTCCTCCTAGGGAGTCCTCCTGAGCTCCCACGGGGGACAGGGGGCGTGCCAGGTGGGACGGGGAGACAGTTCCTCTGTCTCTGATGGGCCCTCAGTGCTTCCTGGGGATGGGAGATGTGTGTCCCACTGACGTGTTAGCAGAGCGAGGAGGATTGGAACTCCCCCTGTGTCTGTCACGAGTCCCCACAGGCCTGTGTGCAGGACACCTGTAGCTTCTTGGCTGTCTTGGTGAGTCTGCAGCTTCATTAGTTTGAGGTTGAACTGAGGTAGTGTTTCAAGTTAGCCCAGAGTTCAGCAGTCACAGCAGGCTTTCTGAGTAGCATGGTGATCCACTGTGCTTTTAATGTCTTAGACCTCACCTGAGGGCATTCTCACTGACTTTTCAGAGAGGGGTGGAGAGAGAGGGGGGGGGAGAAACATCAGTCATTGCCTTCTCGTATGTGCCGTGACTGGAGCTGGGGATCGAACCTGCAGCCTTTTGGTGTACAGGATGATGCTCCAGCCAACGGAGCCACCCAGCCGGCCACTGTATTGTTAACATAGCATTTAAGGTTATTCCCACACCTCCCTGAGTCCCGCTCCTTGGCTCTGAGTGTCCAGTGAGGACTAAGCTCCCCACTCCTGCCCTGAAGGGACCCTGCCCTGAGCTCAGGGCCGAGCCAGCACCTGGGCTTGAAGGAGCAGGAAGAAGTGGGGCGCCCAGAGCCTCCTGGGTGCGCACCTTCCCTTGATGAAGAGCGAGTGGCTGTGCCCAGCTTGCCTGCACCCGCTCCCTGCTGCCTTCTCGCTGCCCTCAGCGGGCAGGCGGTTGCAGCTCTGGGAGGGTAGTGGAGTCGGGCCGCAGGGCTATGGGGGTCATCTCAGGGATGGTGGCTTTCATCTCGAGTCAGAGTGGAACCCTCGGAGAGCAGTGGGCCGATGAGAGCCCTGCTCCGACTCCAGTGCTAGTGGGATCGTGATGGCCAAGTGCGGAGCCCAGGACGGTGCAGCAGAGTGGGCAGGGTGGTGGCCTGGACCCGGGGGTCTGTGGGGTGGCCAGAGGTGGCCTGATGCAGGACGGGCTGGGGACAGACACGGGGCAGATGGAGTTCCGTAGATCAGGCTAACCCACCCTCCCCGGGCCCCTGAGAGATGAGCTTCGTCTCAGCAGGGTTGCCGCGAGTGGAAACCATCTCTGCTGCTGTTGCTAGATCCAGGGCTTAATGTCACGCTCGCTGGTGACCTCATGCTACCCCCAGACAGGACCCCAAAGCCAGCGGGGAGCCCAGAAGCCGTCACAGGGATCCAGGCCCAAGTGGACACCAGAGGCCAGCTCCCTTCTGCCCGCTCCTGCCCGCCCACTGCGGGGTAAGTCCTCTGGAGAGTGCAGGTGGCCCGGCGCTGCGGCAGCTGTGTGGCACTCCAGCGCACCTGGGGGCTGCGGGGAGCTGATGTTGGCGCAGTTTCTCACGTAGAAAATTGTCTTTCTTGCCCTGGCCGGTTCGGCTCAGCGGTTAGAGCGTCAGCCTGCAGTCCAGAGAGACCCAGGTTCGGTTCCCACTAAGGGCATGTACCTCGGTGGTTTGTCCCGGCCCTGGTTGGATTGTGCGGGTGGCAACTGCTCGATGTGTCCCTTTCACGTCGATGTTTCTCTTTCTCTCCCTTCCACTCTCTCCGAACAAAATATCAAAAAATGTCCTCGGGTGAGGATAAAAAAAAATTGTTTTTCTTTATTGATTTTAGAGAGACAGGAAGGAGGCGGGGGAGAGAGAGAACATTGATTGGCTGCCCCCTGTAGGCCCCCACTGGGGATCTGGCCCACAACCTGGGCATGTGTCGTGACCGGGAATCGAACCAGCGACTTCTTAGTGCAGGGTCGACGCTCAACCACTGAGCCACACCGACTGGGCCAGTTTTCTCATTTTAAAAGTTATATCATGCCCTGGCTGGTTTGCTTAGTGGTTAGAGCATTGGCCTGTGGACCAAAGAGTCATGGGTTTGAATCCTGTCAGGGGCATGTACCTCAGTTGTGGTTAGGTCCCAGGCCCTGATTGGGATTGTGCAGGAGGCAACCCATTGATGTGTGTCTCTCGCATCGATGTTTCTCTCTGTCTCTCTCTCTCCCCCTCCTTCCCGCCCTCCCACTCTATCTGTAGATAAATGGAAAAGTATCCTCGGGTGAGGATTAAAGAAAAAATTATATGAATCTGTTCTCTTTGTGTGTAATGACAAAGTATTCTGTTTAAAGGAAGAACGTATTAGGGACTTTGGGAAATTGAGAAAAGTAGAGATAAAATCCCCCCATTCAGTTACCAATTCCTGTTGTGCGTAGCATTTTGGAGTGTTTTCAACCAGGCTTCTCCTGACATCTCTGTGCATAGCACGCAGTTAACGTGCCACACTGGGGTGCACCTGTTCCCCTGCCTGAGCTCGGCCCTGCACACCTGGTTTTCTGGGATGTGGCCTGGCAGTGAGGGGGTCCCACTGGGTGAGCCCACCTTAAGTTTCAGTCCGGTGGTCAGGAAGCTGAGGGGACCCTTAGAGGGCAGACCAGGTGTGAGACCCTGAACGAGGCACTCAGCACCTAGGGTGGGGCCCAGGTTCCACGGCACCCAGCACTGGCGGCCCTGCTGCCCCACTGTTCACCGTGGCTTGCAGACGGCCATGGAGGAGCAGGCAGGGCAGGGAGCACAGCTTAGTGACGAGGCGACACCTGGCTGCTGGGAGGTGCAGAGACAGCAGGGACAGTGCAGAGCTGCCCTGGGCCTGACCCTGGGGCCCCACTGCAGGGTTGCCCGCCCTGCTTGGCAAGGGGACCGAGAGCTCCCTGCCTCAGCCCCCCTGTAGAGGACTGGCAGCTCCCGAGACAGGCACAGGCTGGTCAGTTGCATTGCTGGGTGGATGGAGATGGAGAGGTAGCTGTAGCGAGAGGCACAGATACTTGTTGCCTGGCTCTGCAGACCCTCACCCCATCCTTCAGGCCCCCCAGCAAACTCCTGCTTCTCCTCTAAACGCTGCTCGCCATCCCCTCTGCTGTGGAGCTGTTGGGGAGGGCTCCTTCCCAGAGGGCTCTTTCGTCTGCTGTGCCTCTACCATGTCTGCCCCCCAGGCTGGGTGTGGTCACTCCACTGATCTTGGTGTCAGAGTCCCCCTGGTGCGACATGTGTCTTGTGATTGCCGTGGCGGTCGGGTCCCCCGGAGGGGGTCTTAACCCAGGTCTCCCTGAGGTCTTCCTGGCGTTTGGTGCAGCCGCCCCATGCTGAAACGTGCTCGGGGCTCCGGATCCGCTCTTAGGAGCCAGTTAGCCCCCTGCCCCTCTGCCAGCCTTCCAGCCCTTCCCATTGGCCATGAGGTCAGATGGTGTTTCTAGCCAGTCCGTCTGACCTGGGCTGGAAACCCTCAGGCCCTTCTCCCTCTGCCCCCATCCTCCCAGGCCTGCAGCACCGGGCCTGGTGCCCTCTGGCTTCACTGCTCAGTCTTTGTAAACACGTGTTTTGCTGGGAAATGTGTGAGTTGGTGCTTTATTTACTTACATTTTAAAATGTGTTTTTATTACATTTTTAGAGAGAAAGGAAGGGGGAGAGAGAGAGAAACGTTAATGTGAGAGAGAAACATCAATCGCCTGCCTCCTGTACACCCCGTACTGGGAATCGAGCCCCAAACCCGGGCCTGTGCCCTGACCAGGAACTGAACCCGGACCTCTCAGTCCACGGGACGCTGCTCCATCCTCTGAGCCACACTGGTTGGGCAGTGCTTTATTTTTAAATTTGGTTATGAAATTTAGTCTTTTTTCTGTTATAAGTTTATGTTGTTAGATGGGGGAGTCCACGTGATCTCTGTTTCTGACTCGGTGGCCCCTGAGTAACTGTTGTCTATGTTGTACCCCCAGGGTGGACAGCACCCCGGCAGGAAGCCCACCAGCCAGTCAGCAGCTGTCATCGCCTAAGGACCAGAAGGACACTGTCTTGGGGAAGCAGCAGGAACTGATGGCAGCAAAGAGCCTCAGCCAGCAGCTGCTGGGGGGAAGCAGTTCTGACTCAGTGGACACACGACCTTTGGCTTCCTGCGAAGGCCCTGAAGCTCTGACCACAGCTGAGGGCAGGCCCTGGGGTGGAGGGTGTGGCCTGTCCCAGGAAGCACAGTGGGAGTGCGTGGGTGTGAGCGTTGCCAGCAACCCCAACCCCTGGGCTGAGGCCTCAGGGCAGCCGGCAGGGGCCCTGCCCCTGCTGCACCCTGGCTATGGGGCTGAGCAGAGTGTGCCCCCGGGGGGCCTGGTCGCGGTCCCCAGTCCCTCGGGGATGGCGCGCCTCTTGCTCCCTACCCCTGCTCTGGAGGAGCGGTGGCCGGGAGCGCAGGAGGACAGGGAGGAGCTGCAGACTTGCCTACTGAAGGAGCAGCTGTCCAAGTCCAGCTTTAGGGGGTCTTGGGGAGTCTCCTCTGTGGAGCTGGTCCCGGCCGAGCACAGCCCCGTCTCCGCCCCCGTGTCGCTGTGTGACCTGGGAGGCAGGGACCTGCACAGTGGCCGCGTGGGAAGCTCCTCGGCCTGCTATGCCCTCGCCACAGACCTCCCTGGCGTCCTGGACACAGTGAGGGTCCCGGAGGCTGATGGGAATTCGTCTTTCTGGAACCTCAAGGATATGCTCTGTAGCAGATGGACAGACCGAACTTCTTCCAACTGTTCCTGTGCCTCGTCGGAGCTCATGGGGACAGCCTCCCCTTCGCTGGCCGGCTCCGACGCGGGTGTGAGCGCCTGGCACGGGCGCGGGGCAGAGGCTCGGGACGACAGGGAGCTGCTGCTGCTGGCTGGCGCCTATTTCGATCTTGGCAGAGGCCAGCAGTTCTGTGAGACCCGTCTGGGCCTCGGTGGGACAGAACCGTCTGACCCCTCGGAGTGTGAGGACGCGAGTGACAGAGAGAGCCCTGGCTGCGTCCTTCCCAGGCTGGGACCCGGCCCCGCAGAGGCGTGCCCATTAGGGGAGCCCAGGGCGAGCATCCAGGTCACCTCCACACCTGTGAGGGGGGACAGCGCGGTGTCGCCCGGAGCCACCCGCCCTCAGTGCGAGATCCAGGAGGGCACCTACGCCGGGAGCTGCTGCCACCGCGATGGCTCGCTGCTCAGTACGTCCGGGTCCCCAGAGCACACCCGGCGCCGGGCCTTCTCGTCCCGGGCCCATGGCTCACCCCGATCGTTTTGGCAGAAGTGATTATTCAGGGCCCCGAAGTCACAGCTTCCCTCTTACACATCTGGTTCCAGCGGCTCCGGGACGGGGAGCCTTGCCCAAGGCTGCTGCGGCCGCTGGCAGCTGCTCTGGGAGGGGTTGGCGTCGGGCCCCTTCCCTCACCCCTTCGAGGGTGATTGTTTTACTCTCCTTTTTTTAGTATGTTTTTATGGATTTTTACAGAGAGAGGAAGGGAGAGAGAGAGATGGAAACATTGATGTGAGAGAGAAACGTCGATCAGCTGCCTCCTGCACGCCCCCTACTGGGGATCAGCCCACAACCCAGCCATGTGCCCTACCAGGAGTCGAACTGGGACCTCTCCGTCCATGGGACGCCCTCAGTCCACTGAACCACACTGGCCGAGCAACTCTCCTTTTCTTTACATTCTCACCTGAGGATATTTTTTTATCTTGATTTTTTGGGTGTGTGGGGTGAGGGGAGAGAGCAATATCTATTGGTTGCCTCTCATACACACCCCAACCAGGGATCAAACCTGCCACCTTTTTGGTGTGTGGGGTGACGCTCCAACCAACTGAGCCACCTGGCTGGGGCTCACTGTCCTTTGAATTTTCCTACTTACCAGATCATGTTATTTTAGCCAGTTTATTGCTGGGTTTGTATTGTTGATTCCTAAGGCTTTTTTTCCTACTTAAAAAACTTATTTAAATAATACATAAGTTATTTTTTAAAAACTATTTAAAAATATAAACAAAGAAGGCTTGACCGGTGGCTCCGTGGTCAGAGTTTCGGTTCCCAGTCAAGGGCATGTGCAGGTTTGATCCCCGGCCCTGGTTGGGGTGCATGTGGGAGGCGACCAATCAGTGTGTCTCTCTCACATCGATGTTTCTCCTCCTTCCCTCCCTCCTTCCTCCTGTCTCCCTCCCACTCTCTCTAAAAATCATTGGAAAAAATATCCTCAGGTGAGGTTAACAAAAAAAAGAAAAAAGCACCTGTAAAGACTCCTCTCCCTATAAAAACTGCGTGTTTGGGTGTTCACCCTAGAGGGCGTGTGCACACAGCACACATGTGGTTCAGTGTGACTCGGACCCACAGCTGGCACACGCGCTGCTCACACACATCCCTCCACCGAGGCAGCGCCACTGTGTCAGCATGTTGAATGGAGTTTCCGGACTCCCCTGAGCTGACAGGTGGCCGCAGGTCCCTGCAGTGCTTCCCCGGGCCTCTGGCCCCGCACCTGGTGGTGATGGTGCCCCGTGCTTGGCTTTCTGGTGCCCTCGGCCCCGGCCCCAGGCCTTGTGTACGGTTCCCTGCTGCCCAGGCGCGTGCTTTTCCATCACAACGCTGTCATGGTGAAGTTGACAGAGGGCTATGTTCTCTTCTCTCCCTCAGGTGTTCAGTTTGAGGTGAAGCGGGTGGAGCTCCAAGGCACTGCTCCCCTGTTCTGCTGCTGGCTGGTGAAAGACCTCCTGCATGGCCAGCAGGCCTCGGCCACGCGGACCCGCCTGCTGCTGGCCAGCCTGCCCAGCTCCACGCACTCTGTGTGTGAGCACCTTGGGCCCAGCCTGGGGGAGGTGGGTGTCTGCGGCCTCCTCTGCCATGCAGTCGCTTCTCTGTGTGGGCGTGTCTTTCTGTCAGCATCTCTCTCTCTCTCTCGGGACAGGAGGAGGTTTTTAACTGTTCTAATAACCAGTGTGTTAATCCACATGTAGGGTTTCAAATCGTGTGCCCATGCAGGGTGGGGTGTGAACGCGCCTGGACGCATGTGCGTTGGGCTGTCAGGCTGGGCCCTGTGGGCAGGCAGAGTGGGCTGCTGGCCCCACGGCCGCAGGGCACGGTGGAGGGTGTGCCCCCTGCTGCGGCCTCCTTTCCGTGGATTGGTGTGGCCCTCAGACCTGCCTTCACGTGCACAGGTGCTCAGAAACCGCCCGTGGTTTGAGGAGCCCCCCAAGGCTGCCGAGCTGGAGGGGCTGGCGGCTTGTGAGGGCTCGTACTCCCACAAGTACAGCACGCTGAGTCCTCTGGGCAGTGGGGCCTTCGGCTTCGTGTGGACTGCGCTGGACAGGGAGCAGAATAAGGAGGTACTCGGGCCCTCGGAGGGAGGTGGGACTGGGCCAGCTCGGGCCGCCCCGCCCTCCAGGCCTGTGTCTGCTGGACTCTGGGGAGGAGTCCCGTGTGCAGCCCGAGCCGCCCTGCACGGGGTCTGGAGCTGGGAGGAGGCCTCTCCCCAGAGCGGACGTGCTCCCGCCCTGGCCTCCTGCTCGCTGCTTCCGACTTGCCCCAGTGGCACCCGTGCTCTTCCGTGCACCAGAGCTGCATGCTTTCGCCGTCCAGGCTCAGACCCGCAGGGCTGGGGTCCTGGCCACTGCCGCCGCCCGCTGAGGCTCAGCCAGTCCTGGGGGATGGGCTGGTGACAGTGCTGCCTGGCCCTTCGAACACTGCCCGGTGTCCCGTGCCTGGCCACCGAGTCCTTGGAGGCCATGCGCACTGGGGTTTGCCAAGCTGCGTGCCTGGGCTGATCCTTAGTCACATCCACGTCCGTCTTCCTGCTCCTGACAGCTGTCCAGTGGGGCCTGTGGTTTTCTAGACGAAGGGTCGTCGCTGCTCTGCGGTCATGACGGTTGTCTCCTCTGTTTGTCTCCTCTCCTCCTGTCACCAGGCAGGACCTGCAGAGTGGTGAAGTGACAGGCATGCACGGGCTCTGCTGTCTCCCTGCCCGTTGCAGACGCCCCTGGTGGTCTTGATGGATGCCTTTCGTTTGGGGAGATTTTGTTTTATTTTCAGTTCACTGACTTTTTTTTAAGAATGAGTGTTGTTCTAGGAACTGTCTCTTCAGCACCTGCTGAGAGGGCCACGCCCACAAGTTTCCTTGACTGACCGCGAGTGACGTGGGGTCAGGCCTCGGCTGTCGTCCAGGCTCCTGGACGTGTCGTGAATTTGGTCTGCTGGGCTTTCTGCTGGGATTCTCTCATTCACACTTGTAGATAAGTCCTCTTGTGTGTCAGTCGCGGGAGGCCTGCAGGGTTGGCGCTGTGCATCCGCACAGGTGGTGTCTGCCTCGTGTTTCTGTGGCTGCTGGTGTCCCCTGGCTGTGCCAGGTCTGTTCGCGCTTCTCTTCCCAGACTTGCCAGAGCTGTCGTTTTCCTCATCGTCCTTTCTACCAGTTAATGCTGCTCTTTTCTAGCTTGTCAAAGCGAATGTGCTTTGAGCTGTTCCTTACAATAAAAGCACTTACGGTGCTGAGTTTTCCATGTACACATTGGCCATGTTTGCTGTCTCGTGCCTCCAAGGTGAGTCTTACGTTTCCGTTGTCATGTCTGATCTCCCTGCGTCGGGACCTGTCGTTCTTGGTCTGGGTCAGGGGGTTTCTTTGGACTTTATCCCTAAAAGAAGGAGTCCCAGGTCTTCCCTGGATTAAAAAGAGACACATGAGTATTTTTGTCTTTCAGAAAACAGAGGTCAGTTTACACATTATTAGGTCGACACGTTGTTAAGTAAACCGCCAACCAGAAAGTAGAGTTTTCAGGGCCAGGCTGCAGTTCACAGGGCAGAGCACAGTTGTCTCTACGTCCGTTCGGGGGGTTCCCACCTCTGAACACTCGGTTCTCGTCACCCAGAGACATGGGCGCTTTGCAGTTGTCTGGACCTCAGTTCCCGTCGGCTGTGCTGTGTGGGTCAGTGCCCAGGCTCGTCCTCCTGCCAAAGCTGTTCCACCTCTGTTGCTGCCCTTCCCCTGTCGACCTTCCACCCGGACTGTGCTGGGCTCCACCGTGCGGGGAGGGTGCGTGTCGGTGCCTCTCTCCCTCAGCTTTTAGACCTTGTTTATTGTCTTCTAGCGTTAGTTCAAAGTGGATTTTGCTTTCAGCAACTTTTCTTTTTTTTCATCTTTGGACTTCACAAATTTCGGCAGGTTGTATTTTTGTGTGTGTGCTTCATTCTTGCTTGAGACTGGGTAAGACTCTGGCCTGGATCTTCAAGGCCCCTTCATCTTTGATCACTGTTGTTATTGTCATCATTTCGTCCGCACCCGAGGACATGTTTGCATTTACTTTTAGATAGAGCGGGAGGGAGGCAGGGAGGGAGAGAGAGACACATCGACTGGCTGCCACCCGCATGACCCATCTGGGGCCGGGGACGAACCGCAACCGAGGTACCTGCCCTTAGCAGGAACTGAACCCGGGGCTCTCTGGTCCGCAGGCCGACACTCTAACCGCTGAGCCAAATGGGCCAGGGCGGCATTCTTAATCTTAAGAAAATTCAGTTGTTTTGTTCTGTGACTTCTTTTTCTTCTTTCTCACTCTCTGCTCCCCTGAAACTTGTCTTAGGTTGTAGCTTGTGGGGGACCCTTGGCTGGGCAGCAGACATCTGTCTTTCAAACATCTGAACTTGAGCGCCTCCCATCTGTGGCCCCCGGTGCTCCCCGCCCTCCGTCACCCTCCCCGACAGCGGCACCATCTTCTCGCCCCTCCCGTCAGCTGGCTCCGCAGGCACGGTGCCCCCTTCCCGAGCACCTTCAGAATGTGTCCACTTCCCTGCTCTGGCTGGCGCCCCAGCCGCCACCATCGCCTCTGGTCCGTGGGAGGTGCCTGGTGTCCAGAAACTCCTACTGCCCTGCCCCTGCCCCGGGCTCTGCCCGCGCCTGCTCAGAGCCCCGCCTCCCCTGCCCACGGCCACGCTGAGGCCCCATTTCTGTCACTTGTCCAGGGTCTCTTGTGGCCGTGTGGACCAGGCCTGGCCTGCGGCCACCATGTGCCCAGTGGCTCCTTTGGCTGCGCACTGGGCACTGGGCACAAGGCTGCCGTTCAGCGGCTTGCGGGGTTTGCTTCCTTTCCGAGCGGCATCTGCTGCCACCCCTCCTAGTGAAGATCACCACGCGCTCTCACCGCTTCTCCGGTGTCCACCTGTGTTCGCCCACTTGCTGAGCTCTGCCTAGTCTCAGAATCGATGTGGACGACGGTCTGAGTGTTTTCTAGTTCTCAGGCTTCTGGTTCCATTTCCTCGGCCAGGACACCTGCTCCTCAGTCGAAAGTCGGAGTGAGACGCGATGCCCTGGGGACGCCTGCTCTGAGGTCTCAGGCCTCCATCCGGCCGTGCTGTGGCTCAGCCCCAGGCTCTGTGTCCCCTCGCCCACTCTGCCTGTCCCTGCGCAGCAGGGGCACGTGGCCAGGTTCTTCCGTATCCCTGGGGGCCGGGAGAGGACACGGGCGGCCTCGTCTGCCGCTGTGAGCCAGCACGGCACCAGGCCCACAGGCGCTGGAGGGCCCTGAGCTGCTGCCCTCTGCTTCCCTTGTAGGTGGTGGTGAAGTTCATTAAGAAGGAGAAGGTTCTGGAGGATTGTTGGGTCGAGGACCCCACCCTTGGGAAAGTGACGTTAGAAATATCGATTCTGTCCAGGGTGGAGCACACCAACATCATCAAGGTGAGCGCAGCTCTCATGGGGCGAGGCCTGCGGGGACTCGTGGGCGTGTCCTGACGCGTGTCTAGCACCTGGGCAGGGCCGGACCCCGCTTGCTCTCTTCCCAGGTCTTGGACGTGCTCGAGAACCAGGGCTTCTTTCAGCTGGTGATGGAGAAGCACGGCTCTGGCCTGGACCTGTTTGCATTCATCGACCGCCACCCCCGCCTGGACGAGCCTCTGGCCAGTTACATCTTCCGGCAGGTGATGCGGGCCTGAGCCGGCGGGAGCGCACGGCGGGGCGCTTGTCCCAGAGGCTTTGTGGGCTCTGCCTCGCCTTCTGTGTATGAGAAGAGCTCTCTGATTGGAGTAGAGAAAGTGAGGCTGGGAAGGAGGGTTAAGGCCAGTTACCCTCCTGGAATGACTGGGAGGGAGGTTTTGTGATCACAGTTTACACACATGCAATGTCCACACTGACCTCAAAGGGAGCCAACAGGCTGTCCGACTGGGCTCGGTGGCCTGTAGGTGGGATCTGGGTTCTTGTCCAAACCAGGAAAGCACGGTTGACCTGCAGCAGGGATCGTTCTGGTGCCCACTCCATGCAGCTGTTCTGGTTAAGTCAGACAGCGCTTGTCTCTAAGGCACGTATACAGTAGCGTGTCCTGGAGGGGGGCGTGGACACGTGTGCGGCAGCGTGTCCTGGAGGGGGGCGTGGACACGCGTGTGGCAGCGTGTCCTGGAGGGGGGCGTGGACAAGACACAGGCTCTTTGACTAGACAGTCACCTGGAGGTGACTCAATTTCTTTTTTCAAAAAAATTTTTCTTTATTGATTTTAGAGAGAGAAGAAAGGAGAAGGAGCGAGAGAAACATCCATGTGAGCGAGAAATATCCACTGGCTGCCTCCTGCACGCCCCGCACTGGGGATCGAGCCTGTAGCCCGGGCATGTGTCCTGACCAGGGATTGAACCGGGACCGCTCAGTTTGTGGGCCAACGCTCAGTCCACTGAGCCACACAGGCCGGGCAATGGCGCGGTTTTTAGAGTCACGTGTTTCCCTGGCTGGCTTGCTGTGTGACACGTGCTAGCATGTGAGCACGGCCTGGAAATGAAGCGCACTGCCTCTGGGCCAGCCAGGCATCCCGTGGCCTTTCCTGGCACTTTGCATCACGAGTTAGTGGTGTTTTGGTTGTTCTTTGTGTGTTGCTGGTCGGCCATGATTTTAAAGGCGTGTTTTGCTTGAGCTGCTCTGTGAGAGCCCGTGGCCTCCTGTTTCAGCTGGTGTCGGCGGTGGGCTACCTGCGCTCGGAGGGCATCCTTCACCGGGACATCAAGGACGAGAACATCGTCATCGCTGAGGACTTCACCATCAAGCTCATAGACTTCGGCTCCGCTGCCTACCTGGAGGAGGACAAGCTGTTCTACACCTTCTGCGGGACGATCGAGTACTGCGCGCCCGAAGTTCTCATGGGCAATCCGTGCGTGTCGGGCCTGGGTCTCTGCCTGTGAGCTTAGAGGGGGGTGGGTGCTGGGGGACAGAGGCTGATGCTGGGAAGGTGGGCAGTGGGTACAGGTTCCTCATGTTACTTCCCCAACTTTTGTTTATGTGTAGTTGTATACAATTAAAAGTTAAGAAAAAGATAAAGGGATCCCCCAAAGTGGGACTCTCCAAATAAGCGAAGAGGCGTCGTCTTTAGTTGGGCCTGTTTTGTCAGTTACAAGGGGCCGGAGCTGGAGATGTGGTCGCTCGGAGTCACGCTGTACACACTGATCTTCGAGGAGAACCCCTTCTGCGAACTGGAGGAGACCCTGGAGGCTGTGATGAACCCCCCGTACCCGGTGTCGGAAGGTGAGCAGGACACAGCCAGTGGCCTCCTCGCCTCCTGTCTTCCAGAGCCTTTGTCAGAGCTGATGGCCTCACCCTCTCTCCACTCCTCTCATACTTTGAGCAGAGGACGATTGGAATCGGACTTTAAAACATTGCGATAATTCTGGCCCTGGCCGGTTTGCTAAGTGGTTAGAGCACCGGCCCATAGACCAGAGAGTCCTGCGTTCGGTTCCTGTTAAGAGCACATACCTCGGTTGCAGTTTGTCCCCAGCCCCGGTTGGGGTCATGTGGGTGGCAGCCACTTGATGTGTCCCTTTCACGTCGATGTTTCTCTCTCCCTCCCTCCCTCCCGCTCTATCTAAAGATAAATGCAAAAGTGTCCTTGGGTGAAGATTAAAAAAAAAACAAACACGATGATTCTGTTCCTGTGAGCTTCCCCTTGGGATCACTGGGCTGTCTTCTGAGAGGTGGACATTAATGCTTGTGGGCTTGGCCATGGCAGTATCCAACGGGGGGGCTGTGGGGGGAACCCGTCCCCAGCAGCTCCCGTGGAAAGGAGCCTGGGGTGTCTGTCACACCGAGGGCTCCCTGTGAGCCAGCAGTGTGAGCTCGATTTGCCTCTGAAGTGACCGGCATGGGGAGGTGGATATGACTTGGGGGCCAGAAAGGGCTTCCCAAGTCTCCAGCTGGCCCACAGGGCTCTGAGGTTCCTTTCAGTCTTGGCACTGCGTTTCATAGTTGTCACTTGTTGTTATGAGCACTGAGGTGACGAGTGTCGTCTGTGCCTGACTCTGCTTGGGTTAGAAACCTGTGTCTCAGGCGGCTCAGCAGCCATGATGCTCATGGACGAGGGGCTCAAACAGCAGACATTCACTCTCAGTCTGCAGACTGGGAGCCGAGGTCCAGGCGCCGGCCCACCTGCTCTGGTTGAGACCTCTTCCTGTCTTCAGACGGCAGCCTGCTCTGTGTCCTCGCATGGTGGAGGGAGGGACAGCGAGCTTTCTAGCCTCTCTTCTACAAGGTTGCTAATTTCATCGTGGGGGCCATACCCTCAGGGCCTCATCTAATCACCCTGGTCACCTCCCAAAGGCCCCACCTCCTACCACCATGGGGCAGGGCCGGCCCTGGAGAGGACTGCAGGCCTGGCTGACTTCTGGATCTCGGACTCCGGCAGCTGCCTCCCTGCCTCTCCTGTCACACCAGCCCTGTGTCATTCTTGGCTCTGCACAGCCAGAGCCCCTGGAAGTAGGCCCCAGGTCGAGACCTCCACACAGTGATGGAGCAGGATCTCTCTCTAATCGCTGTCATTGCAGAGGGGACAGGTGGCTCTTGAAGCCTTTCTCAAGGTGCAGCTGTAGGTCCCGTGTGCCAAAAACCCTGGGGTGCTCATTTAAAATGGGGGTTCCAGGGCTACCTGCTGCCCAGTTGGAGGTGCTCATGGGGGCACACATGGTTTTGAGGTGCCCTCCACTTGACCGCAGCCCAGACCACTGATGGTCTCTGGCCCCATGCCTAGGACAGGTTTTATGTCCCCAGATCTCATGAACCTCGTGTCAGGGCTGCTGCAGCCTGTCCCCGAGCAGCGCACCACCTTGGAGAAGCTGGTGACAGACCCCTGGGTGACGCAGCCCATGAACCTTGCTGACTACACTTGGGAGGAGGTGTGTGGGATAAACAGGCCAGGTGAGAGGCATGGCCTGTGAACCCGGGCGGGGGTGGAGGGGTAGCTCCCTGCTCCATGCTCCCTGGATTTACACCGGCGCAGTGAGACTCGGTTCTGATTCAGAGGCCCCTGGATGCCGCGGGGCTCAGAGCTTGGCTGCGGGCCTTGGGGGGTGGGGGAGTGCCCGTGGGAGCCTGTGGTGAGCTGCTGGGGCTTTGAGAAGTGCAGTTGTCAATGGTCGGAGTGGGCTGAAGGGGACGATAAGGCCACAGACAGTGCAGTACTTGGAGCCCCCAGCTCTTCGGGTGAGGCTCCTGGCCCCACAGCCAGGCAGAGGCAGCCGTGTGCCTGGTCACCACTGCTCAGCGGTGGGCCCTGCAGGTGTTGGGGGCTCTGGGTGTGGCAGTCCAAGAACTCGGGGGCTTTGCCGTTTGGGTTCTGAAGGGCCCTCTGGTGTCTTTTGCTCCTAGGAATTGTTTGAGAATCGTGTGTTACCAGCATGTGATACAATGTCGTCTTCTTTCTTCAGAAAGCGGAGTCCTGTCCACCGCGAGTCTGGAGATGGAGAGCAGAGACCCCAGTGACGCGGCTCAGCATCCGGAGCTGGCACCCCCTAGAGGGCCCCATTCATTCAGGGAAAGTAATGATCAAGGCTGGCCCACTTCACCTAAAAACTCAGTTTGATAAATGCTAGAACAAAAGCCAGTGATGCTGTATTATTTGGGGTTTATAAAATAGATGTGGAGTTTTTTTGTTCATGACCTTGGAAAAACACTGCAGTGTCCAATCAAGTTTTGTACTGCGAGAGGGGCTTTGGACTTGTGAACTTCTGGAAGGCATTTTCGAAGCCTCTTACTTCTGTACACGTGCATATGTTTTGTTTCCTCTGATCTGGTCCATGCTCATCTGATAGGTAGAATTTATAGAACTGATGACCAGGGTATTTCATTAATTTATTTTCTTAAACATTTTTTAAATTAAAGCAGTTTTGTTGGTAAACAATTACCTGACTTGGACTGTATGAATTCTTGCACAGTGCCGGTGTGGGGAGCACTGGAGAGGGGTTCAGCCTCAGACAGTTTGAGGGTCCCTTCCTGGATGGGGAGCTCTGCAGCCCACTCATTCTGAGGAACCTGGGAGTTTGCGTTCAGTCTGTGCACAGCTGGTTAGGGTCGGCCCACCATCTGCCCAGGCTCTGCAGCAGGGCTCTGCTGCCCACCCCCAGCACCCTCAGCACCCAAGACATCCTGCAGCCAGCCCAGTTCCCCTGGGATAATGTGGGGGGGGGGGGTGTCCAGCCCTGTCGTCGCCCCACTCTTGCTCAGGCCCCGGTGCCCTTCTGTAACAATCAGCTAGCTTAAGCACATGACATCCAGCCTCCATGTGGTATATATTGGAGCAGAGGGCATAGTCAGGGGTCAGAGGAAAATGTTTCATCCCCCCTCACCCCCTGCTGAGATAGCAGGAAAAAAGCAAAAACAAAAAATAAGACCCCTCACCCTTTGTTCCCACATCATTACTTTCTGCAGTTTCCAAGGCTCCTCCTGCCCAGAGCCCTTAGGAAGATACCCCGGACCCAGGCTGCCTGGACTGGTCCTGTGCTCAGTGTGCAGTGCTCAGTGGGGACGCTCGCTTCCTGTGCTCAGTTTGCAGTGCTCAGTGGGGGCGCTCGCTTCCGGTGCTGTTTGCAGTGCTCAGTGGGGGCGCTCGCTTCCTGTGCTCAGTGTGCAGTGCTCAGTGGGGGGGCGCTCGCTTCCTGTGCTCAGTGTGCAGTGCTCAGTGGGGGGCGCTCGCTTCCTGTGCTCAGTGTGCAGTGCTCAGTGGGGGGCGCTCGCTTCCTGTGCTGTTTGCAGTGCTCAGTGGGGGGCGCTCGCTTCCTGTGCTCAGTGTGCAGTGCTCAGTGGGGGGCGCTCGCTTCCTGTGCTCAGTGTGCAATGCTCAGTGGGGGGCGCTGCTTCCTGTGCTGTTTGCAGTGCTCAGTGGGGGCGCTGGCTTCCTGCAGTGCTCAGTGTGCAGTGCTCAGTGGGGGCGCTGGCTTCCTGCAGTGCTCAGTGTGCAGTGCTCAGTGGGGGGCGCTCGCTTCCTGTGCTCAGTGTGCAATGCTCAGTGGGGGGCGCTGCTTCCTGTGCTGTGCTGTTTGCAGTGCTCAGTGGGGGCGCTGGCTTCCTGCAGTGCTCAGTGTGCAGTGCTCAGTGGGGGGCGCTCGCTTCCTGTGCTCAGTGTGCAATGCTCAGTGGGGGGCGCTGCTTCCTGTGCTGTTTGCAGTGCTCAGTGGGGGCGCTGGCTTCCTGCAGTGCTCAGTGTGCAGTGCTCAGTGGGGGCGCTGGCTTCCTGCAGTGCTCATTTAGGAAGCATTCATTGTGTTAATATTGCCGATGCTCAGAGAAGAGTTAACTTTATTTTCAACTAGGAAATGGGATTTCACCATCTCCTTGTTTTTAGAAAGTGCTGACTTAGTCTTCCTACCATCACAAGATACTGTTGGGTCCCCTCCTCCATTGGAGACAGTAGAGGCAGGGTTTTTATTTATTTATTTCTTATTCTTTTTTTAATCCTTACTCGAGGATATTTTTCCATTTATCTTCAGTTAGAGTAGGAGGAAGGGAGAGAGGGGGTCAGAGAGAGAGAGACAGCATTGTCTCTCAGTTCCTGCCCCCCAGCTGCCCCCTGATCCCCAGAGCTGGAGAACTGCGTAGGTTCCTCGATTTCCTTCCTGGGTGTGGGGGTGGCACAAGGGATTCTCTTAGGCTTGGGGTGTAAAGTATTAACATAATTTATTTTGAGGTGCTGACAGGTGTTTTAAGAAGAAAGATCAACCGTCCCCGCCTTGGAGAAAAATCCTTGTCCAAAAGGGTCTGCCGCGGCCCCAGCCCGGCGCCCGGCGGAGCAGGCGCCTGAGGTTAACCGCCAGGGCTGACCCGTCCCGTTCAGAAACCAGAAGCTCCGCTTGTGAACTGAGTGTGGGGCTTGGGGCTGTGGGGTGCGGGCGGCTGGGAGGGCGCACCGGAGCCGGCGCTAGACCCAGATTTCTCCAGGTGGAAGGGAGCGCGGGCAACCCGGGGATGGCCGCGCTCGCGAGTGCGTGGGACCTTGGAATCGACGCCTGGGCCCGTCTCCGCGCGGAGCCAGAGGGCCGCCGGGCGCCGCCGCCGCTGCGTGCGCGTTCGTTCGGCTGCGGCCCAGCCCGCCGCAGGGCAGACCCGCCCGTCGTCGAGGGCGAGCGGGTTCCGGCGGCCGGCACCTCCCCGCGCGCCGGGCACAAGAGCCGTCAGCCGCGGGGCGCTGGGCACAGCGCCCTCGTCCGCCCCGCCGCGGGCGTGCAGGCCGGTGCACCTGCGCTGCGCGCTTCCTCCGGCTCTTCCTCGGGAGCGGCCGGCACAACGCGTGGCCGGGCTGGACCTCGGGCGGGGAGGAGGCCTGGGGCGCGCGCGCAGCCGGGCGCCGGGAACCCGACCGGCGAGCGGAACGCCCGGCTGCACCCTCGCGCTGGCTCGGGGGAGGGCGGAAGCGGCGGACCGGGGAGGGCGGGGCCGGAGGCTTGGGGAGGGCGGGGCCGAGGGCCGGCGGCCGGGGTGGGCGGGACCGGCGGCCTGGGGAGGGCGGGGCTGAGGGCCGGGGTGGGCGGGGTCGGCGGCCTGGGGAGGTCGGGGCCGAGGGCCGGGGTGGGCGGGGTCGGCGGCCGAGGCGGCTCTGCTTCCGGCGCAGGAGTCGCGGCCCCGCCTTCGCGCGATGGCGGCGCTCGGCCGGCAGGTGAGGCCGCGCGGGGCGAGCAGCTCGCAGGACGCGGCGGGGAGGCGGGCGCGCGGCGACCTGCGCGTGGTGCGCTCCGCGCGGCGGGGACGCCGGAGCCTCGGGAGAGACGGGCTGTGCGTGGAGGTGGCCGGCCGGCTGCGCCGGCTGCGACGCTGGCCCTGCGGAAGGAGCGCGGAGACGAGGGTCTGGAGGCGGGACCCCGCCCCAGTCCGAGTGGGCGCCCGCCCGGCCCCCAGGGGCGGCATGAAAACCTTTAGGCTGCAGACCCCTCAGATCCGAAGGCGGCTTCGTGGCAGCTTCTGTGTCCACAGAAGCAGGGACCCCTGGGCCCCGGGGAGTGGGGGCCACGAGGGACGGACCGGACGACCACTTGCACCTGTGTGGCCGACACCACCAAACCCGAACCCCCTTTGTTCCCGGACACCCCTTTGTCCCCGCAGCCCTCCCGCTGTGAAGTTGCTGGCCCCTCACCGAGCCTCCGAGGGGCTGCCTCTGGCCATAAACGTTGGGAAACGGGGGGGGGTTCTTCGTCCTGCTGATCTACTGCGAATTAAATTATCCAGCCCCCAGGCACCACCCTTAGCAGGTAGAGGAAAAGGCCCCCCAAAAGCTTTACCTGGCGGCCTTGGAGTAGCCCCCCCCCCGTCCCCATCCCCCATGCCCGCAGTGGTGGCCCGACAGCTTATAGACACTTTAGACACTTGCTTGACTGTTCTGCGTGGGAGCCTCCAGGCTTTTTGGGTTCAGATACGACTCTGCAGATCTTTTATAAAAACTGTTATGTTTGTGTGGGGCCCTCTTCCCCAGTCCTGGGGTTCCCATTCCACGGGGTGGTGAGGAAGTGACTCCCTTTTGTGCTGCATCTTACAGGTCTTGGATTGGCACCGCCTGGTCCCCCTCACCTGGGCTGGCATCGCTAGGCAGACGCCTCGTCTTGGAGAACAGGAAAGGGCACCGGCTCCCTTGTTGCGAAAACTGACCACAGCCTCCAGTGGAGGAGGGGGCCTTGTGGGGTTACCCCGTGTGGAGCCCAGAAAGGATGTGCAGAAACCAGAGTGCTGGACGAGCCTTGCTCGGTGCCACCTCCATAAGCAGAGGGCTCCTGTGGAGGGAGGGTCCCTGGAGCGGGAGGAGGTCATCCGTGCCCTCCTGGACATGGGTTTCAGTGATGTCCATGCTCAAGAATTGCTCAGTATACAACCAAGCCCCCACCCTCGACAGCTGCTGGACATCGTCTCAGAGTTAATACTCTTGGGTGTGAACCCGGAGCCGGTGTGCGTGGCCTTGAAGAAAAGTCCTCAGTTACTGAAACTCCCTGTAATGCACGTGAAGAAGCGCTCCGCCTACCTGCGGAAGCTTGGGCTCGAGGAAGGTACGGTGTGGACGGTGCAGTGCTGGGTCTGAGCCAGGTGGCACAGCCCAGCTGAGGTGGGTGACGGGGGTTTGTGGGGGAGGGTTCTTGAGAGAAAGGTGATTTGCCTTGGAGGTGAGGCAGAGGAGCGACCTGGCGCAGGCACTGCAGGGGGAGCTGAGTGATAGGCAGGGGCTCTTGTCTGGATGGGTCACTGTGGGACTCAGCATCTAGAGCAGCGGTGTGCTGAGCGGATAGATGTTCACCCGTGATGTGTGTACGTGGGTATCTGTGACCTTGATGTTTAAATAACTGGATGTGGTCTCAGTGCTTTGCACCTAAGCCAGAGACTTACAGAGTCCCTGGTAAAGACTGGGTTCCAGCTGGGCACCTTGACTTACTGTGGGACCTGAGAGCTCCCCAGAGTCCTGGGAAACTGGTGGAGTGGCCTTTCCCTCCAGACCCACTCCACCCCCACCCCCGTTAGGTTTCATGCCTCGAGGACCCTAGAAGTTCATTGGATCTTTTTATGGAAAAGGGGACCCCCTTTTGACCCCAGAAATCCCAATATTTTGTTGTTTTTTATTCTTGAGTCTTAATGGTAAGATGTTGTTGGGGGGAAAAAAGTTTGTGGAGTTGCTGGCCGGCAGGTGAGGATCCACTATTTCAGAAGATCTCAGCAGGTCTCCTCCTCCAGATGAGCTAGAGACAGCCCCGTGTTCTCGAACCGACAACTGCTGCAGGGCCCTCTGCCAGGCTGGACTCGGCGCCTTCTGCCTGTCGCTTCAAACTGGCCAGCTCAGCACGGCCTTGAGCTGCAGAGATAAAGTCTAGACTCCTGAGATCCATTCCTGACACACAAGACAGTGACTAACTCAACTGCTAGGAAGATTTTAACTAGTAGTTTAAATCAGTGGTTTTAGGTTTCCAGGTGCTAATTTCCCCCAGCTGTCCGTCTCGGTTTAGACAGTCGTCCTAACGCATCGATTGGGCTCTTGCACCCACAGTGTCCCCGTTTGGATGAAGTACATGGTCTTCCCGCTAACTGGGAATCAGTGTTTGTGGCTGTGCACTGTTCTTCCATCATTACTGCCATGGGGCTCCTTTGCATGGGCCCAGCCTTCCATGACTGTTTCGTTACGGACGGAACCTCGGCCCAGAGCCCCAACGGGGACATTGCTGTCTCATCTTACTGTTTGACTTTCCCAGCAGGTCCTGGGAAGCTCCTTTCTAGGTGAGGGGAGGAGGAAACCTAGAGTATGAGGCAGGCGCCTTTCATCTGGGAGACCAGGAGGAGACAGGACTACCAGGGAGGGAGGGTGGGAGGGTTGGGGAGTCCGAGGAGTGAGGGCATCCGCGGGGCGGTAGGCTGTTCTGGTCCCCCACTTCCACGGCGCTGCTGGGAAGACCTGGGAGGCTGGCACGCGCTGTGGGGCAGCGAGAGGGGTCCTTGTTCATTTTGAAAATGCTGGCTTGAGTTGGGTGCAGCTAGCTCCTTTTTCTGGAATATCCTGAAATTGTGCACTTTCCCTGTTCTATATTTTGCAGGGAAACTAAAGAGGGTGCTACACTGCTGCCCCGAAGTGCTCACCATGTCCCAGCGGGACATCGACAGCATCGTCAGGGTCCTCAGGGAGAAGTGCCTTTTCACAGCACAGCAGGTGACGGAGGTTCTGCACAGATGCCCCCAGCTTCTCCGGGAGGCCCCGGGAGAGGTGGAGTACAAGTTCCAGGTGAGAGCGGCAGCGTGACGTGATGGGGACAGTGGGCTCTGGGATGGGACGGGGCGGCTCCGGGGCGACGCAGCCGGGGGCCCTCCAGCCAAAGAGCCGGGTTTTGGTGTCCGTGCGGGTGAGGCTGTGTCTGCAGCTCTCCTGCGCCAGTGATGGGGGGCCCCACTGCGTTCTCGGAGTCCAGTGGTCCTCTGCTTGAACGAGCTAATTTAAGCCCTGGCTGGTATGATTCAGTGGTTAGAACCTTGGCCCTCGCACCAAGGGTCTCAGGTTCGATTCCCAGTCAAGGGCGCGTACCTGGGTTGCAGGTTTGATCCCCGGCCTCGGGTGGGGCCTGTGTGGGAGGCGACCAGTTGATTCTCTCTCTCTCTCTTTCTCTCTCCCTCCCCACCCCCTTCCTTCCTCCTTCCCACTCTCTCAAAAAACATCAATGGAAAAAATATCCTGGGGTGAGGATTAACCAAAAAAAAGTTAATTTAAAAATAGCTCAGACTTTCCTATCTTTAGAGCCTAGTCTGCATGTGGATTTGGGGAATGATTATGATAGCTGTCCTAACTTTTTTGGTAACAATTTTTTGACGACTTAGGTCAAATCCTAGATGTTTTCTGAGTTTTTGGCCTATGCTTTTGCATTCATCTTTTTCTTCTCGTCTGAAGAAATTAGAATGTAATCTCCCCCTCCTGCCCCTTATTTTCTGCTGCATTTGTCTCAACACGAATGAAACGCCTTGAGACTCGGCCGACTGCAGCCGTGGCAGGTGCTCTTCTGAGGGCTCTCGCGGTGTTTGCCGCGACTGGCGAGCAGGTCCGAGGGCCCGCGAGCCTGACCCGCCGTGTCTCCAGTATGCCTACTTTAGGATGGGCGTGAAGCACGCGGATGTGGTGCGGACCGACTTCCTGCAGTACCCCATCGCCAAGACCAGGCAGCGGCACACCTTCCTGGAGCGCCTGGGGCGGTACCAGACCCCGGACAAGAAGGGGCAGACCCAGGTCCCCAACCCTCTCGTCAAGGACATTCTCAGAGTTTCAGAAGCTGAGTTTCTGGCCAGGACGGCCCGTTCTTCTGCTGAGGAGTTTGAAGTTTTCAAGAAGCTCCTGGCTCGGGAGGAGCAGGAGGAGCCTGAGAGCCACACGCCTGGTGACAGAAACACCAGTGAGGGGGACGAGGACGAGGGCGAGGACGAGGACGAGGACGAGGACCGGGAGGAGGAGGGGGAGCTATGATAGAAGGCCCAGAGACGCCAAAGCACATTTCGGTTCTCTCAAAGCTTTTGGGAGCTTCACTTGGGTCTTCTCAGGCTACTTTTCATTCTAAAAGGGGTCTTTTGGTGAAAACTTACTGTAGCTCATCTGAGAAGTAGGTCAGACTAAGTAGCAGGTGCGTTATTTCGATTTGTTGTCAGTCTCTGGGCAGAGCCCGGCTCCCTCGTGAATAAAAGATGGGTCCTGGCTGTTCAGATCGGGAACTCGGCGCCATGAAACTTGGTTTTATTCTCTCTGTCATAACTGTGGGTGAGCTCTGTGAGGTTGTGGGGGCGGGGCCCTTCTGGTGTCGGAGTCGCTTTCCATTTCCTCTGGCGACAGACACGCTTGTGAGGAGGTGGTGGGGTTGCATTGCATCACAGCACTCGGCTTTATGGACAAGGAGTGGGTTTTCCACAAAAATACTCATGTTTTTAAGCCAAAAATACTGCTTCGTAGATGCATTCAGTGTACAGCAGAGGGAGGGTCAGTGGTGGGCTCCCATCTGCACGGCTCCGTCCTGCCGGCACAGCGCTGGGCACTGCCCTCCGAGGAGCAGGCCTTGCCCGGCCTCGGGGAACTTGGCTTTCGTGCTTGCTCACGGCAGTGGTCACGGCCAGGCCCGCCGTCTCTGCAGCCGGGAGTGCTGACCCGGGCAGCCCACACAGAAGGGGCGGTGGAGCGGGCCCAGCCAGGCCTCCCCATCCTTCGGGGGGCCTCCGAGGCCAGAGGAGAGCATTTGAACATGGCCGGGCCTGGGGCTGGGGCCAGGAGTCCAGTGGGGTGGCTGTCAGGGAGCTCTCCCTGACACCAAGGGGGAGGAAGCCCCTCGGCAGCCCAGTGGGTCCAAGCAGTGATGTGAAGCACTGGGGTCAGAGGCCTGGGCCCGATGGTGTGAGCTCTGCCGGGGGAGGGGTGCGTCCTCGAAGGTTCTGGGCACCTTCCTTGTGCTGATGCTGCGGAGAACAGTTTGTGAAGCTCCCGGCTCTCCTGCAGACAGAGCCGTCAGGCCTGTTCTCACCGTGGCCATCCGAGCCCAGGGGACACTGGGACATCTTTGGTGGTTAGGACCCGGAGAGGGAGCAGTTGGGGCCCAGTGGGTCGAGGCCAGGGCTGCTCTCAAAGGCCCTGCTAGGCACAGAGCGTCCACACGGAACGACCAGCCCGCGTGTCAGGCACTGTGTGCCTGTGGGTCAGAGAGCCCGGGGTTGATGTTTCTGTTTCTTTACTGGAAAGGAAAGTAAGCAGCCAGTTTTAGAAGAGAATTCCTTCCCCGCCACTGGAGTGCAGTCGGCACCCTTGAGCTCTGCTTCCAGGGGATTCCTCGCTGAGTCAAAACACTTTTTACGGCTCCCAGGGGCGGCAGAGGTGGGCAGTGTGAAAACCAGTAAGTGGCTCCGGGAACTTTCACGTGTGAGCCAGACGTCTGTGGCCCTGGTTGGCCAGCGGGAGGTAGTCCAGCCAGGGAAGGTGCTGGAGGCTGGTGGCTCAGAGTGGCCCTTGCCCACTGGCTCCCTGGTGGCAGAGCAGCTCCATCTCTGACGGCCATGGGCAGCGGGAAGGGGACGTCTGTCTCTACTGCCCTCCTCGGCCACGGGCAAAATCACTGAGAAGGAAAACACCTCACCACGCGCCAGTGTCTTCACTTACTCCATCTTGTGTCCACGTGGCCAGCACAGTCCCTGCAGCCCACAGTGTGGTTCCCGTGCCCAGTCGGGGCGAAGTGCAACCTCAATCCCTAGTCTACGCGTTTGGACGTCAGGTCACCCCGCCTGGTCAGCAGGTGCTAACTGCAGCCCAAGGTCCGCCCAACAGTGTTCTGGTCGTCACCCCCGTCCCCTTGGGTGGAGGGCGAGTGTTTCCGAGGAGGAAGTTTCACGAAGGGGCCGTGGGAAAGCTCGTTTGGAGTGTTTCAAGGGTGGTCTGTAATTTCATCAGGAAGTCTTCACACTAGATACTGAATCTGCAACATTGAAATGGATTTGTCGTGAGCCCACCCAGCACCGAGCTCGGGGCTCTGGCCTTTCCCGTAGAAACTGCTTCTGAGCCGAAGCCAAGCCTGCTGGTGTTGCCTCGTGGCTGGGGGCTGGAGGTCATGACGTGGTCAAGGAAGAGTCTGCTTCTCAGTGGTGTCGCTCGGTCTTGGCACGTGCTGCGCGGACGCACAGGGACAGGTGGCAGGTCCAGCAGGAGTCAGCAGCAGTGGTCGTGGCCGTGTCCCCAGGGCTGGAGCCCGGGGCGGGCTCAGGGTGCCCTCCGGGGGCCCTGGGACTGGGCTGTTCTGAAGCACCGTGGAGACTCCTTGAAATGACAAGTCGGATAATACACAGACATATGCACACACAATTTTAATAAAAATAAAAGGTCTAAAATATACTCTAACTCTTTAGAAAGTGTTTTATAAAGATGAGAGGAAGGTGCTCTTCCCATGGCCGCAGGCCTGCTGGGGCAGCGGCGGGGCACGCACCAGGCACCAGGGCTGCCGGTCCAGCTGGGGCTCTCCGGCCGCAGGTGGAGGTGGACCGGCTTCGGGCGCGGCCTCACCTGCAGGGAGGAGAGCTGCTCAGGGCTGGAGGCGTGTGGTGGTGCCGCCCACGGGCTGGGAGAGCGTCTGGTGTGGAGCCGGTGCCTGCGGCCTGGTAGCCTGAGTTGTCGGAGTCGTGGACTGAGGACCTCAGCCGTCCTTGGGCCTCGCCCGCCCCATGTCTGTCTTCATTGCTCAGACCTGTAAGGAGCAGCCCCGGCTGCCACCAGGCTCCTTCCCGAGCGGGGTCTGTGCAGCACTCCGTGACCTCGGGGGGGGTGGTCCTGTGTGCTGTGGTGACTTGTCATCTGGGATGGCTGTCTCCCATCAGGCCGAAGCCGGAGTTCAGCCCAGGGCATGGCCCGTCTTGGTGATTCGTGTTACTGGATCCAGTCCTACCGCGGGCTCAGGTCTGCGGCTGAGTTTCACCCCAGCACAGGCTGCGTGTTTGCACAGAGAACATCTGGTCCATAGAGCCACGTGTGTGCTCCGGACTCTTCACAGCGAAGGTAGTAGACTTGGCATCTGAACTCCACGTTGGTGCCGACATTTCCTCTCCAAAAGCTGCTGGTGGTTCAGGGATCACCCTTCCCCTCAGTAATGGCCTGCGGGGGGCGGAGGGGGCGCCCTCCCTCCTCCCAGCCCACCCCTGCTCCGCAGGCCGTCTGGGGAGCTCCTCAGCTTGGCTGTCGAGTCTCAAAGACAGAGTCTTTCTCTGACTTAGACTTGGGACTGGTTTCTGGGTGTGGCCGAGGCTGTGGCTGAGGCCTTGCTCCTCTGGGGCTCCCCACACGCAGCAGCTGCTGGTCAGCGGCCCAGGCTGCCCCAGGAGACGCAGCCTGGGTCCCTGCTCTGCTAGGGGCAGCTCGGAGCTTGGGGTGCCGTCCCAGAGGACCTCCCGGCCGGGCCCGCCTGGCCGTCTGTCTTCCAGCAGCTGCAGGAGAGAAGCCACAGAGAACAGACTCCAGCCAGGACCTCGCTGCTCAGGGGTCCCTGTCAATCCAATGTTAGACCTCGTCTTCCTGGGCTTTAGAAACTTGTGAGGCTGATGGAGTGTAGCAAGAACGTCCGGAATCCTTTGGAGGAGAAAACACAACGGGGCGTGAGGAGAAGGGCACCCCTTCCTCTGAGGCAGCGGCTTTTCTCTCCTCTCAGGGCCCGGCCGCTGCCCGGGGGGTGGGGGGGGTCCGAGCACGCTCGCGGCCCTGCGCAGGGTGGGGGCAGGCTTGTTAGGACTGACCGTGTCCCCAGGGGGAGGCCTCTGGAACACCGCAGGCTGCCCCCTTCGGTGGCGCCTCGACCTTTCCTCGGCAACAGGGGCCCCTTCGCTCTGGCTGGAGATGGCCCTTCCCTGTGGCCTTGGCTGTGTGACTGTCCTGTGTCCTGTGTCCTGTGTCCTGCCTGTGGTGTTTTCTCCACTGTCTCCAGAATTTGTGTTCTGAAGGCCAGTGTTTGATAGTAAGTTTCTGATTTGTTTTTATAGAAGTGGATTTGCAGGGCAACTTTTAAACAAGTGTATTGTTCTGCCTGGCCCGTGTGGCTCAGTGGATTGAGCACCGTCCCATGGACTGAGAGGTCCCGGATTGATTCCAGGTCAGGGCACAGGCCCGGGTTGCGGGCTCGATCCCCAGTAGGGGGCGTGCAGGGGATGTGTAGGAGGCAACCGATAGATGTTTCTTCCTCACATCGATGTTTCTATCTCTCTCCCACTCTCTCTAAATAATCAATAAAAACATTAAATAAAAATAAAAAGTGTATTATTCTTTCAGGTAACTTACTGCACTGTAAGCATTTGAGCCCAGGTCACACTTGTGGGCTCTTAGTCCCAGCACTGAATTGCCTGCAGGGCTGAGTGTGGAGCATGGGGTGGGGTGATGCATCTGAGTGACGTCCTGTCTGACGGGACGGCGGCCCGAGGCCGCCCAGGGCCCTGCCCGGCCGTGTGAGCCCACGGGCGCAAGGCTCTTTGGCTCTGGTTGTTGGTGAAGGTCTGAATAACCTCCTCAGCCACATCGTGACCGAGGCCTGGCTGAGCCTCGTGCAGCCAGGGCCTCCCTCCTACCACGGCGGAGCTGGGCGGCGGGCTCACTGGTGGAGCGAGCAGTGAGCACCTAAGTGTTGGTGGAACCTGCAGTCACAGGAAGCTCAGTATCTTTCAAACGACTGAGGAGTCCCCGCTTACGTGGGGTGGGGGGACCAGATGGGCTTGAGTTCCCAAAAGGGTTTGGGGAATTCTGGGTGAAGCAGAGGTGGGAGCTGCTTCATCGTGGTTTGAGGGTTAGGACCCCCCAGTGACAGTCGTTAGGACCTCCCAGAAGTTGAGACCAAGGCTCCCACACCCCACTTTTCTCAGTAGACGGCTACTGCAGGGTCTGGAAAGCAGCCCCTGATCCCGGCCCAGCATCCTGTGTCGTCCAGCCTGTTCTGGGCCCACCGAGGGCAGAGAGACTTCCCACCCGAAGACGCAGCTCCCACAGGGGTCTCTGGGAGCCCTTGGGGTCTGCGGCCTGGCCTGGCTGCGGGACGCACCTTACGCTGTCCTCAGTGTCGGGCTGTTGCTGGGTTTCCTGGAACGGACAGAGAAGGTGGTTCATGAAAAGCAGCTGTGGGCTGGGGTCCCCTGGCTCCACCCCGCTGCCCAGCCCCCCCCCCCCTTTCCTTAAGCTCACTCAGACCCCAGGGCAGGGACACTGAGGGCAGCATGTCAGTCTGTGTCCTCAACCCCTACCCCGCCCCCATGACGGGAGATGCTGGCTGGGTGACTCCTGCAGCTTGAGGGGGGCCAAGGACACGCTGGCCCAGCAGCCGTGGTGAACGGTCACAGCTCTTCCTGGACACCAGGCGACAGACCCAGTGTGTGGTCGCGGGTGGTCTGCGAGGACTGCCCAGGCTCACTCAGCTCTGCTGGAGCACGTGACCTACTCACAGCTGACACAATGACTCCTGGGACTACCTGAGCCCTTTAGGGGAGGAGCCGGGTGGGAGCAGGAAAGTAGACAGACTTGCTGTTTGCAGTGAGGTACTGGGACTGTCTGGGAAGCTCATGCCCCCTGCCTGAGCACCAGACACTGAGTTCCAGTGCATGATCAGACCCCAGCCCTGCCCTCTGACCCCAGCCCCACCTTCTGACGGCCTAGCCGTGCCCTCTGACCTCCTTGCCCCGCCCTCTGACCTAGCCCCACCCTCTGACCTCCACAGCCCCACCCTCTGACCTCCAGCCCCACCTCCTGACTTCCCAGCCCCACCCTCTGACCTCCCCCAGCCCCGCCCTCTGACATCCCCAGCCCCGCCCTCTGACCTCTCCAGCCCTGCCCTCTGACCTCCCCAGCCCCGCCTCCTGACTTCCCAGCCCCACCCTCTGACCTCCTCCAGCCCTGCCCTCTGACCTCCCCAGCCCCACCTCCTGACTTCCCAGCCCCGCCCTCTGACCTCCCCAGCCCCGCCCTCTGACCTCCCAGCCCCACCTTCTGACCTCCCAGCCCTGCCCTCTGACTTCCCCAGCCATGCCCTCTGACCTCCCCCAGTCCCATCCTCTGGCTTCCCCCTAGCCCACCCCGTGACTTTCTCCCATCCCCATCCTCTGACCTCCCCCCAGTCCCACTCTCTGACCACCCAGCACCACCCTCTGACCGCCCAGCACCCACCATGCCCCTACTCCCATCTGTGGTGGCCATGTGCACATGTGGGCACAGTCAGTGGAACAAGACTGCACATCTGCGCACACATACATAGAGCCTGGCCCAGCCCCAGGCCTGTGGCGTCCACAGTGCTCATCCTCAGGGCCACCCTTGCCCCACTGCCCTGTGCGCCAAAGCAGGACGCAGCAGGTCTCCCCCCCACACACCTGCCAGGCCTCCCCCCCACACACACCTGCCAGGCCTCCTCCCCCCCACACACCTGCCAGGCCTCCTCCCCCCACACCTGCCAGGCCTCCTCCCCCCACACCTGCCAGGCCTTCCCCCCACACACCTGCCAGGCCTCCCCCCCACACACACACCTGCCAGGCCTCCTCCCCACACACACCTGCCAGGCCTCCTCCCCACACACAGCTGCCAGGCCTCCTCCCCACACACACCTGCCAGGCCTCCTCCCCACACACACCTGCCAGGCCTCCTCCCCCCACACCTGCCAGGCCCCCCCACACACACACACCTGCCAGGCCTCCTCCCCACACACCTGCCAGGCCTCCTCCCCACACACACCTGCCAGGCCTCCTCCCCCCACACACACACCTGCCAGGCCTCCTCCCCACATACCTGCCAGGCCTCCTCCCCACACACACCTGCCAGGCCTCCTCCCCACACACCTGCCAGGCCTCCTCCCCACACACACCTGCCAGGCCTCCTCCCCCCACACCTGCCAGGCCTCCTCCCCACACACCTGCCAGGCCTCCCCCCCACACACACACCTGCCAGGCCTCCTCCCCACACACACCTGCCAGGCCTCCTCCCCACACACCTGCCAGGCCTCCTCCCCACACACCTGCCAGGCCTCCTCCCCACACACCTGCCAGGCCTCCTCCCCACACACCTGCCAGGCCTCCTCCCCCCACACACCTGCCAGGCCTCCTCCCCACACACCTGCCAGGCCTCCTCCCCCCCCACACCTGCCAGGCCTCCTCCCCACACACCTGACAGGCCTCCTCCCCACACACCTGCCAGGCCTCCTCCCCACACACCTGCTTGGCGTGCTCTTGGCGCTGGTGCTCTCGCAGCTCTCTCTGAAGCAGATGTCCTGGTGCACCTTGTAGACTCGTTTGTACCTGTCCCAAGAAAGCGCCGTCAGCCAGGAACAGAGCTGAGGGGCGCCCGCTGCGTCCCCGGAGCCCAGGGAGCTGTGCTTGAGGCAAGGACGTTTTTTTCCTAAAGAACTTTACTTCATAGGGATGTATTGAAATGTCACGTTTAAAACGGACTTTATGAAGCATAATTTACAGAAAATGAGATATACCCATTTTGAGGGTACAGTTTGAGGGGTGTTGACAAAGTCATGTGATACTAAGCGAGAGCCTGGGCAATTGCCGAGGCTGCCTGGCTCAGGCAGGGCCACGTGGCCCTGAGGCCTGGAGGTGCAGGGCGCTGAGGGCAGCCCCCCGAGAGGCCTGGGGATGGGGGACCCCCGTGTGGGCCATGCTGAGGGCAGCCCGCCGAGAGGCCTGGGGATGGGGGGCCCGGTGTGGGCCACGCTGAGGGCAGCCCGCCGAGAGGCCTGGGGATGGGGGGCCCGGTGTGGGCCACGCTGAGGGCAGCCTGCCGAGAGGCCTGGGGATGGGGGACCCCCGTGTGGGCCACGCTGAGGGCAGCCCACCGAGAGGCCTGGGGATGGGGGACCCCGGTGTGGGCCACGCTGAGGGCAGCCCACCGAGAGGCCTGGGGATGGGGGGCCTGGTGTGGGCCGCGGGTGGAGCAGGGCTGCACCTGCCACCTGTGAACTCCCTGCCGCCGGCATCTCCGGAGCGTAGCCTCCGTGTTGTGCGGAGTGGGAACTACTCACAGTGCCTCGCACAGGTTTGGGGATGGTGACGGGTGGGAGGGGCCTGGGTTCTTTTTACAACTCAGACATCACAGCTGCGGAAGGACATCCAGGGCGTCTCTGGGCGGAGCGCCCGCTCCGTGGTCAGTGCAGGAGGGCCGCTGGGGCTGAAGGCCGGGAGACTCCAGCCAGGCCATGGGGAGAAACAGGGTGGGAATTACCTCCCAACACGACAGCCGGGGAACTGGACTCAGACAAGCTGTTCAGCCTCTCTGGCCCAGTTTCCTGCTTTGCCACTGGTGGGAACAGGTGGTCGGAGCAGGCCCCTCGGTGACTGTCACCACTGGACCTCGGGGGTCTAGAGACAGGGAGCTGGACTTGGTGGAAGTGCTTCCGGAGGCCAGGGAGGAGGGAAACTTACACGTGGTGACAGACGCCTCCTTCCCAGACCGGCAGGGACTTCGTCTCTGAGAACAGGCGTGTGCAGGGCTGGGGCAGCTTTCTACAGACTGCAGACAGGAGGCCGCGCTCAGGGGCCCCGCCTGGCCGCGCCTGCACCCTGGGAGGGTCCGTGAGCCTGCGGGCTGGTTCCCCTCGGGACTCCCTGTCCACCCACCGCGCCTCAGTCCAGTCTCCTGGGGGAGGCCTGCGGCCCTTCCCCTCCCACACATTCGGCCCCTTCGCCCACCTCACTGTGGGGCTGTCGCTCTGTGCTCCTTGCTTTCTGACTGTCCCTAGACCCCCCGGCCCAGGAGCACCTGTCAGCCTGGCACGGCGGGGCTGGCACGGCGGGGAGCCCATGACTCGCTGCCTGCCAGCCTCCCTGCCTGGGCCCCTGGAAGTCTGGGGGCCTCATGGTGTGAGGTCCCTGTGGAACATCCACCCCGCCCAGCAGTCTGCTGTAGCAGATGTCTCGAGGCCAGGCAGGGTGGCCCCGACTTACCGAGCTCACAGTGCCTGCCCTTGAACCCTGGGCTGCAGTCACAGCTGTGTGCGTCCACGCCCCGCACGCAGGTGCCTCCGTTCTGACAGGGGTTTTCTGTGCAGTTCCCAGGGGTGTCTGCAGACAGGCCATGAGCAGTTGGTCCCCAGAGGAAGCTGGCATTGCCACGCTGTGCCTCCTGCTGTGCCCAGCACCACTGTCCTGGGTGGTCCCGGCTCTGACCCCCTTCCCCTGAGGCCAGGGTGTGAACGGTGATTCTGCTGGGACCCTCAGCGCTGAGCCCTCCGGGGCTGAACCCCGCTCTGCACAGGGTTCTTCCACATGGGATGCCAAGGCCTCCCCTTGACAGCCAGCTCGCCCTCCAGGGCCCGTCTCCATGCCACCTGCATCCCCCAGTCCCCAGCCCTCTGTGCAGGACTCTGAGGGCATCTGTGCCTTGGGGGCTGCTGTCAGCCCCTCCCCCATGGCATCCTCACCACCCCCTGTCTGCCCCGCCCCCCATGGCATCCTCCCCCCCCCCCCGCTGTCTGCCCCTCCCCCATGGCATCCTCACCACCCCCTGTCTGCCCCTCCCCCATGGCATCCTCACCCCCCGCTGTCTGCCCCATCCCCCATGGCATCCTCACCACCCGCTGTCTGCCCCTCCCCCCCATGGCATCCTCACCCCCCGCTGTCTGCCCCTCCCCCATGGCATCCTCACCACCCCCTGTCTGCCCCTCCCCCATGGCATCCTCCCCCCCCCCCGCTGTCTGCCCCTCCCCCCCATGGCATCCTCACTACTGTCAGTTAGAAGCAGGTCCCTCAGTGGCTGCGGGGGGGGGGGGGGGGCTGGCCTTTCCCTCTTAGGGTCCATTTGTTTTAAGCTTTGTCATTATCTATGTTTTCATTTTTAACTTAGAAACGTAAGAAACCCAAGGAGTAAGGATGGTGCCCACACTCCCCATGCCAGAGGCTGGTCCCCCTGTGCCCGCTCCCCGAGGCCCCTCCCGCAGCAGCTCCTGCAGGAGCAGACCCTGAGACCCTGAGCAGACCCGGCTGCCCCGCTGGCCCTCGGGGTGTCTGCTGGGCCGTGCGCTGCCTCATTCTGCACCCACTCCCTCCGGCTGGCCTTGTCTCTTTGTCTTTCCTGACATGTTGACAGTGAGCTGTGGGCTTTTATTTTATTTTTTTTCATTTATTATTATTTTTTGTTAATCCTCACCTGAGGATATTTTTCTATTGAATTTTAGAGAGAGTGGAAGGGAGAGAGGAGAGAGAGAGACACGTGGATTGGCTGCCCCCGCACAACCCCGACTGGGGCCAGGGACGGAACCTGCCACCCAGGTGCACGCCCTTCACCGGGAATCGAACCCGCGACTCTCTGGTCTGAGGGTTCAGGCTCTAACTGCTGAGCCACACCAGCCAGGGCAGTTGTGGGCTTTTTAAAAACCTTGAAAGTGTTCAAACCTGCAAAATTAGAGTCTGAAGAACCCCATACACTGCCCCTGGTTTCAGCGATTATCAGCAGTTTGCAATCTTTTGCAGTTTAGTCTCCGCATCTCCCTTTCCCTCTCTTGGCGAAGGCCGTCCGAGCCTCCAGTGAGTGCCTCAGCGGCACCTGCCGGGTAAAGACAGGAGGCGGTCAGGAGAGTGGCGGTGCTCCCTCGCTACCGCGAGAAACCGCGGTCCACGTCGCTCCCCTGGCTGTGTTAACGGGCCCTTGGCAGTTGGCCTGTGTGATGAGGGTCTGGGAGGTGCGCACAGCCTCCGTGGGCTGTCTCACGCCCTGCCTGATCCGCGACTCGTCACCTGCCCTGTGCAGCCACTGCAGACACCGGTCACTGGTCCTGTGGGAGCCCCTCCTCCTGGATGAGCTCAGCTCCATGCCCAACTTTCCTGGTGCTGGTCACAGGGTCCGGTCCCTGTCTCTCCAGCACTGCCCCAGGGGTGCAGCATGTATGACGGGAGGCTGGGTCCCTGGCTTGGCGGCAGCAGCCTCGCGGATGCAGAGCTGGGGGCCCCTGACTCAGGTCTCAGATTCCTCGCCTGACCAGGGCCTACTGAGCTCGGTCCATCCTCTGCCTCTGATGGCCAGAGACCTCCTGCCAGGACCTGTTTCCCCTGACCCACCACAGGGTCACCGGAAATGCCCTCTGTGGCCAGGCAAGGCGGGTCAGTGTGCCGTTCTCCGGTCCGGAGCCCTTTCAGCATGAGTCTGTCCCCAGCGGGCACCGGAGCTCACGGCATTCGTTGTGGTGGGTTCCGTCTCTTGCTGTCAGTGGTTTTCTGATGTCCAGTGGTCCCTTCTTTGGCCAGTGGGACCCCTTTCAGCTCAAGTACGTCCCGGGCTCACTCCGTCCGTGTGATGCCTCAGTGGAGAGGTTCACCTAGAGCCTGTCTGGGCAACCGAGGGGCTCACTGTCCCTGGTGGTCAAGGCGCCGGGTCTTTTCAGGTGACAGAACTGGGAAATCAGATTTAAAAATAAAGTAAACAAAGTATGAGTTTACCCTTTATTTCCAGTTCGAATGAACAGAGTTAAATAAATATAAAAACACAGGGGTTTTACCTCTTTGATTTTATATTGTATCTTTTTATGATGAAAATCTTGGTGGCATTAACATAATTATCCCACAATGTACATGTAATCGTTTAAAATATAAGCAGTCATACGACTCACATTAAGATCCCTGGGCACAGCTTGAAGTTTCCGGGCAATTCCTTTTCTCCTTAGAAGGTGCCCGCTCGGAGGGAACAGTCAAACTTTTAAAACCACTTGGAACGATGCCCTTTCCTGGGTGGTTGTGCCATCAGCACGAGCAGGGTGTCGACTTCCTTCCCGGCGCCAACGCTCTCTCCGGGCCTCATGTGCAAACAGTTCCTTGTTCCCCACGGACCACGAGGCCACCTTCAGAGACGTTCACGTCCTTCCTCCCTCGTCTTGTTCTTTTCTTCCTCGTGGGGTTAACACTTTTCACTCATTTTATTTTTAAACACAAGAAGATAGGTAAATATATTTGCATGCCCCACACTGAAGAGATGCCGAAAACGCCCTTCTTCCCGTTGTATCTTTAAAACAGCTTTATCGAGGTGTCGTCGATACACCTTCCAGTCCACCCATGCAGTACATCGATCCAAGCACAGCACATACGCCCGCCAGCCCGTAGCGGTCGCCCCCTGGACCCCAACCCCCGGCCGAGCAGTGTGACGCTGCGTTCGCTAGGCCAATGTCCCCAAGCTTCACAGCATCGTAGCAGGTGTCACTCACTCCCTCTGCGGTCCGATACCACCCACTGTGTGGAAAGACCCATCCCGTTCACCGCTCCTCCGGTGGTGGACATGGGTGGCTTCCACCCTGTGACGATCGTGGGCTGTGCTGCCGTGGACACTGTGTATGAGGCCTGTGGGGACACGTGTGTTCCTCCCCCTCGGGTACACACCCCGCAGGGTGCAGTCGCTGGCTCATGTGGTGACCACTGATCTTCCTAGGAGCGGTGTTTGAGGGCTGCAGTTCTGCACGTGCCCACCAGGGCTCATCATCCACCTTTCGCTGGGCCCTGGGGCCGGGCCGGGTGGCTCCGGCGTCGTTCTGACCCACATTCCCCATGACTGACTTTGAACAGCTCTTCGTGGGCCTTGGCCACTGCGCATCTTCCTTGGAGAAACGTCTGTTCAGTTGGCTTGTTCATTTCTTTCTTTCTTTCTTTTTTTAAAATATTTTTTCTTTATTGATTTTAGAGAAAGGAAGAGAGAGGGAGAGAGAGAAAGAGAGAAACATCGATGAGAGAGAACATGGACTGGCCGCCTCCTGCACGCCCCACCCTGGGGATGGGGCCCACAACCTGGGCATGTGCCCTTGACTGGGAACTGAACCAGTGACCTCTTGGTGCAGGGTTGACGCTCATCCCCTGAGCCGCACCAGCCAGGTGGCTTGTTCATTTCTCAATTGAGTTATTTGTCTTCTTACTATTTAGTTGTAAGTGTTCTTTATTTATTATGGGTACAGATCGCTTTTTCAGACACGTGATTTGCCGATATTTTCTCCCGTTCTATGGGTTGTCTTCTCCCTTCTTCTGAAGCAGACACCTTAAGGTTTTGGTGACATCCATTCACCTTTTTAGAAGTTGTGTTGCTTGTGCACTTGGTATCACATCCACAGACCCTTCGCCAAATCCAAGGTCATGAAGAGTTACCGTGGTTTCTTCCGAGTTCGCAGGTTTAGCTCCTGCCTGTAGGTCTCCGATCATTCTGGGCCCCTGTGTGTGACGCGAGCCTCCTCCACGTGTGGGTGTCCAGATGTGCCAGCACCTTTGCCCAAAGGCTTTTCTCGGCTGAAGGGTCTTGGCGCCCTTGTTGGGATCAGTTGACCACAGACAGATGGGGTTACATCGGGGCCCAGTTTGGCCCCACGGACTGGACACCCTTGTGCCAGGGACACAGGCCTGAGTTCACTGCTTTGGGGGGAGGTGGGGAGTGGGGGTGAGTCCTCCGCTTCTACAGGGCTGTTCTCTTCCGGCTGTCTGACTCCCCGCGAGTCTAGGCCCTGCAGCTGTCTTCACAGGACGTGGGGCGTGGGCCACGCCGGCCGCCCTCCTGCTCCATGTGTGGGCCCGGGCGGCTGACACTTGATGTTCCTGCTGCTCGGGGCAGCCGAGCCCACAGGTCACACGGGGGTGGGTGCAGCCAGCGCACACCCACCGCAGCCTCGTTTTGCGGAGTGGTCTCCCCTAATCCCGACTTGATCACAGCGCACACACCTCAGAATAAACACACACGGGAGACGGACTGTGGGCGAGGATCAACCACAGGCTGCTGCTGCCGGATGACACCCGTCTCCTCCTCTGGTGGCAGCCGCTCAGACACAGTGTAGGTGTCAGGGACGAAGCCAGAGCCCTGCGGCAGGTGGCAGGCGCGGGAGCCCCCTTCTCCATGAGGTTCTCCGGGGCTCGAAGGACCGGACCCGACCCGGAGCGCTGAGTGGTGAGGAGACGCCGATCGCAGCGTCAGCTGTGCTTTCGAGGTGCCTGGGGCTCTCTGGGGAGAAGGAAGAATCTAACGGCGTCCAGAGAGGAGGGGAGATGATCCTGACAAGGGAACAAGAAGGTGGGGGCACTGGGGGCAGCAGTGCGGACAGACGATGACCGGGGGCCCTTCGGAACTCTCAGGGAGAGGGACCGCGGACCTTGAATCCGACTCCCGGCCGCATTTCCCTCAAACGCGGGAGGCCCACGGGGACTCAGGAGCCGGCCAGGTGCAGTCCACACAAGCCCTCCGTCCAACTCGACCAGCTGATCGTAAACCTTCGCAAAGGGCCAGGGACAGCCAGCACGCGGGAGGTCACAGGCAGAGGACTGGCCTGCGGGCAGCTTGGTGTGGGCACAGAGGGAGCGAAACCTGGCAGGAGGGTGAGCCAGAAGCTTGGCCGGGAGCAATGAAGCGACGCGCAAGGGTTCACTGCTGGCAGCGTCCCTGCGGATCAGACCCGGCAGGCGCTCACGCCCGCTCCACGGTGGGCGCGGCGAGGCGGTGGGTTAGCACTCCGAGGCCTGAGCCACCCTGTGCTGGGGGCATGCTCGTGTCCCAGCCCCAGCTCCACTCTCGGACATCAGAGCAGCTCCGCCGATGACCACTGGACCCCCTGCACGCCCCTGGGCGACAGCGGCCGAGGCCATGGTTCATCCCTGTCCCACCGATGCCCAGAAGCTCCGGCCGACTCAAGGTGCTGGGCAGACCCAGCCTGGATTGCACCTTGCTCACCATTTATTACTATTACGTGTTTAATCCTCACTTATAGAGAGACAGACATCAAGTTGTTGCCTTCTGCACATGCTAAGCCCCGATCGCCACAACCCAGGCATGTGGCCTGACGGGGAATCGAACTGCTGACCCTTCGGCACACAGGATGGCACTCACCCAACTGAGCCACTCTGGCCGGGCGGGGGTTGCACCTTGTGCTGCAGCCTCCCACCGGCACAGCCTGGCCCCTGGGAGTGGCCAGCAAGGCTGCGGACCGTGTTCCAGTCCGAGGTTTAGCCAGAGCCAACCAACCAACTCAATCAAAGGGGGCAGCGCGGACCAGTGACCAGAGTGTGACGGGACCAGAGACCGTGCTGGCTCTGTGCACCCGGCCCCGAGGGTCTTCCCCGTTGTCACCTGGAGCAAGCACACCTCCCCTCCGCTCGGCAGGTGGCGTGCGTCTGGGGGAGCCCGGGCCACCTCGAACTCTCCTCGGGACACGCCCAGGAAGGTCCTCAGGTCCCTCTAGTTTGAATTTTAGGAAACAGTTGACTTTTATTTTTTTTATCCTCACCTGAGGACATTTTTTTTCGATATTTTGTTCAGATAGAGTGAGTGGGAGAGAGAGAGAGAGAAACATCGACGTGAAAGCGACACATCGAGTGGTTGCCACCCACACGACCCAACCAGGGCTGGGGACAAACTGCAACCGAGGTACGTGCCCTTAGCGGGAACCGAACCCGGGTCTCTCCGGACCGCAGGCCGACGCTCTAACCGCTGAGCCAAACCGGCCAGGGCGGAAACAGTTGACTTTTAAAAGGACCGAGGTAACACACACCCTCTGACGAGCCACCGTTCATAGAAACAGGGGCGGAGCCTGCTCTGCTCTGTGACCACGGGGTCGGGGTCGTCTGCCTCAGCCTGAACCTGCCACCCGCCTTCTCTGAGCCACCGGCGCCCTCAGGCCTCGTCCGGACTCGGCATCACCCTCTGCAGGTGCACCCTCTGGCCCGGGTGCCCATGCCCAGGGGCATGGGGACTGGCCCGCAGTGACACCCCCCCTCAGAGGCGGCTCCTGGGTGTGTGGCTTCCCCGGTACTGAGCACTCTGCCTTCTCTGGGGTCCCGTGGATGGGCCCCATCTGAGCCTGTGGCCGACCTGGAAGAAGGCCACTGGGTCATCGGGGGCTGTCCCTTGGGGGACACGGCCCTGAGAGTCAGGACAGGAAAGGAGAGCGAGGGTCTGGTCTGGTCTGTGAGGAACCTGTCACACGGTCCTAAGGGGAGCCGCCCTGTGACGATGCCTGCAGCTGTGCTGGCCGGGGTTCTCTCCAGATGGAGGCCGTGCTGGGCAGTCTAGGGCCCATGCCGCCTGGTGCCAGCAGGGGCCCCGTGGCCCTGCCTCCTGAGCCTGGGTCTGCCTGCTGGTGCTCCAGCTGGGCCACGCTCTGCCCTGCCCTCCTGACTCCTGCCCTCTGCTCAACATGCTCCTCTGTGGGGGGCCCTGCCATTGGGGGCGGGCAGGAGGGGCGGGAACCTTCGGGCAGATCTGGGTCGTTGGTCTGTAAAAGGACGGGGTGCTGGTGCCTCCTGTCCCCACTCCTGGTGCTCAGCCCTGGAGCCCGTTCGGCTGACTTACTTCCCACGTCCTTGTCACCGTCAGGTTCGGGGCGCTGGAGGGCCAGGCTGGCCTGCTTGGGCGCATCCTCCAGCTGCACCGGAGCCGTGGGTTCTAGGAGAGACCAGGACGCACAGTGCTGACCATGCTGGACTGCCGCGCCAGGACTGTCCCCAGGCTGCCCTCGGGAGCATGACGCTGGCCCTGCCGCCGGCTCCCAACTGGGCTCAGGCCTGCGGGCTCCCAGTGCCTCCAGGAGGACCCGCTTTCCTCCAGATGGACCAGCCCTCACCTGCTGCCCACCCTCCGCAGGGGCCTGGCTTCCGCCAACACTTCTGGCAAATGAGTCACCAGTGGCCCGGGGCAGGACCGAATCTGCCTGACCTCCTGGCCTCAGCCTTTCTAGCCTCCTTCAAACTCCACTCTCCTCCCGCCAACCCTGCTTCTCAGGGGGCAGCAGCACCTCTTCCTCCCCCTCGTACCCGCCCTCAGGCAGACCACGCACGTGGCCACCCCAACTGCCGGACAGCTTCTCCTCCGTGCACGTGGTCACCCCAACTGCCGGACAGCTTCTCCTCCGTGCACGTGGCCACCCCAACTGCCAGACAGCTTCTCCTCCGTGCACGTGGCCACCCCAACCACCAGTCAGCTTCTCCACAGAGGCCTTGGGCCTCCGGCTCCCTAGATACCTGCTGCTCCCTCCCCCCTCCCGGTCACAGAGGTCCTCCTTGGAGCATGCCTGTCCCTGGCCTGGGGATACTTTCATTGGTGAAAACTCATTGAACTGGCAATAGGCTCTTTGCCAGAGATGTCTATGCAGATGGGATCCTGGCCCAGTGGTGAGAGGGTGGCCTGGGGCTCCCCGCCCAGGCCCCGAGGTTGTCTGAGCCCATCGCCACGCCCTGAGTGCTGGGCCAGGCAGAGAGGCCCTGCTAATCCACGCCACGCAGGACCTGATCCCAAAGGCTCCGCTCTTAACACGGACACGACCCACTGTGGTGAGGACATGAGCTCCTGGAACCACAGGGCACGTGCCGGTCACCGGGCTCCACGTCGGCAGACAGGCTCCCGCTGCACAGCTCTGGTGGGCCCTGCACGCCCAGAGCCAGCTGGTGCTGCTGTTCCAGAGTCCACTTTGTGAGCAGCCACCCCGCAGACGAGTCACGCCCGCCTGTCTCCTGCCCACCAGCCAGGCTGAGTCCTGCTTCTCACGCATTTACGTTCCGCCCTTGCTCACTGCCCGGCCCCACTGGACCGCACCCCACACGGCTGCCTCGGGGGCTCCTCGGGCTCTGGCTGTGTGAGCATCATGCTGGCCCGAGGCCACGGCTGGGCGAGGGCATGTTCAGGGGCCTTCTCCCTCCCATGAGGGGGCGGCGTGAGTGGCAGCGAGGCCACTGAGGTTGCCTAGATACTCACGGGATCTCACGGTAACCGATTTGCCAGGTGAGCCGCCAAACTTGGCACTCACTCGTCCTCTGCCGTCTACGAGCTCCGAGAACCTGCGGGAGTCACCAGGGTCACCACAAGGAGCTCCGAGCCTGGAGCCATGCCAGGTGACCCCGAGGGGGCTGACGGCGGAGGAGTGTACCTGGGGGCCTGGGTTGGCAGTTCAGGGGCCCCACGGTCACTGAGCAGACGCAGCTCGGGCAGGCGCGCAGGGACTGGTCTGTTTCTGAGCACCCGTGGGTGGAGCCCTTCCCGGTGCCAGCGTCTTTCAGCGCTGTCCCTTGGGGCTGTAGGCGGCAGGTGACAGGTTGGGGGGCACATAAGGCAGGTCTGGGCGTCCCTTTGCCTCCGTCCCACCCCACTGCTCAGAAAGAACTGAAGGGACCGGACTCCTTGCTTTGTGGCTCTCAGAGCCCTGCAGCCAGCTCTATGCCTGAGGAGGCACAGCGTCCCTACTGGGAAGCAAACAGTACCAGGCGGTGCTGGGGGGCTGGCCCTAGCTCCTACCTGGGGCCCAGGTTCTCCGCCTGCAGGGCAGGGCCAGGCACTGGGCCTGGCTGGACTCCCCTCGGCTGAGGCCCCCCACCCCCCAGTTGCCCCGAGAGTAACAGTCTGGTTTCTGTGAGTCCCTGTCACCCATCAGCCCCCATCCTTCCCCCGTGGACCCTTCTGCCCTGCAAGGGCCCCAAACGCCCTGACGCCAGGCAGGGGCCCCTGGAGCTGAGTTGGGTCTGACTGCGAACAGACTGCAGGTGCCGTGCTCAGGGACCCCCTTCCGCAGCACCTCAGGGAGCTGTAAGGAGTGTGAAGCGCTGTGCAGAACCGGGGGGACCCTGGGGCAGGACCCGGTCCTTAGTGTGGCCACTGGAGCCCGGAGCACCTGAGCTGCATCCCCAGCCCTCCACCCCTCCGGCTGTCCTTCCTGCCTCTCCCCCGCCCTTCCTGAGGCTGTCCTGGCCTCTCCTGGCTCTGACCAGCGGCTCCTCCCTGACGGCCTGGCTGCAGGGCCCCTCCTGGGACCCTACCACTGAGGAGCAAAGTGCTGTTTCCAAAGTGCGTGGACCTGACCCCACCGGCCGCGCACGGACCCTTCCTCCCCCGCCGTCCACACAGGCGTGTTCACTCAGCCCTGTTCCTAGGCTGGCTGTCCGGCCCTCCGGACAGTGTGGCGGTGCCAGGGGCCCGGCGGGCGGCCCGCACTCACAGGTGATGATGTAGAGGTGCGCCGGCTCGCTGTGCAGCTGGCCGCCCTCCGCGCTCTGCACGGCCGTCACGGAGAGCTGGTACCGCCGCCCAGGCACCAGGTCCCGCACCGTGTAGGACACCAGCCTCCCGTTGGGCACGTAGCGGCTCTTGGTGCTCTGGCTGGTGGTCACGTTGATGATGTAGGCCTCCAGCGAGGTGCCTGGAGCGGGGGCATCCCAGACCACGTGGGCAGAGGTGGCCGTGACTCGGGTGGCCGTCAGGTTCGCTGGTGGCAGAGGCCCTGGGAGAGGCACAGCAGGGGAGGGAGGTGAAGGGGCTGACGGGGTCTTGACCCGGGACACAGTTTAAAGATCTGACGTGGTTGCCAAAGCCGCCTGTGAAGCCAGGTTTAGTGACTGTAGAGGCTACTGCGCCCCGAAGGGTGGGGGTGGGGTCGGCAGCACCCTCCTGCTGGCCCGAGAGCCACCCACACGCCGCCAGCACCCTCCTGGGTGCACTCTGGACCCCTGAGCCTGGCACACCCTTCCCCTGGGACGTAGATGAGGCGAGTGGGTCCCAGCCCTCAGGGTCAGAGCGAGGACGTGAGCCTGTGCTGACCCCCTGCCCCACCCGCCAGGCCCCGCTCACACCTTCCCTCTCAGGAGCCACCTGTCCTCCTGTTCACAGGTTCACCGAGAGCGCTCGTGCCGGCCCCGCCCACACAGGGGGGGAGTGAGGGCTCCGTGCCGGCCCCGCCCACACGGGGGGAATGAGGGCTCCGTGCCGGCCCCGCCCACACGGGGGGGGAGTGAGGGCTCCGTGCCGGCCCCGCCCACACGGGGGGGGAGTGAGGGCTCCGTGCCGGCCCCGCCCACACGGGGGGGAATGAGGGCTCCGTGCCGGCCCCGCCCACACAGGGGGGAATGAGGGCTCCGTGCCGGCCCCGCCCACACAGGGGGGAGGAGTGAGGGCTCCGTGCCGGCCCCGCCCACACGGGGGGGGAGTGAGGGCTCCGTGCTGGCTCCGCCCACACACGGGGGGGGAGGGCCCGAGTGCTGGCTCCGCCCACACACTGGGGGGGTGAGGGCCCGAGTGCTGGCTCCGCCCACACACTGGGGGGGGGTAAGGGCCCGAGTGCCGGCTCCGCCCACACACTGGGGGGGGTAAGGGCCCGAGTGCCGGCTCCGCCCACACACTGGGGGGGGTGAGGGCCCGAGTGCCGGCTCCGCCCACACACTGGGGGGGGGTGAGGGCCCGAGTGCCGGCTCCGCCCACACACTGGGGGGGGTGAGGGCCCGAGTGCCGGCTCCGCCCACACACTGGGGGCGTGAGGGCCCGAGTGCCGGCTCCGCCCACACACTGGGGAGGAGGGGCCTGCGGGCCCCGGTGCCCCCTGAGACACCCAGGAGCTCGGCAGAGGGGCAGTGGACACCCTCGCCTGATGCTCCTCTGGCCCTGTGATCCATGGTCCCGCTCAGTAGAAGGCAGGAGCCGCTGGGTGTGAGGGTCACCCCCGCAGGGGAGCGCGAGACCAGGCGCACTGCTGTTCAGGGTGTACTCAGCCCAGGGTCGGGGTTCTGGTGTCACGGCCACTTTGGAGCGGACTGGGGGCTGGGGGGAGATGAGAGTTTCCGGGCCCTGCTCACCATGAGCCGCCGCACTGTGTACTTACGGGTCCACAGGTGCAGCGGCGCCGAGGCCGGGCTCTCGGTGGGGTGCTCCTGTGCGCCCAGCCCGCTGAGTGTGGTCACCCGGATGCTGTACCTCCTCCCGGGAAGCAGGGCCCTGCGAGGAGAGGTCAGGACGGTCTTGGGCTCCGTGTCCGATCTGCTGTCAGATCGCAGCTCCTCCAGAGCCACGCTGGTGTCCTCGCCGCCCCCATGAGCTCGGGTTTGTGGCCTGAGCCCTGGGTGCTCCTTGGTGGAAGCTACTCCCTGTCTGCAGTGAGGCGGAGGGCACAGGCCTGGAGGAGTGCTGGGCATGGCCGGGAGGCTGGGGTTCAGGCCGGCCAGGGGCCCTTGGCTGGAATCCCAGGAGGGTCCCCGGGTCCCCAGCCCCTCACAGATTTGAGGGCCTCGCTGCACCTAACATTCATGTCAGGTGTGGTTCACGTGGAGCCTGGAATGTTCTCAGGCAGAGGGGCCATGAACCCCAGGAACCCCGGGCTGTGTCCCTGCTGGGCTTCCCTACCCGTCCTTGCACAGGTCGGCACAACTGTGGTGGGAATGCACCTTGTCCTCTGGCTCCACAGGGAGGGCCCTGGAGCTCATGGTTGGGCCCCGACCTCTCCCTGTGCACCCTTCCCTTCTGTGGTTGTGACATTTCTGTGGCGGATCCAGCTGCCCTGTAGCCTCGGCTGAGCCCGGGAATGGTCTTGGGGACCTAACACAGCCACCAAGTTCCCTGGGGCCCCTGGTGCTTCTGTCATATTCTTTGGAAGTGGGCAGGATGTGAATCAAGAAAAGCAACGGCAACACTTAGAGAAAGCAGAGTCCTGCCCTGGCCAGTGACTCAGTGGTTAGAGCATCGGCCCGCAAACCAATGTCTTGGGTTTGATTCCAGACAAGGACACATACCTCAGTTGCAGTTCATCCCCGGCCCTGATTGGGGTCATGTGGGAGGCGGCCAGTCGATGTCTCTCTCTCTCTCTCTCTCTCCCACTCTATCTGAAGATAAATAGAAAAATATCCTCGGGTGAGGATAAAAAAAAAGAAAGCGGAGTCTTGTCTCTGGCACGGTGACCATCGGGTTGAAGACAAACACAGCTGAAGAACAGCCTTGATATGTCTGCAGACCAGAAATGGTGAGACTCCTGTGTCCCACACGCCCCTCCCATGACCCCGACTCCCGGCTGCGCGGGGCTGCCTGCTGCTAGGCTGTTCCCGTGGGCGTGTGTCCAACGCAGTCACTTGATGGGAGTGTTCTCTGCAGGTTCCAGAGTCCAGGGGCCCCGTGCGGCCGAGGCCACCCCTCTCCAGGACGCTGCCGGCCAGTCTCCCTCACTGACCGCCCGCCCGAGCAGGGTTGGCACATCCACAGGGCTCCATTGTGGACCTGACCCTGAGGGCCTGGCGTCGGAGACCCCACGGAGGTCGTTCAAGTGGTTATTTCATTCAGCTATTTTGAATGACTGCTGTTCATTTGAATCTCTTAGTTTTGTTTGTCGATAATCTGTGATAGTTGGGCATAAAGCCTCGTTTAAGGTTTGAGCATGTCACCTGCCATTTTTCCCTCTGGAGGACCCTGTGTGACCGGGCTGGTCCCACTCCCTGTGCAGGACACACAGCCCCTGGGCTTTTAGGGCATCCCTGCTCTTTTGGAACCCGTAGCCCTTGTCTGGCAGCCCTGTGAGGGGCAGACATGAGCCCGAGGCTCAGTGGCTGGTGCCGGGGGGACCGGAGGCACACAGGTGGGGGGACCGGAGGCACACAGGTGGGCGGACGGGAGGGAGGAGGGGAGGCGCGAGGTGCGCAGGCGGGAGGGAGGATGCTGGGCCACTGCAGGGGAGCTGGAAGGAGCAGGGAGGCCGGCTGCACTCACCCGAATGTGAACGTGTCCACACTCTTGTCCACATCAGAGAACTGGTCCTCTTGGGCCTCAGGGTGGCGGATGGACACACGGACACCGCTGACGGTGGCGTGACGTATCCTGTGCAGAGCCCACCTCACGGAGATGGCGCTGGCCGTCACGTTGGTGACCTCAAGGCCCTCGACAGGGTGGGGTCCTGGGAGAGGAGACGGGGTTGCTCAGCTTTGCCCTCCTCACCCCTGGGAGGGCAGGGGCTGGAGACACCAGATGAGGCTCAGGAAGGTGCTGGGGGCACAGGGAGAGGTGCAGTGTAAGGCAGCACCTCTGGGCTTGGGGAGTGCCTCAGCACAGTGGGGACACGTCAGGTGGACACGCCCCAGGCTCCTGTCTTGGCAGGACTGCTCCGGGCCAGCCACCCCATCAAAGGCCCGTGGCGGGGGTGGGGGGTCCCTTCCTGCTGATCCTGGCACCCCCTTGTCTTTTCTCTGGCTGACTGTTTCGGTCAAACTGATGTGATCCTCTGGGTAGCGCTGGGACCTGCTGGCCACAGGAGCCAGGAGAGCCCTCTGCAACCCAGAGAAGGGGCTGGTGCGGGCCACACCCCAGGGGAGCCGAGAGGGTGTCGGCGCCCAGTGCGGTGGGGAGCAGTCCTGCCGCCACCCTGGTGCCCTGGGGGAGACCCTGTTCTGACGGGAAGGGGAGGTCATCCTCCTCCCAGACGCCTTGTCTGGGCACACCCTTCTCCAGGGCTCCAGCAGTGCTTCTTCCTAAAGCCATGCTCAAGATGCCCCTCTCCTCCTCGGACCCCAAGCCTCCGCGCTGCCCCAGGCTCGGGCCCTGCTGGCCTCCAGTGCACCCTGGCTGCCCCTGCTGGTCTTCTTCACAACACGCCCACCCTGACTCCCCTGTCCGTCCCTCACTTGGCCCCCAGTGTCCTCCGGTCAGTGCCCAGCCAGGGCTGGCATGGGCCTCCAGGGTGCCTGCCTTTCCTTCCCTGGGACCTCGCCTCCCAGCACCGGTGTGTGGGTGCTCCCCGCTGCCCCAGCCGCCCCACCCAGTCCACTTCCTCCCTTGCTCTCCCAGCACTCCCTTCCCCAGGCTGCACCCCCAGCTCTCTCCACCACCTCCAAGGGTCCCCACCCACTCACTTGCACTACCCTTCCCCCACGACAGCCCCCCTGCCGGCCACACTGCTTGCTGTCCCTCCCAGTTGCTATCCCCTCTGCAGCAACATCGGGGTGGCCTCCTGATGCCCGGCCTGTTCTCCAGCTCCCCAGACCTGGGCTGCCTTGCCCGGGCACCCCGCCCTTCCCCCAGCCTCGCTCCCTAACCCTGCCCCAGGTCTCTGTCCGGCCCTCTGCCTGGTTGTCTGGGCGGCCGTGGGGGGCGGGGACGCGGACTCACGCGTGCGGGCCAGCAGCGCCGCGGGCCTGGGCCCCTCTGCCTGGTTGTCTGGGCGGCCGTGGGGGGCGGGGGACGCGGACTCACGCGTGCGGGCCAGCAGCGCCGCGGGCCTGGGCCCCTCTGCCTGGTTGTCTGGGCGGCCGTGGGGGGCGGGGACGCGGACTCACGCGTGCGGGCCAGCAGCGCCGCGGGCCTGCTGATGTCGTTCCTGTTGGCGTTGCGCTTGACCGAGAAGACGGAGATGTTGTAGGCGCGGCCGGCCGCCAGCGCCCGGAGCTGGTGTGAGGAGCGGCCCTGGCCCACGAAGTCGGTGCGGCGGAAGGAGCCGTCCGAGGAGGCGTAGGTGACCGCGTACCCGTCCAGCATCTGCCTGGCGGCCGGGTCTTCGGGCGGGTGCCAGGAGATGGTGACCCCGCTCTCCTCCACTCGGTCCACCTTGAGGGCCGTTGGTGGGAAGAGCTCTTCAGGGTTTCGGTCAAGAACAAGGGAAGGGGGCGGTCAGCGTTGGCCATGGAAGCCCCGATCCCAGCAGGTGCCAGCCTGGGGCTACCCGGGGCAGATGCGGGCACTGCTGGCCGGGAGGTGCCCCTGGCATCTGGGGGGCACCTTCATTTGGGGCCTGGCCTTGCTCCCGAATGGGCTTGTGCACACACATGACGTGTGCGTAGGCCTCCTGGGCTCTGTGCCCTCCCTGCTTCCCAGCCAGCTCCTGTGCCCAGGGAGGGGCCTCAGCCCTTTGGCCTGTTTTTTGGGTGTCTGTGCCCTCTGAGGTGAGGGGGCCCCGCCACCTCACCACGGCACCCTGGTGCCTCACCTTTGGCGCAGTCCTTGCCCGTGTAGCCCACTTTGCAGGTACAGGTGTGGGACGCGTTGCTGGCCAGGCAGTAACCACGGCCCCCACAGGGGCTGGAGAAGCAGGGATCACTCACTGGGGGAGGGGAAAGCAGCACTGAGCTCTGGGTGTCGCCAGGCCCCCGACTTCAGCCTGGGCCCTGCCCCTGGGGGACTTGGTTGCTCCTGTGTAGGTATGTTTGTGGGTGCAGGTGGGTGGGACGATCAGCAGCTTCTGGGAGGTGGGAGTGGGAGAGGGGAGTCTCCAGGAGGGGCAGGGCCACCAGGGCCGCAGGTGTGGCCTTCTCACTGGGCCAGGCCGTCCTGCCCCCTCCGCCTGTTTGCCTACAGCTCCCCCCCCCCCCCCCCCGTTGCAGGCTTCTGAGTCTCCTGTCACAAGCCCACCCTGCACCGATGAGTGCTGCCCACCAGGCTCACGGGGGCCAGGGACACACCCACAAGGCAGGCCAGCTCTTCCCCAGACACCCCTGTCCTAGGAGGGTGGTGTGACCAGCAAGTAGAGGAGGTACAGACGGCAACCCCAGGGGGCAGGCTGGGCTCATCTGGGAGGGACATTCCTGTGGAGACTGTTCCAGGCGTCAGGAATGGTGGGTGCCCGGACCCTGGGGCTGAGTGAGCTTGGTCATCAGGGCTGGCAGGGGAGCTGGAGAGCTGGGGAGGAGCCAGAGGGGGAGCGTGGGGCCGTGCCCCTACCTGTCTCGCAGTGGTAGCCGAAGAAGCCCTCTGGGCAGACGCACAGGTAGGCCCCGCCACCGTTCTCACACTGGCCTCCGTGCTGGCAGGGGCTGGAGTCGCAGGCGTCCACCTCTGGAGAACACCCAGAGAGTGGGCCCGAGCGGCAAGGGGCTGTCTGGGGGAGGGAGGAGAGGACAGCGGGAAGAAGGGAAGGGGCGGCAAGGAGAGAGGCCGGGCAGGGGTGGTGTGGACGAGCTGTGGGGTAGGAGTCCTCTCTTATCCTTAGTGGGTGCCCAGCTCTGCCCTCACCCCTGCGGTCCTGCCCCCCAGGGAATCTGTCCAGCAGTCCACGGGGGCTGCCCCCTCCCTCTGCTCTCTGAGCAGCCCAGGGTGCTTGGGGCACCCCAGGCGTGGGTGAGGGCCTGGTGCACAGGGGCCCACCCGAGCACAGCCCCGCCTGTCTCAGTGGACTCCATCCAAGCCTGCGGGGTACTGGGATGCAAAGGCCCCCGGGAGGTCCCTGTGGGAGCCTCCGTTTCGGCAGGGCTGCACCTGGCACTCACCTGTCTCTGCAGAGACAGGACACGGCTGCATGGGCCTCCACGACCCCTAGTTCAGTGACCATCTGCCTGCCCACAAAGCCCCACCCCACGCTGCTCCTGCAGTTCACTGCCAAGGCTGGACGTCCTGGCCTGGCCCTCCCGGGGCGGTGCCGCTGTCCCAGGGCTGAGAGCCCCACACAGGCGTGAGGGGTGCAGGGCTCACCCAGCAGTGCACCTGGTGGGCCCCCACTCCCTCCGCCCGCTTGGGGCACTGGCTGGGCGTCAGGGCTGTGACCTGCCCTCTCCAAACCCCATCTTGTCTGCCCCTGAGGCCAGAGTCTGCAGGAGCAGAAGACAGCTGGTGGGTGTTTCTCAGCTGAGCCCCTGAGCTCCCTGGGCGGGTGAGGCAGAGCTGGCAGGGGCCTGGGTATGCAGGTAGTGCCCAGCCAGCCCGACACCCCGAGGTGAGGGCCAGGCTGTCTTACCCAGCTCACAGTGGGCTCCTTCGCGCCCCGGGCTGCAGACACACAGGTACCCGGCGACTCGGTCCTGGCAGGAGCCCCCGTGGAGGCACGGCTGGGATCGGCACTCGTCAATTTCTGGGAGAAGCGTGCCCAGGTGCACGGGTGCCAGGAGAGACCCCAGAATAAAGCAATGTGGCCGGCGTTAGAGGCAATGGCTTGACGCCAAACCCAGAAGGACATAAATGGGTTTTGTTCTGAGGAGCTGGGCGGACCCTGCTGCTAGACAGAGACGGCAGAATCCAGGGAGGGCGCCCTTGGAGGGGAAGGCATACAGTGGACCAGGGACGCGGGGCTGGGCCGTGTCTGTGAGGAGCGAGTGGCCTGGAGGGCTCTCAGGTCACTGGGACTCAATTCCACAGCTCTGGGTAGACAGGCCCAACCTTGCCAACTCAGTAAATAACCACCATGTACGAAACCAACGCGACGGGGTTGAGTAACTTGGCTCTAACACATTCACCCTGGGGGTTTCTTAAACTGGGAGCTGTACTCCTGACTTCAGAATGTCCAATTTAGAAAAGTTTAATTTGAAGGCTCAACGTGGAAGTAAATGAATGGTAGTGACATATGACTCCTGGGCACTGGAGTGCTGACAGGCTCAGCAGGTCACCTGCCCTTGTCTACCTGTGGGGCACGATTTTTGTGGCTGTCATCTGTGGCCCTTTACATTTACATCTTTATGAACCACCTAAACAATGCTGTATATGGCTTTGCCTTTGCTATTTATGGACTTGAACGATAGGATGCTGTGGTGTACATACTTTCCTCTTTCCACACTATGCTGATAAGACGTCTTCATGCTGCTATGGGTCTCCTTTTCACTGCTGCATAATATTCCACAGTGTGAGTATACTGTACTCAATCCATCCTTGGGGGATGCACATTTGGGTTGGTTCTGGGCTTTCTGCTTAAACAAGTGTTTCTGTCTGTCTTCCCCACCTCCTGGGGTAGGTGTGCACTGAGAAGTGGAGTTGCTGGGACACAGTGTTGTGACCATCAGCTCGATATGGAAATCACCACAGTTTTCAAGGTGCTTAAACAATTCACACCTTCTCCAGGCAGTTCTCACAAGTCCTGCGGATCCATCCTGTGGATCCATGTCCTCACCAACACAGGCCCTTTGGCTCTGGAAGTCTGGCCAGCTGCACGCATCTCAATTTAAGTTCCTAATTTTTATACAATTTGTCCATTTCCCCCCTTTTATAGTTAGTGCTTTTATTTTCTGGTTTATGGCATCTTTTCTTACCCCAAGGTCAAAAAAATATTTACCTTTATCTTCCACACAAAAATAGTTAAAAAAAACCACCAAACATTTAAATCCTTAATCCATCTGGAATTAATGGTTGTGTATGGGAGAAGTGGGGAACCTATGTAATGTTTCCCCAAGTGCATGGACACTTTATTCCAGCTGCTTTGAAAATATTCTCATGCTTTTAAAATACGGTTATAGTTTTAGCCTTTATATTTATAATGAATTTCACGCGTAAGAAGTGATCATGCTTTGATATCACCATACATAATTTTGTTTCATTTCATTTCCCAAATGTTCACCTGCTAGGCTATATCAACCAAGTTGGTTCTGCATCCTGTGACCTTTTAGTCCTATAGCTAATAACACGGAATTCACTTCTTCATCCTATAGCTTCTTTTGTAGAATCTCCTTAGCATGGTCCATGTTCATGATCGAGCTGTCTTCACTCCTTCCTTTCCAGCTGACATGCCCTTTATTTCCTTTGTCTGGGGCCCCATCTGGGACCCCCAGGACCACGCTGGGAGGAGTTGGTGAGATGGACACCTTTGCCTAGTTACTGATTATAACAGGAGGCCTTTCACCATTAAGTATTTTGTTGGTTGTTGGTTTTTCACTGGTGCCCTTTATCAGTAGAAATTCTCTTCTCTTAGTTTATTAAGTTTTTTAATAATAGTTGAATTTTGTCAAATGATTTTTCCACATCTATTGAGGAAGTCATACAGTTTTCTCCTTTATCTCCAAATACAGTGGATTACATTGATTTTCAGAGGTTAAACCAGCCTGTGGTCTTGAGATAAATCCCACTTAGTCATAATGTGTTATGATTGTTGTATGTATGTCATGGGGAATGTTATCTGTAATTTCATTTTCTGTAATGTCTCTGGTTTTGGTATCACAGAAATACTGGTCTCGTAAAATGAGTAGAGAAATGTTCCTGACTCCTGTGTTTTCTAAAAGAGTTCATATAGGGTATTATTCCTTTCTTAGATGCTTGATAGACCTTACCAGCGTTCTGAAAATCTGGTCCTGCCATTTTCTTTGTAGGAAGGTTTTTTATTACAAATCAAATTTAATAGAAATAGGAATATTCATATTTTGTATTTATTCTGCCAGATCTTGTAATTTCAAGATATTCATCCATTTCCTCTAGGTGGTCAGATATATTGGCTTAAACTCACAATATCCCTGTTGTCCTTTAAACATTGGTAGGATCTTTAGTGATGTCTCTTCTTTCATTCTGATATTGCCAGTTTTTCATTTACTCTTGATCAGTCTAGCTAGAGGTTTATCTATCTCATTGACTTTTCTAAGGAACCAGATTTTGGTTTCATTGATTTTTCTTTCTTTCTCTCTCTCTCTTTTTTTTTATAATTAAATTCTCTAAATGTTTTTGATGTATAAAATATAATTAATTTTGTTATAATAACCCATATCCACTAAACATGTTATATTTCCTATCATTTTTAGTAGTTTCCAGAAGATTAAAAACAACCAGATCAACTGTAAATACTGACATTTTTACTTTATTTTTTAGCATTTTCATGACATTGATTTATTCTTCTTACTTTATTGCATTGGCTAGTACTTCTACTGGTTAGACTTAGTGATAATGGGTGTCCCTGTCTTGTTCCAGTTTAAGGGATGTGTTTCTCTATTTAGGACAATGTTTATTCTGGGTTTGAGAGATGGTGTGAGTGAAACCACCTCAGACACAATTTTCTTCCCCTGTTGGTAGCTCAGCCTGTCTAGTCAGTTCAGCAGAAGAACCGCTTTTGAATTCCAGATTAACCTCCTATGGAGCAAGGATCTGGAAACTCTGTTGCACAGCTCTCTGGATACAACATGTACTCTTCCCTCTGTGACTGCATGGAGTTCACTATCCTGCTCCACAGGGTGTGGCCAGTCTAGCTAGCTCTGCCTGGCCTAAGCACACCTCTCCCTTTTATGTTTTCCTTGTGATAAATCACATATATTTTTAACACCACATGGTACTAGAGGGGTGTGTGTGTCCATCCTGTTATTTTTATCTGGAAAAGGAAGTACATTTTTTATTCCTCATTTGGTTAGAATTGATTTCATGAATGGGTATGAATTTTGTCAAATGATTATTATGCATTCATTGAGATTCTTATGATTTTTTCTCCTTCAATTGCTTAATGTAGCCTGTTTTTCTAATGTCAGACTATTCTTTTAGCAACCCAACTTCATAACGGTGCACATAGTCTTGATTGACTGTTGAATTTCTGCATCTCTGTTCATATGTTTAATGGACCCATGATTTTGCTTTCTCCAACTGTCCGTGTCTGGTGTCAGTACATGTTCTTTATTTCCTGCTCTAGGGGAGAGCCGGTCTAGTGCTGCAGTGACCCCTTTCTTAGCTTGGTGGTAGAATTCTCCTGTCACACTGTTTGGGCCTCATGTTTTTGTGTGTGTGTGTGTGTGGGGGGGGGGAATGCTTCAGTTTCTTTGAACAGTTATAGGCTTATGTAGATTTTCCATATTTCCTTGAGTCATTTTTGGTAAGTTATATATTTTCTATGAATATAATGTCCATTTCTTCGAAGGTTTCAGATTTATTTGTGTAGACCAGGTGATGGTATTGCCTTGTTTTCGTATACCTGCCGTGTCTATGGTGGTCACCTTTTTCATTTGTGAAGATTTTTACTAGTGCTCTTTGTTTTCCCCAATCAGTCTTGACAGGGATTTGCCCCTTTACGAAACTTTTCAAAGAACGAATGTTGGCGTTGTTTATCTCTTCTTCTGTGTTTTTTATTTGTTTCATTAATTAGGGCTCCTACTTGAGTGCCTTGTTCCTCCCACTCCTTTAGTATCATCTGTTGTTTTCTTAACTTCTGGAGACAGACATTTAGTTCTTTAATTTTGACCTTTTCCAATGTGTGTACTGAAGGCTGTAAATTCCCCACAAAGCATGGCTTTTGCTGTATCACATGTTTTGACACAGAAAGTGATTATTACTCTTCATTGAAAAAATATATCCACTGTCCATATGATTTCTTCTTGGACTCATGAGCTCTTTCAAAGTATCTTTAAAAGTGTCTAAACATAGAAAGTTAAAATTTTATCTTCCTGTTCTTAATAACTTTTTGTGTGTGTGTGTTCAAAGAATGGATCAGTTTACATTTGTTGATTACATTGTTCAAATCTATCTTTTTGCTGATTTTTTTCCCTCCTTAACCTGAATTGAGAGGTGGCTCAAACTCTCCCAGTAGTATGGTGAATCTGTCCATTTCTTCCTGTAGTCTATTCATTTTGCTTGGTGTATACTGAGACATTGTATCTGATGCTTGAATGCTTATAGTGATTATTTCTTCTTGGGGAGTTGAAACAGTTATCACTGAGAGACCCTGCCTGTCTGTGATGATGCTTTCTGTTGTATAGTCTATTTTGTCTGAGGGCAACAAGCTAAAAAGCTAAATCAGCTGTATTTTTATTTCTATTCACCTCAGTCCCCCCATACTTTGTCTTTCTGCATCCTTATGCTTAGGGGCGTCTCTTCTGAATGTGTACTTGTTTTGTGATGAATCTGGCAGCCTGCCATTTACCTGGAGCGTGGAGTCCATTCAGATTTGTCTTTAATCCTAATTTTTTTCCTTTTCCTCCTCTTAGCCAGGGACAAACCTTACTATGGTGTCTCATAATTCTTCCTTCTCTTGTTGCTGATAGAGTACTCTGGGTGTATCTTCTTATCTGAGTGGTCCCTCCGGAAAAATTTATCTCTTTGGAGGCTATGTCTCTGTGGCTGTTTGCGTGAGAATGTTTTTATTATGTCTCATATTTTAAAAACAATTTGACAGGATAAACATTTAAAAGTTTTCATTACTTATCCTCGTGATTTGCTGAGCCTCCTGTGTTTGTGGGTCGATGTATTTCTGCATTTTAAGAGAATTACTGTCTCTTCAGACATTGCTTTCACTCGTTTTGTCCTCTTCCTGGGATCCCAAGGTCTTGGTTTATGGGCCACCTGGCATGAGAGGGACGGAATTTTATATCCTCGCTGAGCGGATCTCCGGGGCATTTAACACACCCGTTTCATTATCTGACGATGCCGCTATTGAGAAGTCTGTGGCCAGTCTGGTCCCTGTTTCTTGGTAGATTCTTGTTCCCTTTTCCTCTCTGGGCGTTTCAGAGTTTTGCCTGTTTGTCTCCTGTTCTTCAGTTGTGTTACAATGTATCTCTCCTGTGGCTCTGCGGCCCTTCAGCCCCGGGTGGGTCATGTGTAATTCTGCGGTCTGGTCCGCCGTGGCTCAGACATTTCCTCCTGCTGTTGTCTCTCGCTCGTGGGCTCGTGTGGGCTCAGCGTCGGCCACCCATGTCTGCCCCCACAGGGCCTGTAGCGTGTCCTTTTGACCTACATCAGAATTCCTGGGACAGTTCCCCAAACTGATCTTTCACCTCATTAACCTCGTCTTCATCTGCATCTGTTTATATATCTTAATTGTGTTTGTTATTTCAACGACTGTAGCTTCTCAACCCTCTCATTTCTGTGTTCTCTTTAACTTGAGGCATTGGTCCTGCTTTTCACGGCCAGCTTTTCACTGTGTGATGTTTCACAGCCCCCCCCCCCCCCAGGGGTGGTGGTACTTCTCTGGGTCAGGGTCTCGGCTGAGGGCTCCGGTCCCCTGGGCACGGCTCCTCCTGGGTGGTACTTGGGAAACAGCCGTGTGGGAGGGGCGTCTCCCTGGCAGCACCCCCAGCGGGCAGCTGGGAAGGACAGGCGTAAAGGAAAGGTGCGTGAGGCCTGCGGTGCCCGTCTGTCTTCCGGAGCTCTTCACCTGAGCACTTGGGAGAAGGAATGGCCATGTGCCCATCTCTGGATGCATCCCTGTCCTTACACTAATTCGTCTTTGTTTCGTGAGGAAGGTATAAGCATCACACAGCTTCCTGATGAGCGGTTTGGATGCTCTGGCTCAGTGAACACGTGTCAGCAGACCCCTGTGCCCAGGGGCACCGTCATAGGGCGCCCGGCCTGCAGGCATGAGCCAGGACCATGGCCTCTAGAGCAGCACTTTTAACACCATGGGGCCTGAGGGCCCTGATTCCACAGGTCTGGGAGGGGCGGACGGGAGGTGTGGCCCCTCCCTCTTTAGGACTCTACCCTCGGCTCCCTCCCTCCGGCCTCATTTGCCTCTTCTGCAGAGTCTGGGCTGCTCTGGGGACGGGGAGCCCTTAGTGAATGGTCAGGAGTGGAACTGGCCCTGGCCACCCCCACCCTCACCACTGGGTTATGGCCTTCCTTCTCCAGGGGAACACAGGGAGGGGGGTCAGAACTGCACCCCTGGGCTCCCCCGCTGAGGGTGTGGGCCTCACCAGCTCTGCCCACCCGCCTGCCCGCCCCAGAGGGCCCGAAGATCACCATGGCACTGGGGGGGCTCGCTCCAGACGCCCTGCAGCTGGCAGACCCGGATGGAGTTGGGAGCGCTCAGGCTGTAGCCTTGGTCACACGAGTACAGCGCCACGGAGCCCAGCTGCGTGCCATTGAAGCGCAGGGTGGCATGCCTCACTTCCTCAGGGGGGCCGCAGTCCACCTCTACAAGGACACAGCAGCCCTTCTGCACCGCAGGGCCCCTGCCCAGCCCCACGGCTCTGCCCACCAGGCCACAGAGCCGGGGACCCCATGCACCACACAGCCTGTCCCATGGTGAAGGTGCCTTGACCTCCAGGACAGGCTGCCCAGAGGTTTCCTTTCTTTTCCTCCTCCATCCCCTCCACCCTCTGCCCACTGCCCTCTGCTCTTCCAGGATTGGGAAGAGCTCCTGTGCCCTTCCACCAGCCCCTGGCCCCTCACCAGCCTGGCACCGGCGTCCTGTGTACCCTGCTCGGCAGCGGCAGGAGAAATCTGTGCCCAGGTCCTCGCAGGTACCCCCGTTCACACAGGGGTTCCGGAAGCAGGGGGAGGGAGCTGCAAGGTCACAGGGGTCAGTATCAGCCATCACTGCCCTCCCCATGGGCTTCTGGGCTGTGCGGGGATGCCCCCCTGTGCCCTCTGTCTCCTGCCCCCCATCCCCACCTGGGCCAACCGTGCCAGGACTGCTTTCTGTCTCCACTGGCCTGCGTCCACTTACCTATCTCACAGTGCCGCCCAGAGAAGCCTGGGGGACAGTCACACTTGTATTTGCCGATGTAGTGGAAGCAGGTGCCACCGTTGTGACAGGGGCCCGAGGCGCACGAGTCCGGCTTCCCTGGGAGCAGAGGGCACCACTGGGGTCAGGTGCCGCGTGCCCTCCACCTCGGCCCCTCCCCTGGTCTCCAGACATCCCAGAGCTGGGGCGTCACAGGGACACTCCTGACAAGCGGACACAGTGGTGGTCCGGGTCCTGGCCCCACCCCCCTCCGGCCGACTCCGCTGGCAGGGGCCGCACCGATCTCGCAGTGCCTCCCGGTGAAGCGGTAGGGGCAGCTGCACTGGTATGCGTCGTCCACCTCCTTGCACGTGCCCCCGTTCCTGCAGGGCCCCGAGCTGCACAGGCGCGGTCGGGCTGCGGAAGGACAGAGGCGGGGAGGCGGGTGAGTGAGGGCCCGCAGCTCCCCACTCCTGTCTTCTCGTCCTGGGGCCCTGCAGGCCTGCTTCTCCCCCACAGGCCTGCCAGCAGCAGCAGGGGCCAAGCCTCCGCCTCTGGCTTCTGCCCACCCGCCTCTCCTCCGCCCCAGGCCCTCGGAGCTGCAGGGAAGGGGCCATGGGGGTGGGGCGCGGGCGAGGCCTCCGGAGAACAGTTGCACTCTCGAGTAGCTAAATGTTGTGGACATTCTCCGAGTTGGATTAGGTGTAACCAAGTCCTAATGACTTTTTTTCAAATCGGTGATGCTAAGATCTATTTGAAAAAATGCTCAGCAGCAAGCGAAGTCTATTCTGAGGAAAGCAGCGGACGGAACCGGAACCGTGGGGAGGGGAGCAGCCCGCAGGCCTGGTGCCCAGAGGGTTAGGTCCCCTCAGGCACCCAGCGCGGGGGAGGGGGGGGGGCGCGGCCGCGGCGCTGTCCGGGGTGCTGATGCCCCACCTTTCTCGCAGTGCGCGCCGTGGAACCCGCGCGGGCACACGCACGTGTAGGAGTCATCCTGGGCCTCACAGGAGCCGCCGTTGAGGCAGGGGTCCGAGTCACAGGGCGACGGCAGCGCTGTGGGGTCAGAGGGCAGCCCTGGAGCGCGTGTTGCATCCCAGGCAAGAGGCTGGCAGGGGGCCCCCTGACACCCTGGCTGGAACCTTGGCCACTCCTGGGTCCCGAGTCCTCACTCCCTGGACTTTCTTTTGTCCCCGGTTTCCCCAGAATCCAGCTTCCCTCTTCTGTGCGCTGGGCCTGAGCTGTGACTCCCAGCCGGGTCACGCACAGCCACCGTGCAAGACCTTAGCTCTGGCCCCGTGCCGAGCCGAGGTGAAGAAGTTTAGCCCCGTGCTGTGTTAGGGCGTGTTCCCTATTTTAGTGGCTAAGCTAGCAGCTTGGGAAGACACCGCGTGGCACCTGTAGGCGGCCAGGTGCCCTTCTGACTGCCGGCCTGCCGCAGGGAAGACAGGTGGAGTCCTGGCCCGAGTTACAGAGGGCTGGGGAGGGGGCACCACTGCAGGTCTTCTGGTGCCCAGCAAGCCACACTTTCCTCCCAGCAGCCCCCTCAGCGCGCCATCCCAGCCCTCAGGCATGTCCCTGCCCCCTGCCCCTCTCACAGTGGCTGATGTTGTGGTCAGTGTGGCAGACACACAGGTAGCTCCCGCCATACTCCATGCAGTAGCCACCGTCGGGACACTGGGTGTTCATGTTGCAGGGCGTGGCTGTGACTTCTGTGGGGGAGGGAAGAAGCCCGGCCTCAGGTCTTCCTGGGGACCTGGTGTCCTTGACAAGGGTAGGGCTATGCATGACCCAGTGACCCCGCCAAGGAGACCAGGTCAGGCACCTCTGTTGCCAACCCTGTCCTGGGGTGAGGGTGGGGTCACAGAAACACTGGTCGAGGGTCTGGACCTGTGGATCCTGGTCCAGGCCTAAGCCACCTTCAAACCCTGGTTTGGAGGATGGTCAAAGGCTGGCAGGGTATCCCTGCCCCAGCTCTGGGCACCTACCAAATTCGCAGAGGAGCCCAAAGAAGCCCGGGGGGCACTGGCAGAAGGTGGTGTTGCCCCGGAGACATCTGCCACCGTTTCGGCACTCACAGTCATCAGGGGTTCCTGCCACGGAGAGAGGGAGGAGCCTCCAGTGTGGGGGTGCTGCAGGGCAGGGCCTCTCCTGACCCGTCTGTCGTCATGTTTGCATGCACACTCTACGGGCGACCCCAGCTCCACCCGCACCGGCAGCCCGCCACACGCACTGTCCCGGCAGTCGAGGCCCATGAAGCCTTCGGGGCACTCGCACACATAGCCCTGGTCTGCGTCCACACAGGTGCCGCCGTTCTGGCAAGGGGCCGAGAGGCAGGCGTCGGGCACCGGCGGGCTCCCTGCGAGAGAGACAGCGGTCAGCGGAGCAGCAGCACCGGGGTTCACCCCTGTGCTCAGTGCCCTGCTCCCCGGAAGCTGATTTCCAGCTGCCCCTCCCCCTCGAGCCCCTCCTTGGGGCAGAATGAGAAGCAAGGGTGAGAAGGGCCCAGCAAGGCCCGAGGCCTTCGGACGGTTCTGCTCGAGCATCTGAGCTAGCGAAATACTGAGGTTTCCCAGGTACCTTTCTGTTGTTATTTCTAGTCTGATTTTGCCGTGGTCAGAGAATACAATCCTTTCCGATTTATTGAGCGGAATTTTATGGCGGCAGGATGGTCATCGTGGTGAGTGCTCCCTGAGCACAGAGAAGAATGTGCATGTAGATAGATGCCCATGCGGCCAGGCGGGCCGGGGGGCTGGCAGGCCCCCCTCGCTGACGGTTCAGGTGCCCCCGAGCTGCCGCAGAGGAGGCCTAAGCTCTGCATGACAACGGTCTGTTTCTCCTTGCGGTCCTGCTAGCTCCGCTTCGTGTATCTTCATTCACGTTAGCAGTGCATTTAGAGTTGACCCTCTAGGTGAGGGTCTCCCTTTGCCATTAGGAAAGGTCTGTCTTCGTCCCTGGCAGTATTCCTCGTTCTACCAAGAAGCCAGGCCAGCTTCCCTGGGTGAGTGATGGCCAAACCACTCCTCTTCGTTTCTCGATGTTCAGTTTCTTCACGTAATTTCAGAATTTATCTGTTAAATTAATACACAGTAAAATTGACTTTCGTTTGCGGTAACGTCCATGAAGTTTCACTTGTGTGGATTTGCATGACCCCCGCCACAGCCAGGATCAGCACATTCTGTCACCCCCAAGACGCCCCTGTTCTCTCTCTTCAGGGTCACAGACGCCCCCTTGTCCACTTCATACACAACAAAAGGACCTCACAATGTTATGCCCCCTTTCCCCAGACATCGGTACACCATGGCCCACAGACCAAATCTTGCCTGCTGCTGATTTTAAACATCAAGTCTCTCTGGACACGGCTGCGCTTGCTTGTTGACGTGTCCTCCGCGGCTGGCTGCTCTGCCTGACGCTGGCAGCGTTGCTGTGACCACATGGCCCGAAAGCCAAAAACATTAGCATCTGGCCCTTCACAGAATGAGCTGGTGCGCTCTGCTTCAAGCTACTGGTGCCATATCTTTTATTTCTGTATACATTAGACAGTCCACATGTTATTGTTACTATTTTGTTTTAAAATTAAAGTGATTAAAAGATAGAAAGAAAAGCCACAGCTACTCATGTATTTACCATTTCTAGAACTCTCGTTCCGTGGCTTAGATTCAGACTTTCATCTGGGACCATTTTCTGCCGTCTGAGGAGTTTCCTTGAACGTTTCTTGTAATGCAGACACGCGGTGATGAATTCTCAGTTTTCTCTGTACTTCACCTTCGCCCTTCAAAGTAGGTCGGCAGTGTTTTCCTTTCCGTGTTGGAGGCGCCGCCCCACGGCGTTGGCCTGTGCATCTCTGACGGGCCAGCCGCTGTCCCCTCTTCCTCTGCTTGGATTCTGTCTTTTCCTCTGGCTGCTTTCAAGACTCTTCTCTTTGTCACTGGTTCTCAGCAAGCTGACTGTGATGTGGCTCTGTGTGGATTCCTTCGTGCTTTTCTTGGACATGTGGGTTTAGTTTTCATCAAATGTAGCAAATGTTTCTTCCGATACTTCTGTGCCCCCAGCACACCCTCCTCCTGGGACTCCAAGCACCTCCCGGGGTGGTCTTAGCCTGGCTCTCCGTGGTGTGCGCTGAGCTGTGTCCATTTCTCTCTTCAAGCTCCCGATGCCTCCTTCAGCAGTGTCTACTTGCTGTGAATATGGTCCACTGTCGTTTTAAAATTAAGACACCACATTTTTCATCTCTAGAAGTTTCTCTTTTCTCTCCTACTTCTCATTATGTCCTCCTCCCCCAGCAGTTTTTTCGTACATGGAGCATATTCATCAGAGGTGATTAAATATTCGTGTTTGCTAATCCGGTCACCTCTGGCCTCTGTGACCTATTTTTCTCCTGGCTGCGGGTCATATTTTCTTAAGTCTTTGTATGCCTGATGAATTTTGACGGTGAATTTGGGGTCCTGGGTTCTGTTGTATTCCTTTGAAGAGTGCAAGACTTTATTCTGGTATGTGGCTAAATTACTTGGAATCAGTTTGAATCACTTTCTTTGATTTGCTAGAGCAGGTCAGATTCTCTAGTACAGCATTTTTTTTTTTTTTTAATTCCTCACAGGAGGATATTTGTCTATTTATCATCAGATAGAGTGGGAGGGAGGGAAAGAGAGAGAAAGAGAGACAGAGAGCCACATCGACTGGTAGCCTCCCACATGACACATGTCCCGACCAGGGCCAGGGATGAAAAGCAACCGAGTACATGCCCTTGACTGGAATCGAACTCGTGACTCATTGTGGTTAGACCCACTAACTGCTGAGCCAACCAGGGCTGGTTCAGCAGTTTTTATTTTTTATTTTATTTTTTTTTTTATCCTCACCCGAGGACATTTTTCCATTTTTTGTACAGATAGAGTGGGAGGGAGAGAGAGGAAGGGAGAGAGAGAAACATCGACATGAAGGGACACATCGAGTGGCTGCCACCCGCACGACCAACCAGGGCTGGGGACAAACTGCAACTGAAGTACGTGCCCTTAGCGGGAACCAAACCCGGGTCTCTCCGGACCGCAGGCCGACGCTCTAACCGCTGAGCCAAACCGGCCAGGGCTCAGCAGTTTTTAAATCCCCACTAGTAAGGTGGCGCCACACGGAGGCCTCCACGCAGAGCTGGCCCTGGGCACGAGGAGCTCCTCCCACTTAGGCTGGAGAGAGGCGATTCTTCGAAGCCCCGCAGAGAGCCAGGGGTGTTTGACTCTGGTGCCCGGCTGCTGGGATTTCACCCACCTGGACTGGACTGAGCCAAGCTCAAGGGTCCGTCCGCCGAGCTTTCGACCTTGATCTCCCCGCCTCACCACCCCCAGCAGCTCCATGCTCACTGATAGTCTGTCCACAAGTTCCAGCCACCAAACTCGAGTTTCTGTCCCTTCCACTCCTGACTCAGAAGGACAGCGGGAGTCTGGACCCCTCCGAGGACAGTGGCCTGGAAACTGGCCCCGGGCAGAACCAGGAACTTGCAGGTTCCTTCATTCCATTGCCTCTTCTCAGGGAGGACAGCCCTGTGCCGTCCATTGTCCACTGGCCGACAGCAGCCGTTTCATGTATTTTGTCTGGTTTTCTAGTTCTTGACGGTGAGAGGGAAGTCCCCAGCGCAGCTACTCCGTCCCCGCCCAGAGCAGGCGGCCAGATGCTTCTTGTTGGATCTCATTAGAACATCAAGGTTTGTACCTTGCAGTGTGGCTACTGAACAGGTGTCAGGGTAGAATGCCAGTGTTTTTCCTTCCTGTTTGCTTTATTCTTCTGTATAAAACATGGTTTCTTTGCAAAATCTTTTGAAATCACTTATGTTTTCTGACTTGAGTTTAAACACACTGGTATTTACATTAACATCTGTGCAAGGAGAACTGTGACATATACAGTGATGTTAAGCAGCCAAACAGGTAAGAGTGCCACCCTCCTCCCCCTGCACCGCACAGCCTCACCCTCCTCTGAGGACACGGTGACCGGCGGCGGGCACAGTGTCCATCTGTATCTTACTTGTGGGTAAATGTGATTTCCTCCCTAAGCATTTAGACTAAAAGTAAGTTGGACCAGTTTGCCCTGAGCATCTCCTGAGGGAGCTCAGCTGTCTTTGGCACAGGGGCGGAGGCTGCTGCAGGTGGGCGACGCCTTGCAGGAAAGCCCTGGATTTATTACGTGGGTTATAACATCTAGTTGGTCGTTTAACAGATCTGAGTCACAACCAGCATTTAAAATAATATGAAATAGAACAGAAACTAGCAGATTTCATCACAGTAGCGAAAGTCAGTTTTCTTTCCTGCTCCCACAATGGTTCCCATGCCTGGCGAGGGGGCAGGGGCAGAAGGAAGTATGTTAGAAAGTCCATGCCCTCCGAGCGGGAAGAGGGGCCTCACAGTGGTCATCCATCCATCCCTTCATGTACCAGGGAGACCAGGCCCAAGAGGACGGTCGTGCTTGGCCTCACAGCGCGCGGTGCACAGCCGAGGCCAGTTTCCCCGTAGCCGGAGACTGCGGACAGCTAGTGCAGGAGACGGGGGTGGCCTGAGCCGGACAGGGAGGGAAAGAGGCGGAGAGACGGGGGTGGCCTGAGCCGGACAGGAGGGAAAGAGGCAGAGACCCCGAAAGTACTGCCACGGGAGGGGGCACGTGGCCATTACCTGCCTCGCAGCGCGGTCCCTCGAAGGGCTCTGCGCACAGGCAGGTGAAGTTCCCCACGAGGTCCACACACGAGCCTCCGTTCAGACACGGGCTGGAGCCGCATTCGTCCACATCTGCGGTGGAGCGCGAGTTGGGCCCCAGCCAGCCTTTGACCCTGGCTCCAAGTCCTCCAAATCCGCAGGGAGCGGCCCCGCCCTTCCGGGCCGGCCCCGCCCCTCGCCCCGCCCAGTCTTCTCCTCGCCCCGCCCCACCCCGTTCTCTCCCCTCCCCGGCCCTGCCCAGTCTCCTCCTCGCCCCGCCCACCCGGGTCTCTCCCCTCCCCGGCCCCGCCCAGTCTCCTCCTCGCCCCGCCCACCCGGGTCTCTCCCCTCCCCGGCCCCGCCCAGTCTCCTCCTCGCCCCGCCCACCCGGGTCTCTCCCCTCCCCGGCCCCGCCAGTCTCCTCCTCGCCCCGCCCACCCGGGGGTCTCTCCCTTCCCCGGCCCCGCCCAGCCTCCTCGCCCCGCCCCACCCCGTTCTCTCCCCTCCCCGGCCCCGCCCAGTCTCCTCCTCGCCCCGCCCCACCCGGGGTCTCTCCCCTCCCCCGCCCCACCCAGTCTCCTCCTCGCCCGCCCCACCCGGGGGTCTCTCCCCTCCCCGCCCCGCCCAGTCTCCTCCTCGCCCCGCCCACCCGGGTCTCTCCCTTCCCCGGCCCCGCCCAGCCTCCTCGCCCCGCCCCACCCCGTTCTCTCCCTCCCCGGCCCCGCCCAGTCTCCTCCTCGCCCCGCCCCACCCGGGTCTCTCCCCTCCCCCGCCCCACCCAGTCTCCTCCTCGCCCCGCCCCACCCGGGGTCTCTCCCCTCCCCCGCCCCGCCCAGTCTCCTCCTCGCCCCGCCCCACCCGGGTCTCTCCCCTCCCCGACCCCTCCCAGTCTCCTCCTCGCCCCGCCCACCCGGGTCTCTCCCCTCCCCGACCCCGCCCAGTCTCCTCCTCGCCCCGCCCCACCCGGTCTCTCCCTCCCCGACCCCCCCTCCCAGTCTCCTCCTCGCCCCGCCCACCCGGGGTCTCTCCCCTCCCCCGCCCCGCCCAGTCTCCTCCTCGCCCCGCCCCACCCGGGTCTCTCCCCTCCCCGACCCCTCCCAGTCTCCTCCTCGCCCCGCCCCACCCGGGTCTCTCCCCTCCCCGACCCCGCCCAGTCTCCTCCTCGCCCCGCCCCACCCGGGTCTCTCCCCTCCCCGACCCCTCCCAGTCTCCTCCTCGCCCCGCCCCACCCGGGTCTCTCCCCTCCCCGACCCCCGCCCAGTCTCCCTCCTCGCCCCGCCCCACCCGGGTCTCTCCCCTCCCCGACCCCTCCCAGTCTCCTCCTCGCCCCGCCCCACCCGGGGTCTCTCCCCTCCCCCGCCCCGCCCAGTCTCCTCCTCGCCCCGCCCCACCCGGGTCTCTCCCCTCCCCGACCCCTCCCAGTCTCCTCCTCGCCCCGCCCACCCGGGTCTCTCCCCTCCCCGACCCCTCCCAGTCTCCTCGCCGCGCCCAGCCCCACCCGGGGTCTCTCCCCTCCCCCGCCCCGCCCAGTCTCCTCGCCGCGCCCAGCCCGCCCTCGCCCCGCCCCCCACCTGCCGGAGCGCCGGCCCCTCACCCGTCTCGCAGGCGATGCCGGTGTAGCCCGCCGGGCACACGCACACCGCGGAGCCGCTGACCGCCTGGCACCGCCCGCCATTCGCACAGTCTTTGGCGTCACATGGAGATTTTGCTACGAGTGCAGAGGGTGGAAGGCCGTTGCGGTGGCCCTGCGGCCTGTCCGGCGGTGGGGGACCCTGACCCGGGCAGTCCCGACCCACCAGCCCGTCTGAATCGGGTATTTTTTCAGCAGAGGGTGTGGGCGCGCTGGGCGGGGGCTTCGCTGAGCTGATGGACAAGAGCTGTCCCAGAGCGGCCTCTGGGGCACTGAGAGTCCCCCAGCGGGTGGGGGACACAGCCTGTGATGGAGCCTCGATGGGTGTGCAGCTCCCAGGCATGCAGGAGGGCCCTGATGGCCCTGGGGGGAGGGGCCGAGGGGGAGGTGATGTGGCTGCAGGGCGCGGACAAAGGCGCTCAGCCCCGGACAGTGGGAGTGAGCAGTGCAGCCTGGCCTGGGGTGAGAAGGCTTGATGGCTCCTTCCACACCCAGGCCTTGTGGCCAGTCTGGCTCTGACCTAGCCCAGTCTGGAACTGGGCACTGGCCTGTTCCAAGGCCTCCTCCCTGGTCTGAACAGGGCTCAGGAGGCCCGAGTCCTGCCATGGGCCCTCAGGCCTCTCTGGGTGGCCCATGCCCGGTGCCAAACCCTTTGTGGTGCGGCTGACCCGACACTCCCACCAGGCTGCCCACTGCCCCTCAGCCGGGCAGGGCCAGCTGGTGGTCCTGCAGACAGTGGAACTTGGGAGTCTGGGTGATTTCCTCTCACCTGTCTCACAGGTGGGTCCCCCGAAGCCAGCCGGGCACTGGCAGCTGAAGCTGTTGACTCCGTGGGTGCAGGTGCCACCGTTCTGACATGGGTGGGAAGCACACTCGTTCACGTCTGAAAAACAGGTGGGCGGGGCCTCAGGGAGGAACCGGGCTGGGAGGATCTGCTCAGGCAGAGGCGAGGGGACAGCGGGCCTGGCTTCTTGGGTCTCACCCCTGGGGCAGTGGGCTCAGAGGGCAGCGGTAGCACCGGCCCAGTGTGCTCACCCTCAGGAAGCCTTTGTGTGTGGTGCCCCCCGTGGTGCCCAGCACACGTACCCCCCAGTACCCTCCACCATAGGGACAGAGACCCTAGACCTTGGGCTCTTGGGGCCACTGGCTGCGCTTCCAGGGTTCCTCCAGAGCCCAGTGCCTTCCAGTGGGCAGTGCCATCAGTGAACTCACCCAGGTGGCACCTCCTCCCTGTGAACCCTGAGAGGCAGGAGCAGGTGTAGGAGGGGTTGCCCGTGACGCAGTCATCAATGCATTTCCCACCGTTGAGGCACGGGCGCAGGGCCAGGCACACAGAGGCTGCAGACACAGGATGGGTGCCGCCGTCACATGCCTGCCCTCCCTCCCCAAAGGGTCCATCTCCGAGGAAGGCTGTCACCCGCCGGCGGTGACGCATCCAGTTTCACTTCCCAGGTCGGTGCAGGGTGCCCAGTGCCGCTGATATCTGCCCTCCACCTGCGTTTCCCGCGGACGTTCACTTCCTAAGGGACTGGCTGCCTGTGGACGGCAGGCTTCTCCAGAACCCCTCACACCTGCAGCACCTCATCCCGTTAATCTGCCAGCTTCCAAACTTGTCCCAGGGACTAAGAAGACAGGGACCCGAGGACTCCCAGCAACACGGGGAGATGAGAGCGCTCCTGGTGGACGAGGGGGATCCCTGTGCGGAAACCAGAGGCGGTGGGGGGAGCCCCTCAGACCCTCTGGCAGTTGCTGTCTGGTCCCAGCACTGCCTCAGACCGTTGCACAAATTGGGCACGCCCTCTGCCCTCTGTTCCCTGTGTGTAAAACCAGGCCTGTGCTCAGAGCTTTTGAAGCTGGTTCTTTCTGGCCAGGGTGGGGGTGCCTCCTGGAGTCCCTCAGGGCCACCCGACCCCCTCGCCCAGACATCTAGGACAGGCAGCCCATAGAGCCCTCTGGAGAAGCAGGCTGCTGGTCTGTGGTTGATCAGCACAGACCGGCAGCATCCCGAAGTCTCAGAGTCCAGATACTATGAGGGCCGCAGGGAGAGCTAGTGTGGTGTCGGGGGAAGAAACCCCCAGAAGGACTCTGGCCCAGAACGCCATCCGGGCTGTGCGACCAGGTGTTTTCACCCCTTAGCCGCTCTGTCACTCAGTCCCTGTGGTCTGGCTACGCGGTGGTGCGTGGCAGCTGACCACAGCCCTGTCTCTGGACCAGCCTTGCCCAGGAGCTAGAGTTCATGGTGAGGACACACTGCCCTCAGGTGTGGACCAACCCTCCCTTCCTGGTAAGGCTGATGTGTGTGACCCCAGGACGGACCCGAACCGGCTCCATCTCCTGGGCTTGCAGTGTGGGGCAAAAGGGAAACACACCCTGCTCTCCGGGCCTCTGTGCGCTAGTCTGGGAGGGCCGTGTGCCTGCTCCACCTGCTCCCCTCAGAGGCCTGGGACAGTAGGGGAGGCACCTCTACATGGAAAAGGGGTCCACGAAGGACCCCACTCCTCAGGGTCACGGCCTGCAGCCTCTGCAGAGGAGCAAAGACCTGCCCACACCTGTCCCCACCTGTACTGACACTCACACCAGTCCACACCTGCACCCACACCTTTCTCCTCAACCACAACCCGAGCCCTGGCCACTGGCAGGTGACCAACAGCCCAGGCTTTCCCTTCCCACCCAAGAAGTGCCTGCCAGAATGGTATCCCCAGCCCTGAATCACCACTGCCCGGAGCCCTGGCCCCCGGGGCTGCAGGAGGGCTGTGCTCCTCGGGCTCCACTTGCCACTCTCGGGGAGGGGGCGAAATTGTCAGCTCCTGGGCGCCTGGCACCATGAGCCCCTCACCCCCTAAGCCCAGACTCTGGTCTGCGGGCTCAGGTTCCAGGTCTCTTTCAGGGGGTGGTCATCCCCCGTCCTCTGAGTCTTCTGGCCGCAAGCCTTGTGCGCTCATGCCGGCCCTGGCCCCACTGGCCGGTCTCTCGCCCAGCTGATGTTGGGGGAAGCAGCCCTTCCCAGTGGCCTGGGTCCCCATGAGGGTGAGGCCATGGGCGGAGATCCCAGCACTGGCCTCAGACTGGCCCCGGCTTGGCAGGGCCTGTGATCAGTCCCTCTAGGTGGAGTGGCTGAGTCACCCCTGTATACACCTCCATTTATAAGTAGTTAAGTTTCAGGAGGGCCTGTGACTCGCCCAGGGCCACACACCCTTCTTTGGCCAGTCGGACTGTCCCCACCAGTCACGTGCTCCCCCCTGGGGCGGACCCTTGCCCTCTGCTGTGTGCTCCCAGCCTGAAGGCCCCTGGGTGTCTCCCTCCAGTCGGGCACACTGGAAAAGTACCCCCGGAAAAGGTGAGATGGGGTGAACAGAACACCTGCCTCCCAGGTGGGCGGGGGGACACAGGCGACCCCGGGCGCTCGCGTCGGGCGGGGAGGAGGCTGGGCCCCTCCCCTTTGCACCGCAAACCGTGGGCTCCAGCGGGTCCCCTGCCCCGCAGCGGAGGCGCGAAGTCCCCCCAGGAGGAGACAGGCTCCGGGGCCAGCGGAGCGGGGCCGGGGCGGGGCCGGCGCCCAAGTCCCCTCCCCGCCCGCCCGCCCCGCCCAGGCCCCGCCCGCCCCGCCCCGGCCCCGCCCCGCCCCGGCGCCCGAGCCGCTCGCTCGTGCTCTTACTTGCATGGGCGCAGCCCCCCACGCGCACCTGGGCATCATCGATTCTGAACGCCCAGCGCCCGGGCACGCCCACGTTGGTGCTGCTCTCCACCTGCGCCATGTCCGCCGTGCGCGAGCCGGGGATGCTGAAGTAGCGCCGCCCGTCTCCCGCGTTGAAGCCGGCCTGGTGGGTGTGGACAGAGTGGGGGCGGGGACGGGCTGGGTCCGCGGGGCGCCCTGAAGGGTTCGACACCCCCTCCCCCGCGTGGCCAAGGCCCAGGAGCTCGTGTGGGAGTCGGCCCCCTTCCCCCACCCCACGTCCTCCGTGCGGTGTCGACCCCTCCCAGCCAGGCCCTGAGGCAACCAACAGTTCACCCCTCTGTTGAGCAGCTGAGGACGTGGCTGGGCCCGGACCCCTCACCGCCCTCCCGCCAGCGCCTCACTGCGGGCTCTGGGTCTCCCGGCCCAGGGGAAGTGGACGGTGGTGCACAGCCTGGAGGACTGCGGGCCCAGGGCCCTTGCCCAAGCCCCGCCACACCTGGGGGCAGTCAGTGCAGAGACCCAGGGACCCTCTGGCGGTGTGATCAAGACAAAGGTGCGGCTGCCGTTCTGGGCTGAGAGGGCTCTGATCGCCTCACACTGGTCTCTGCACCGGGGGGTGTGCGCGCGTGGGGGGGTGTCTGTCCCAGCGACTCGTGGCAGTGCTGGCAGTGGGGAGCAGGGGCCCTACCTGGGCCGCGATGCCCCCCAGGCCACTGGCATCGCCCCCGCTGCTGGCGTGTGTGCCTGTGGTCCATGTGATGGACTCGTAGTTGAAGACGGTGAACGAGAACTTGCCGTCCGTAATGAGCACGGTCTGGAAGGTGTTGACCTGCCAAGGAGGGAGGCCTGAACAGCGTCCTTCCCCTCGTCCCTGCTCCAAAGCCTGCCCGTCCACCACCCTGCACACACTCATGACCCCTCCACATCTCCCCATCTCCCTGGGCAGCCACAGGGCAGCACCTCAATGGCCTCACCCTCCGTCCCCACTGTGTCCCCAGTGCCTGAGGCCCCGGCACAGGCCGCCACGCCCACCTTCCCAATGATCTGCCAGGCGAGTGGGTGAAGCACACACTGGGGGGCTGTAGGGGCCCACAGATGCCAGGAGCAGACACTGGCCCCTGTGGGCGCCAGGGGCACAGAGGGTTCATGCTCACTTGGTCAAATCCACAAAACCACTTCAAGTGAATAGGATGAAAGCAGAAAAAGAAAAGGGGAAAAGATGAGCAGGAATCAAGGAAAAGTATATATTTTTAAATCCTCACATATTTTTCCATTATCTTCAGACAGAATGGGGGAGAGAGAGAGAGAGAGAAACATCAACGTGAGAGGGACACATCGATTGGTTGCTTCCCACACAACCCCAACCAGAGCCGGGGACCGAATGGCAACCGAGGTACGTGCCCTTGACTGGAGTTGAACCCGTGACTGGTCCACGGGCCGACGCTCTAATCGCTGAGCCAAACTGGCCAGGGCAAAAATCATTTTTAATAGTTAGGTTTTATGTTTTTTTTCCAAGAAAATGTTAGTGTGTAGGGTACACATGAAGTACTATTTCACATCGGGGGAAGGGTCATGGGGCAAACAGGAGACCCTGAGAAACAGGGTCTTAGAGCTGTGGAGAGCCTCTCGGGGGAGCTTAAGCATAACGGTTGCTAACGCAAAGAACCAAAAGTGAGATTTATACGTTTGGCTACAAACACTTCTGAATATGAAAAAGTACCATAAACTCAAACTGAATGGCAAACGGCAAAGTGAAAAATGTACTTATCATGTACACAACAGGTAAAACTGTTCATATTCTTTTTTTGTTTAATCCTCACCCGAGGACATTTTTCCATTTTTTTTTTTATCCTCACCCGAGGACATTTTTCCATTTTTTGTTCAGATAGAATAGGAGAGAGAGAGAGGAAGTGAGAGAGAGAGAAACATCAACATGAAAGGGACACATCGAGTGGCCGCCACCCACACAACCCAACCGCGGTCGGGGACAAACTGCAACCGAAGTACGTGCCTTAGCTGGAACTGAACCTGGGTCTCTCTGGACCGCAGGCTGATGCTCTAGCTGCTGAGCAAAACCTGCCAGGGCTCATTTCTTAATACAAGAAGGTCTACAGATGGACGAGAAAAAGACCAAGAAGATGACCGGAAAGTGGGCGCAGGCTCTACTTAGATACATCACAAGCAGAGGTGACAGGAGCACAGCCAGTATCGTTAGGAATCAAAGGCTGGGCGGTTGGGAAGGGGAGGAAGGAAACCCTGAGGATCCTGGCTGGGTGCGGGGACTGGCACTCCCCATGCCGCTGTGCGGGTGTGTGTGGGCGCACTTCTCAGGGGACTGGGAATTCCGCAGGCGTCCATCTCTCTTCCAAAGACTGGTGCTGGGACTCCCTGCGCTCGTGGCCTTGGACTGGCGCCGCGTCCAGGGGACACCGACCTGGGCCAGTGTGTGACGTGGCGGTGATGGGAGACCACAGGGTGTACAGACACACCACATTCCATTGCATTTTGCTGGTGGCGCTTTTAGAAATGGTGTTTTTAGAAACGGAGGTTTGCGGTGACCCTGCACGGAGCAAGTCTGTCGGTGCCATTTTCCCAGCGGCATTTGCTCCCTCTGTGTCTCTGTCACACCCCGGGAAGTCTCCCAGTGCTGCAGACGTTTTCCTCATCGTGGTATGTTATGGTGATCTGCGATGAGTGATTCGAGGTTACTATTGTGTGTTGGGGCACTGCGAACCACGCCCACGTAAGATGGCAAATGTAACCGATAAATGTTGTGTGTGTTCTGAATGCCCCATGGATGGGTCGTTCCCTGGCTACGTCCCTCCCCTCAGGCCTCCCTATTCTCTGAGACACACAGTAGTGAAATCAGGCCAGTGAATAACCCCACAGTGGCCTCTAGGTGCTCAAGAGAAAGGAAGAGTCTCTCACTTTACATCAAGAGCAGAGGAGAAAGGCATGTTGAAGGCTGAGGCCGGCCAAGCGCCGGGCCTTTTGCACCAAACAGTCAAGTTGTGAAGGCAAAGGAAAGATTCTTGAAGGAAGTTAAAAGTGCTGCTCCAGGTAACACACGCGTGATGGGCGAAACAGCCCGGGTGCTGATGCAGAGAAAGTGTTAGTGGTCTGGACAGAAGATCAAAGCAACCACTCCATTCCCTTCAGCCAAAGCCTGACCCAGATCAAGGACCTAACTCTTTTCAGTTCCATGAAGACTCGAGAGAACTGAAGAGGCTGCAGAAGGACAGACTGAAGCTGGCAGGGGCTGGTTCACGAGGTGAAGGGGAAGCAGCGCCCCGTCTCCAGAAGACGTAGCTGAGACGACTCATGAAGGTGGCCGCCCTCAACAACAGATTTTCAGTGCAGATGAAACAGCCTCGCATAGGGAGAAGGTGCCGCCTAGGACTTTCATAGCTGGACGGGAGAAGTCAGGGTCTGGTTTCAAAGCTTTAAGGACAGGTTGACTCTCTTGTGAGGGGCTCATGCAGCTGTGACTTGAAGGCGAAGCCAATGTTCACGGACCATCCGAAAATCCCAGGGAACCGTACAAATGATGCCCAATCTGCTCTGCCTGTGCCTGGGAATGGACAGCAAAGCCTTGGTGGCGGCCCGTCGGTGTGCCCCATGGTTCATTGAACGTTTCCGCCCACTGTGGAGACTACTGCTCAGAAAAAAAGGCTCCTTGCGAAATACTACTACCCACAGTGCACCTGGTCGCCAGGAGCTCTGATGGGGACGGACGAGGTTGATGTTGTTTCCATGCCGATGAGCACAACATCCATTCTTCAGCCCGTGGATCAAGAAGTCGCTGTGACTTTCGAGTCTCATTATTTAACAAATACATTTCATGAGGCTCTAGCTGCCATGGACCTCATTCCTTGGATGGATCTGGGCACAGGGAACTGGACGCCTCTCGGAAGGGTTCACATTCTAGATGCCAGTGAGTGTGTGTGGTTCACGGAAAGAGGTCGACACAGCCACTGAACAGGAGTTCGGAGGAAGTGGATCCCGGCCCCCTGGACGGCTCTGAGGGGCTCAGGGAGGAGGAAGCTGCAGGTGCGAGGGAAACAGGGCGAGAACCAGCCTGGCAGGAGAGTCTGAAGGTGGGACCGAGGCCCCGCAACCTCCTGGTCACACTGGACCGGAAGGGGCTGTTTTCACTTCTGCCGAAGAAGCCGTGAAGGTTGTTGCAACGGCCACAGCGGACGTAGAATGTCACAAACTCAGCCGATGAAGCAACCGGGGTTGAGAGGGCTGACTCCCGTTCGGGAAGAAGTCCTGCGGGTACAACGCTACCAAACGGCGTGTGTGCTAGAGAGATCGCCTGTGACAGGAAGGGTCCAGCGACGCAGCCAAGGTCACTGTCGCATTTTAAGGAACTGCCGCAGCCACCCTGGCCTTCAGCACCCACACCCCACCAGTCAGCACCCACACCCCACCAGTCAGCACCCACACCCCACCAGTCAGCAGCCACAGCGTCAGCAGGGCCCTCCTCCCCAAAAGATTAGGACTTGCTGAGGGCGGAGATGTTGCCTCTGTCAGTGATCGTGTCTTTTTAATTAAGGCGTGTACATGCTTTTAGGCGTAATGCTGTTGCGTACTCAATGGCCTGCAGCATGGACTCAACACAACTTGTATACGCACCGGGAAACCAGAAACTCCATAGAACTCGCTCCTTTGTGATATTTGCTTTATTGTGGTGGTCTGTGTGCCTTCTTACGGTAAGATCAACAACAGGACTGAGCGCCTGCTTCCGGACGGCGTGGGTCTGAGAGCCGGAGCTCAGAGGGCAGGGAGGGGGGACACCGTGAAGGCGGACGGCCCGGCCCGAGCGGCCGCGGGCTCCGTGCTGGTGAGGCCCACGGATCTGAGGCGTGTGAGCGGCTGACGGTTACTCCCCGTGGATCTCCCTGCTCTGGAGGGGCTGCTGCAGACAGGGCGTCCCAGGTCTCCCCGCCACAGCCAAGCTGGGTCCTGACTCCTTGTCGGAGGATGTGAGGTGGGTCACCCTTCTCTAACCACCATCTCTGGGTTTGGAAACGGGGACAGTAAGCTTCCCTGTCAACCCAGAGGGGCTCTGGGCACCCCTTCCTCTGCAGAGGTGAAATAGTAATTTTTAAAATGTGGTCGGAAAACATATAAGAATGAGGGAAATGCCCATAACACTGTTGAGCGAAAAAAACAAAAAACAAAACAAAACACCACTCACAAAACAGCAAGTCCTTGGTGGTTCTATTTATTGTCTAGACTGAGGGTCCGTGTAACTAGGAAATGTCTACTGGGAGTTGTCTTCTGGGAGAGGAACTATGTATTTCTTTGTTTTAACCTTTTGTTACAAAGTTGTTTTTATTACAAATGGGTGAAAAGAAAAGACAAAGCTTACAAAAGGCCAGTGGTTTCTGTGTGAACAGAAGCTGGCCGGTGCGTGAAGCTGTTTGTGGCCGTGCTCACAGAACTGTGCGTCCGTCCTGGTGCGTCCGTCCTGGTGCGTCCGTCCTGGTGCGTGGCTGTGCCCTGAACACCACCGGGAGTGTCTCCCCCTCACATGTGCCTGGCTAACGACCTTCTTCCTTTTTCTCTCTCCTTCACTTGGCATCTGGGGAGCTCAGAGTCTGTGGGCCTCTTGTCGCTGGGCATATCCCTCCCTTGTCCCTCTCGCCCACCTTCACGGTTCCCCTGGGGACCCCGGCTCCACCTCTATATGCCCGCTGGGCATGGCCACCTGGGCACATCCAGGACCGAGCCTGTCACTGGCACCGCTCGACCCGGAGCACAGGCCCCACCTGCCCACCCCGTCCTCCGCCGTGTGCGTGGCGAGACGAGGCCCTGCTGTGATTGCCGTCCAGTGTCCAGTCACGTCCCCCCGCGGCTGCTCTGACCTGCCCTGTTCCTCCAGCCCTCAAACCCCGTGTGGCTGAGCCTCCACCCTCTGGCTGGCACCTTTATCACCTGGCCATTTGTGACACCCCAGGGAGAACCGTGTCCTGTCTGCCCTGCGCAGGGCCTGCCCCCAGAGGCCCCCAGGAAATGTGGTTAAAGGGGTGAACTGACAGCTCAGAGCACGGCTCTGCTCCCGGTGCCTCCCTTGTGCACGGTGACGTCGGGCGGGGGAGACAGTGCTGTCCTCACTGGCGGAGACCCGCCGGGGGACCTGCCCACCAGCACCCACCACACTGGGCGAAGAGCTCGGTACTCTGGAGCTCACACTTTGTCCAGTCTGGCGTACCCAGGACACAGCGAGACACAGTGACTCTGCCTGACCCTTTGCAGACTGAGCATCCCATGGGAACCCGCTAACGCGTCCCAGCTTCTCTCCTGGGGCACTGGGGTTTCCTGGGGGACCAGGGGGGTCAGGCCTCGTCCTCCCCCAGGCTTTGGACCTGGGTGAGTGGCTCCATGCCTGACCCTATCTGTTCCCTTGAGCATGGACTGGACGAGCAACTATGGCTGACACCCCTCAGCAAGGTGGGGGCCTTGGAGAGACACCCGGGCCCAGCTGCACCCCCTCCCTTCCCCAGGACAGAAACTCACGGGGGAGGAGGAGCTGCCTCCAAAGAAGGTCACGCGGTACCAGGTGGCGATGAAAACCCAGGTGGCGGAGAAGTTTGGGAGCTCGGGGAAGTAGCGTCTGACGTCCTCCGTGGCTCTGCGCCGCGTGGCCGGGTCGGTGGCCTCCCGGTAGTACACGTCGCCTGCACGCCGGTTGTCCACGTCCGCCCAGAAGGCCGCCACCACGCAGCGGTCCTTGGCAATGGGGAAGGCCACGGGGGTGAACTGAGAAACCTCCTTCAGGAAGGAGATGATCCCGTTGTTGTTCACCTGTCCGGGCAGAAGGCCGAGAGGCACCGCTGGGGCTGTGGGCGGCAGGGGTGCCAGCAGCCCCCGCCGTCTCCACCCAGCACCCTGCGGCAAGGTGAGCCCGCCTCAGGCGGGGCATCCCGGGGTGGCCTGACAGTTCCTGCTCCTGGACATGGGACCGCTTGGCCTGCCCTGTCCCTCCTGGACAGGCTTTGTCCCCGATGCCCCGCTGAGTGCCCAGCCCTGGGCTGCTGCTGTGGGGTCAGGGACCCCCCCAGTGTGGGCCCTGGTCCTGGGCAGGTGGGCACTGAGACCTGCTCAGCAGCCCAGCTCCTGGGTCCCACTCCAGCCAGGGGCCTCAGGAGGGCAGGACAGGGTCCCAGCCTCTGGTCCGGAAGAGTGGGGTGAGGGAGGAGAGCCCACAGAGCAGAGGCAGGGACCTCGATGGCCAGGGGCTCCTGTGCTCAGGACTCCGGGCAGTGGGAGCCTGGAAGCAGCATCTTTGCAGCCGGACACGACTGCTTCCAGCCCTGGCCTGCCACGCGCTGGCTGCCCCTGCGGCTCTGGCCTCTCTGTGCCCCGGACTTCCGCCTCTGGGACGGGCCGGCACCAGTGCTGGCCGCGCGGGGTGCAGGGCGAGGTCGAGGGGGTTCGCGATCGCAGAGCCGGACTCTAGGCTGTCCTGATCCACTCCTGGAAAGGCCGTGGTCAGAACTGGGCTTTTAATTTTTTTTTTTTATCCTCACCCGAGGACATTTTTCCATTTTTTTGTTCAGATAGAGTGGGAGGGAGAGAGAGAGAAACATCGACGTGAAAGGAACACATCGAGTGGCTGCCACCCGCACGACCAACCAGGGCCGGGGACAAACTGCAACTGAGTTACATGCCCTTAGCGGGAACCGAACCCGGGTCTCTCTGGTCCACAAGTCAACACTCTAACCGCTGAGCCAACCAGCCAGGGCGAGAACTGGGCTTTTAGAACAGACCTGTAGCACTTCCCCTCAGGAGAGGGTGGCTCTGCTGCGCAGACCAGCAAGTCAGGCCGATAAACACTCTCTTTTCAAAGGTGCCAGAGCGAACAAGCGAGCGAGGGAGCCTCGATGTCACGCGGACCACCAGGAGCCTGGAGGGGCCCCAGCACGCAGAGCCCTTCCCTGAGTGAGCCGTCCGCAGACCTCGGAGCCACAGCTACCCCAGAGCAGGCCTGCAATTCGAGTGGCCTCATGGAGGGAGAGAGGTGGATGCCAGAGCTCACAGCTGGCTCGAGGTGGGGAGCCCAGGAGACCCCACACTAAGCTGGGACCTCGCAGGCTGCCCGCACAGTTCGGGTGAACCTGAAGGGAAGAGTCCCGTGCAGACTTACTTTCCACCTCCCCTCCGGCCTGGGACCCGCATTAAGGATTCCCGCCAGGCAGCGTCTCTAGCCTGCCCGGCAGGAACCCAGGGGAACCCTCTGTGGAGGGAGATGGTGTCACCTGGGGCTCAGGCGACTCCCATGAGTGAAGCTTCCTATGCAAATCCAGGACACCGTCAGAGGTCACCAGGCACAGAGGACGCAGGACACCCCCACGTGGGCTCACAGAAACACAAGAAGCACCAGACACGGGAGCGATCTGACCATGAGGTGACGAGGTTTACTGTACTCAGATAAAGAAACGCAAGCTTTCAGACGTCAAGAGCACAGCCACGATGATCTCGAAAAAGAACAGCTGGGGACTCACATTCCTGATCTCAAAACTTACCGCAAAGTGACAGTGACCCAAACAGGGTGGCACTGGCAGACAGACGGGCGGACAGAGAGGCCCATGGGCCAGAATGGGGAGCCTGGAGAGAACCCCGTGCACGTGTGGTCAAACGCGGTCCGCAAACCGTGCTGGGAAGACGAGAGTCACAGGCACAAGGGGACCGTCCCCTAACACCACGCACAGAAACGCACGCCAACGGCTCCCACATTTACACCTCGGAAGGAAACAGGACACGCCGCACGGCGCTGGCTGGGTGGGATTCCCTGCACACGATGCCCACGGCAGGGCGACTGGAGACGCGGACACACTGCAGTTCATCGAGCCTGAAAACCTGTGTGCAGCCAGGCACTGACGCAACCCTCTCGACAGGAGACAGCATCTGCAAATCACACATCGAGTGAGGGCTTGATGTCCAGGATAGAGAGAAAACTCCTACAACAGTGAAGCCCCAAACCATCTCCTTATAAAATGGGCAAAGGACCTGAAACAGACATTTCTCCAAAGAAGATACACAAACGGCCAATAAGCACACGGCCGGGCATCGGGGAACCTGGAATCAAAGCCACAGAGAGACACCACCTCACACCCATCAGGGCGGCCGTGGTCAGAACGACAGGAAACGCCGAGTGTGAGGACGCCGGGCAGCACTGGGGAGCAGTGGGGTTCAGAGACGAGCGGGCACCGCAGAGCCCCGCCCAGGCCCTTCTGCAGAAACTCCGCCATCCCTGAGCAAGGCGGGCACAGCTGGGGCTGAGGCCGGGCCCAGCCACACCCTATTAAAAACGAGGGTGCTGACGGGGAAGCTGAGTGTGACCTGTGGGGGCGTTGTGACTTGCCAGCCTACCACCCCCGTTTGGGGGTTGACGGGACCTTGACCACTGACAAGGGGAGGGCCCAGCAGGGGGCGCGGGTCACCTCTGGTGTGAGGGACAGTGCAGCTACCCCCAGGGGGTTTTGCTCCCCGTCCAGCACCCAGGGAAGCCCTGGTGTCACGGGCCTTGAGTCACAGGGGGTCCCCTGGGCAGTGGCGGTCGTCCAGCCACAGCCCTGACGCGGGAAGCTCCAGGAAAGGCCAGTCAGCACTCTGGGCAGCACTGGGAGTGGTCCCCGGCCGTGGAGGGGCTCTGCAGGGCCGGACAGGGCAGCAGCTGCTCTCTGCAGGCCAGACGGGGGCCGCGTTCGGTCCCTACTGCACATCACTCTCCTTTCCGTTTAGTCTTGTTGATCCTCACCCGAGGATCTTCCAGTTACTTTTAGATAGAGGGGGAGGGAGGGAGGGAACCACGGACGTGAGAGAGACACTGATCAGATGCCTCCCGCAGGACCTCAACCGGGGCCGGGGATGGACCCTGCCACCCAGATACGTGCCCCTGACCGGGAACCGAAACCACGACCCTTCGGTTCACAGGCCAACACCGTAACCGCTGAGCCAAGCCGGCCAGGGCTGTTTCTGTTTTTATGGCCCTTTAAAAACATCAACAACATTCCCAGCTCACAGGCGGTGCCGTGTGTCCTGTGCGGACCCCGGGCTGCGGCACAGCCACGTCCACTCGCTCACAGGCTGTCTGTGGGGCTCAGAGCAGCTATAAGGCCCAAGGCACCCACTGCCTGGCCCTGAACACGCCTGGGGCCCCACCTACGAGCAGGTCTGCCCCTGCAAAGCCCACCGAGGACGCCCACTTGGGGGCCACTAATGTGGGGACAAATTGCAGCCACTGATGAAAGAGTCTGGGTCCCTGCAACGGGACTGACGGGACCCAGCTGCTGCTGGACGTGCCCCCGGCTGCCTGCCTCCCGCACCTCCTCCTACCAGAAATGGCAGCACAACCATGGACCCCAGGAGGGCTGTGTGCTGCGGGGCAGAGCCACCAGCGCCCCCTCCCCCACAGCTGGTCCGCTCTTCTGGGGCGGGCATCCTGGGACCATGCTGCTGCCACAGGCGCAACGGGCCACCTGCTGTGCGGGACACTGCACTGCCCCTCCTGCGCCTGCACCCATGCCGCCTGCACCCCACGCCGCCTGCACCCTGTGCCCCCACGCCGCCTGTGCCCCAATGCCGCCTGCACCCTGTGCCCCATGTACCCCCACACCATCTGCACCCCCACACTGCCTGCACCCCAATGCCAATGGCCCTGCTTCTGCACGACCAGGTTTCCCTCCTGCCTTGGGAGTGGGAGTCCGACTCTCAGGTGTGTGTGGTGTGTGCAGGCCGCTGCCGCCTGCCCACCAGCACTTGGCCTCATTCCCCTCTCCTGGGTGCCCCCCACGGTGCTGTGGGCCCGGAGCCCGGGGGTCCAGGAAGGAGGCAGAACAAGCCGGCCCTGTTCCCCTGCCAGGGCAGGGCAGGGCCAGGACCACAGCGGAGAAGCAGCGGGGCCAGGCGCTGGGCGAGCAGGCTGGCGGGCCTGCCACCTGGACGGGAGCCTCCTTGGACGCCCTCTGTCCAGATGAGGCCTCAGAACGTCCTGTGCGGGTGGGGAGTGGGCAAGGCCGGACCACAGGGCTGGTAAGGGTGGGCCCAGGACGGCGGGCGGCAAGGGGCCCGGCCAAGGCTGCTTCCCGCGAAATCGGTTTTATTACTGTGATTTCTCTACTTTCCACAGCACTCGGTGAACCGCACAGACACGGAAACTCGGACAGAGCGTGAGCCCGAGCCAGAGCCCGAGGACACGCCCTGTGCACCGAGCGCATCGCCGAGGGGAGGGGGTGTGATCCCACCTTCGCCTGCACCGGGGCTGTGGCCTGGCTGCTGTGGGTCCCGGGCCCGGGACGAGCTGCTCACACCAGGGCCGAGCAGGCCTGAGGTCAGCCAGCCCCGGGGGACACTTGCAGAGACCCAGGAGCAGAAATGGGGGTGTGTGATGCTGTGTCCAGGGCCTTCTGGCCGCAGACTCCCCACTCCTCCCTGCAGGTCCCCAAGCCCAGGCCTTGGGGTCAGCGCTGGCGTGGCTGTGCTCCCCAACAGGGGCCACCTCTCTGGGGTCCAAGCATCTACTGCTGAGAAAAACCAGGCACCACTGGTGGCCCAGCACTGGGGCTGCACACGGGCGGAGCAGGGTGGGTGGGTGGCAGGTGCACCCTCCTTGTCCAGGCAGGTGCCAGAGGCCTGCGGTCCAGGAGGGGGTGTTCCTGCCCTTCTAAGCAGGCTGGGAATCTTGGGAGGGGTGTGGCTGCTGAGCTGGGAGAGTCCCTGAGGCCACAAGCGGGAGCCCAGGGACTCTGCGCTCCGGGTGGCCTCGGGGCAGGAAGGGGGTGGAAGCTTCACCGGGGGTCGGG